GGTACAGCAGACCTCTCCTGTCTCACCCGCTGCTCCTCTCAGCAGTGTATTTCAGTCAGTCTGCCTGTTTTGTTCCCCACTCTGTCTCTGGTGAATCCTCTCACTGCCAACCCCCGCACCTCTAGCCTGTACCCCAGTTCTTGTACGCATAAATAAATCTTTAAAAAAAATTAAGTTTCTCAGGGCTTCTTATTCATTGTGAAGACTTACACCTTCCCAATCTAACTCACAGGACTGCTACAAAAATTCATTTTGAAATGTTTTTCAAATACTCCTAAGGGCCTCCCTGGTGGAGCAAGGGGTTAAGACACAACCTATGAAGCTGTCCGCAGCCACTGCAGCACAAGTTCGATCCCCTGGTGGGCCAGGGAGCAACCCACATGGAGCAGCAGACCCCTCCTGTCTCGCCCACTGCTCCCCTCAGCAGTGTATTTCAGTGGATCCTCCTGTTCTGTTCCCCAATCTGTCTCTGATGAATCCTCTCACCACCACCCCATACCTCTGCCCTATACCCCAGCTCTAAAAAAAAAAAATACTCCTAAAACCTTAACTCATAATACATTTAACAAAGTATTTTTTCCCCTACTTGTAATCCAAAACAACTCCTGCTCCTGCGAACGGCCAATTTGAATACTGACTCCAGCTACACCACATCCATAAAATTCATTTCATTTCCCCAAATGTTAGTAAACATAAAGAAAAGATGATGACTAGCTTTAACCAGTTATTTAACTTCAAAATCATGATCTGCGTGCGTCATAGTTCTAAGGAACACAGCAGAGACTTCTTAAACACTCTACCTGGCTACAGTTTGTCAAGATAAGCAATCACATGGTAAAGGAAGCTGAATAATTTAAACTGGAGAAAGAAGAAAAGTCACAAAACTGTCTAGGTTGACACTGTCCAAGATTTCAGCAGCTGCTATGTTGCTGAGGTAACGCTCAGGTCCTGGGTTAGGTCATGGTCAAGAGTTCAGGCTAAAAGTCATTTACTGCCGGAGCAAAGCGCACGCATTCTTTTTAAACCTCGAAGAGGATCTGTTCCAGGAAAATCTCAAAGAAAGATAAGCTGCCGGGCTAGGTTCCCAAGAAGAGAAACCCTACCCAAGCAGGACTAAGGGGGTGTGACGAAAGCAAGATAATAAAGATTCTGTGATCCCTCCTGAAGTTTAAAAACTGAAGAGGACCGACATCCAAGTCTCGGGTAACAATCGTTTCCAAAGAGCAAGGAAGACGCTCTCGGTTGGGATGCAGGAGGCATCTTTTCCAGAGTTCCCCCTCTTTTTCCTCCTTGTCACACGACCATGCACAAGCGTCCCCTTCCAGTCCAGTCCCAAGTCGCCCCTTCCTCCCGTCCCGGTCCCTCCACAGAGGTCACTCCTTTCCAGCCCTGCCGCCTAAGCTCCTTGCCCCGTCCGGAAGACTCCGCGGGCCGCCGCACCCGGGCGACCCCCGCGCCCACCTCCGGGCAGCCCCGGCCAGCGGCCCGCGGCGCGCCCACCCCGCTCGGGCGGGAGCAGGGACACCCCTCCTCGGAGGCCGGAACCGCTGCGCCAGGCCCCTCCCACAGGAAGCCGCCGCCCCCCGGCGCCCCGGCCGCACCGCCCCCGGCCCACCCCGCGCCGCCCGCCACCCCCAGGTCCCCCCGCGTCCCCCGCGCGCCCGCCGCGCCCCTGGAGCCCGCACTTGGTACCTGCGGCGGCCACAGAAGCGGCTCCCAACTCCTCTCCCACTTCCGCCTTCCACCGCCCGCACTCGGGCCGGGTCACGTGATCGCGCGCGGTCACCTGACCCGGAAGAGGCAGGCCGGGCCGCAGGTGTGGGCAACCTAGGCCTGGTCTGGGCGCCTTTGGCCGGGCGAAGGCCTTCCTTCCCTTCTGATGTTGTAAACATGGAGTTGTTTTCCACTCCCTGGACGGTCCCTGAGCAGTCAAATAAATTAAGGACTCAATAAGCGCCAGGCGCTTCATTTACTCCTCCCATCAACACGGGAGGCGGGTCTATAGGTTAGCCCCATTTTACAGGTGAGAGGAGGGAATCAATTTGGGAAATAGCTACTTACTGAGCGTCTTAGTAGGCTTGCCAGATATATTCAAGACTACTCCCAATTAAATCTGAATTTCAGATAAATGGCCGTGTAGTAGGTATAGCCCAAATATTGCATGGCACATATTATACCAGTAGTTGTTTATCTGAAAGTTAAATTTAGTTGGACATCTTGTATTTTTTATTTGCTAAATCTGTTGATTCTGCACCCACCACGTGCCAGGCATTGTTCTAGGCTCTAGAAATTAAAAATTGTGGCCTTTATGGATCATCTGTTCTTGTGACAAAAAGCAAAAGCAGAAAAGTTTCAAAACCCTCACTTGGATCCCTACAATGCCCCACCACACCAAATTAATCGGCAATGTAGATTAAACCTTATGAATTAGAAAAAAACATTTTAAATCAATATTCTTTACTGATTGTCTGAAGCTTCACCTTTCACAAGTTGAATCAAGACTCAATTTTTCATCTTTAAACACTGTTGATAAAAATTAATATCAATCACCAAATACATCTTAAGAACTGTGCACAAATTATTCTGTTATTCTGGGGTCTTTGAGTTTTGATGGATCCTATTATGTGTACACATTAAATTAGTTAAGGAACAATTCTTTTCCTACTGCCATTCTATACTTTTCCTATTACCATTCCAAATCCAGGAGATGGTGTTTCAAGGAGATACAGCCCTCTCTTAATACCTTAAATTCTACATTAATTCCATCCATAAAACTTTTCTAGCTCCACTGGCAGGAGTTTCACTAATCTCTTCTAGAGAAATTAGGGAAGGCCTCTTCGATTTGGTGGCCTTTGAGTAAGTGTTCCCAAAAAGGGAGAAGTGATTCAGCAAAGTTGCTAGCACTGTGCATCAGAGAAATAAAACTTAAAATATACATTTACCTCTAGGGCCTTATATGTGATGCTGCCACACATCCCCCTCATTTCCCTCATCTCATCTCCAATTGTTCTTCCCCATAATACTGTGCTTCTGTTACTATGGCCTCAGGCCAGTTAGACTTGCTTTTCCCTTGGCCTGAAAAGTTCTTTCCCACAAATAATTAGTTCACCCCCTCATCTCTTTCAGATGCTTGCTCAACTGTCTCAGTGAACCTTTTCTGGTCACCTTATTGAAAACCGCATTTCAACTCTACCTTGTCCTCCTACCCTTCTTGCTTTATTTTTCCTTTGCAGTTGCTCCAGGCTTATCACTATTGATTTTTGTATGAATATGTGCATGTTTGTATAAACGTGCATGTACAAAGATTTTAGATGTCTATCTAAATTATAAAATGTTATAAATTATAAAATCTAAATTGTAAAATGTTATATATGTATAACATACTTGTTATATTTTATTTTTTTAAAGATTTATTTATTTATGCATACGAGAGCTGGGGTACAGGCCAGAGGTGTGGGGAGTGAGAGGACTCACCAGGGATAGAGTGGGAACAGAACAGGTAGACTGACCAAAGTACACTGCCGAGGGGAGTAGCGGGTGAGACAGGAGAGGTCTGCCTCGCCATGTGGGTAGCTCCCTGGCCGGTCGGGGATCGAACTCGTGCTGCAGAGGTTGCAGATTGCTTCATAGAGCAGTGCTTAACCCCTTGCGCCACCAGGGAGGCCCATACTTGTTATATTTTAAATGTCATATTACACGTGTTATATAAGATATATTTTATAATTTAGGGGCCTCCCTGGTGGTGCAAGGAGTTAAGATGCAACCTATGAAGATATCCGCAGCCACTGCAGCACAAATTCCATCCCCGACCAGAGAGCTACCTACATGGCGCAGCAAACCTCTCCTGACTTGCCCGCTGCTGACTGTTCTGCTCCCCACTCTGTCTCTGGTGAATCCTCTCACCCCCTGCATCTCTGGCCTGTACCCCAGTTCTTGTATGCATAAATAAATAAGTCTTTTAAAAAAGATATATTTTATAATTTAGATATGCATCAATAAAACCTGTTTCTCATTGCATTAGCATACTATGAAGACAGGAGCTATCACCCAGTTCCTAAAGGGCAACTTGGCTCACAGGGGGCCTCTTAAAATACTTTCTTGTGCTCGCTTTGGCAGCACATATACTAAAATGGGAATGATACAGAGAAGATTAGCATGGCCTCTGTGCAAGGATGACTCGCAAATTCGTGAAGCGTTCCATTTTTTTTTTTCCCAAAGATTTCTTTATTTATGCATACAAGAGCTGGGGCACTGGCCAGAGATGTGGGGGGGTGAGAGGACCCACCAGAGACAGAGCGGGGAACAAAACAGGCAGACTGACTGAAATACACTGCTGAGGGGAGCAGCGAGTCAGGCAGGAGAGGTCCACTTCGCCATATGGGTTTCTCTCCAGCTGGGCGGGGGATCAAACTCGTGCTGCAGAGGCTGCGGACCACCTCATAGTGCGGTGCCTAACTCCTCGCACCACCAGGGAGACCCGCGTTCCATATTTTTAAACCTAAAATATTTTCTTATATGAACAAAATTCAACAACATTTATTAAGCACTGAACTCATTGCAGTAGGTCTTACAGTATACAAGGTTTCTTTTTCTAGTTTTCAAGGACATATAAAAAGTTAAAAAATATGTCATCACAAAAGTGCCCCCCAAGTTAAAAAACTGAAATGTTCACCTCAGGAAAAAATACTCTTTGAAAAAACACAGTGCCGATTTCTAATGACAATGTAAAACAGAAATAATAACTGCACACTGAATGACATAACTGAAATGTCTTAAATGTGATGAGGAGGAAGAATTCAAATCTGTCCTTAGGGGAAGGTCTGATTGGCATAATCAAAGACAAGTTTACAGAAAAGGGGGCAGGAAGCTGCTTCTTGGAAACCAAGTAAGCAGTAATTGGCAAGGAGAAATTTCAGACACAAAACAAAACAAAGACAAAGGCAAGACAAGATAGTCTGGACGCACCCAAGAAAGCTCGGGGGAATGCTAGGGATACTTACCGATTTCTTATGGGGTTTCTTTTGCATCAAGTGGCTCTCTGTCCTAACCCACTGGTGAGCACATGGTTTCATGGTGTCTCCATATTCCAGTTCTGTAAGTGGACTCAGATCCTCACTGGAACACACAAGCAACACCTTTCTCTTTCAGAAAGGGTGTCACATGGAAAAGTTGACATGATCTCCAAATCATTTAAACCTTGTGTCCTCTACGTATATTTAAAATGTGAACTTGCTCATGTAAACTGTTTAAAATGACCATAATTTTCCTATGATGTCTTGAGATTTCTTCGCTTTTTTGTTGTTATTATTTTAAGCTATTTTTAATTGAGATAAAATTGACATATAACAGTGTATTAGCTTCATAATGATTCAATATTTGTATAGATTGCAAATGAGCACCATAATAAATCTAGTTAACTTCAGTCACATCATACAGTTACAAAAGCTTTTCCATGTGATGAAAATTTTTAAGATCCACTCACAGTAATTGTCAAATATGCAACACTGCATTATTAACATAGTTATTAATTTCAGCCACCATGTGTGCATTATATCCTATAACTTAATTGTTTTATAACTGGAAGTTTATAATTTTTGACCTTCTTCATCCATTTTACCCTTTTGGGATTTCTTCACTATTGAAAAATGCCAAAGCTTCAAAAAAAATGGAAGAGTTTCAGGATTCCCTTCACCTTTCAGAGACCCTGTCCAGCTCTGTACTATCCTCAATTCTCTGAACACCCTTTGGACTTTCAAAACTTGATGTAATTCCCCTTCTCATCCTTCAAGATCTGGCTGCAAAGCCATATATTATAGATGCCCATAGATGCTACACAAAATATCACATTATTCACAGCTACTTTATCACCCATGGAAGTATAAACATAACATTTTGTTGAATAAATGAGTCTTTCTAAGGCTGTAGAGGACTTGCCCCATTAGTTTCCTCTTGCCTTAACACAATATATGCCCTAATGTGGTGGAATTTAAAATATATAATATTTTAAATTTATAGAAATAGGAATTAAAATACTATAAAAAGTGACAAAAGCAAAAGTGTCAAGAAAACTTTAATATTAATATATATTCTTGATGATCACTATAAAATAAATGGCTCATAGCCTAAATTTCCTGACTATGCCTATAAATCAGCAGTTCTCAAAGTGTGGCCCCCAAGTCAGCAGCAGCAGCAACATCACATGAAAGTTACTACTAATACAAATGGTCAGGTCTTGCCCTGATGTGGTGAATCAAAAACTGAGGATAAGACAAGCAATCCTTATTTGCTAGCTTTCTAGGTGATACTGATGCGTACTGCGGTTTAAGAACCAAAGAACTACATCTTTCTCTTTCATCTTAGGGTTTACAAAATTATCACTACCAATGAACATCATTAAACCTCTTTGGTGGTGGAGTTCAGCTCCTATATACTCGCCCCCTTCTTAATCAACAGGAGCAATCAATTGGAGGAGAAACCATACATAGGAAAGCTAATGTTAAATGGATCATTATTTTCTAAGCATGAGATAAAATCTTGATTAGAGTAAGGGGAATGAATGTACAGGGGAGCCAGTCACCCCAACATTCCAGAAGTGATATCAGTAAGATTCAGCAAGAGCACCACCCTTAACCATGAGGTTAAAAATGAGGGTGACTCAGACTGTTACCTTGAATGCCTTCGTTGGTGAAGCCTTCAGTAAAAATAGGAACTCTAACAAGTGAAGAAATTTTAAGCAGGGGTGGAAAAGAGAATCACTTCACTTTTAACTTTCCTCCTGAGTGAAGACACTGAAAATTCAGATGGATGTGCCCAGATGCTAGATGGAGGAGTAAAATTGAAGAATAGACATCTGGGAGCTCTTCCTACACTGTGGTCACTGAGGCCTTGAAGATAGATAGAAATAGAGAAGTTGAGTGACAACCTACTGAGACAGTTCTGGGGTGGGGGATACCACTTTTGCAAGGCAGGAGAATAGCGTGCCATCAGAGAGCATGAAGCCATCAAGAGGCTGAGGCCAAGGTCAGAGTGGCAAGGAGAGACACTCCAGAAAGAGAAAATGGTCAGCAATGTGAAATTCTGCAGAGACACTAAGGCCAAGAGCTAAAAACCCCAAAACACTGATATGAAAAAAAAACTAGAAATTGAGAAACAGCCTTTAAATGTGCTATTTCAACCAGGGTAGGCAGGGTAGGAACCCCACGCAGGTTCTGGAGATTACAGATTGAAAGGTAAGAAGAGTTGAGACACATATGGGGAAGGAAAAGGAATTGGGCAACTGCTGAAGGAAACCGCCAGGGCACTGACAGAACTGGGAACCTAGGCTGGATAAATGATAACGGAAGGATCAGATAGGGGCGAAGAGTTGACAAAAGGTTAAAAGTAACTCAATATCGATTAATGAAGATCAATGAGTGAAAACTCCAGTGAAGATTCAGATCAAATTTGCCAGCATCAACTTCTAATAGGCCAGAGCTCCTACGTATAGAATCTCGGATTTGCCAGGGAATTTCAGTCCCCCCATTAGTTCCATTTCTCCAGGGATTATCTCCTGGCGGGCGATGTGCCTTGCTTGGGGCAGTGCAGTGAGGACAGTAACGTGGACACAGCGAGTTGCTCAAAATGAAGTGGGGTTACGTCAGCAGCGGTCCAGTGGCTAAAAAAGTGTCCTGAATTCGTTGTCTGCGTGTTAGTCTTGTTGCACATCCCCTACCAGCCGTGCTTGCAGGCTCCAGCTGTCCTGCTGCCTGGCCCCTGCCTGCAAAGCACTACCCGCTTCCTAGGGTTGTCTGTGATCACTAAATTCGGTGATTTGTATTGCTTGACTTTTAACAACGAGACATCATTTTTTTATACACACACACACACACACACACACATACACACACACATAAGTCTTACATTTAAAAGCGAAGAAAGGGCTGAGGGTGGACGCTGAAGCATCTCCTCAGGCGTCCCTCAGAGTTTAGCCCCGCCCACACCCCCGTCCCGGCTGGCGGCGGCGTGGCGCATGCGCACGAGTAGTCGGCCGCCGAACGCGGTGGGCGCAGCCGCCAGCAGGCGGCGCTAAATAGCAGCGACTCCCTCCAGCTCCCCGAGGCCGGGATTGGGGCCGAAGGGCCGACGCAAACTCCCTGCGCGTGCGCACGCCAGGCTTGCTCGGCCAAGATGGCGCCGGTGGAGCACGTTGTGGCTGATGCGGGAGCTTTCCTGCGGGACGCGGCTCTGCAGGTACGGGGAACTCGGGCAGAGAGGATGCGGGGCTGGGCTGGTGGCCCTTTAAGTCGCGCGGGGAGTCGTTCGGGTCCGAGCTCACTCGCTCTTTACGCAGGACATCGGGAAAAACATCTACACGATCCGGGATGTGGTCAGCGAGATTCGGGACAAGGCCACGCGCAGGCGGCTCGCAGTCCTGCCCTACGAGCTGCGCTTCAAGGAGCCTTGCCCGGAGTACGTGCGGCTGGGTGAGTGCGCTTGTCCCGGTGTCCACCGCGAAGATGAGGCCCAGGGTGCGGACTCCAGTGCCTCTTAGGATCCAGTGGCTGTGTTAGGGGGTGAGGACCCACAGTCAGGCACCCCGTTTTGTATCGGGGTTGCTCTACAACAGCTGCACCGGCTCCAGTGCCTGTTAGGGTCTGGACACTATCAGCAGATTTAGAAACCGCGTTCTAGGAGATCACGGTGGGAAATAGACCGCCTGGGTCAGGAGTCAGCCAGGCCTTGCTTGTTAGCAGCTATGTTCCCTTGGGGTACATCCCTCAGACTCTAGGTGTCTGTTGCCTGCTCTGAAAAATAAGAATAGCAGTAGTTCCTACCTCACTGGTTGCTAGAAGCATAAAATGTGAAGTGTGTCATGCAGCACAGCGCCTACCACTTTGTAAACATTCATTAATTTTGTTTGGATTAAAAATAGAAGAACCCAGATCTCTTACGCTTGCCCATTTCTTTCCAGTATCCAACATCAAGTCAGAAAAAGGGATTTAGGCTTTTAGGCTTTACATTATTCCTGAAAGAAACTATAAACAGTTAACACTTGATAAGGAGTCAGGCTTGTTCTCTTGTTAAGGGTCAAGGAAGACAACCATGCTTAGGATAGTTCTTATGTTTCAGGGGTTAGCGGCTGGTAGTGGAGGTCATGTCACCTACACTATTCCTTTGTGACATGTGTTGGTGGAGTTTCTGCCATCAGTTTGCTAGCTATGATCGTTGACAGATTAGTCTTTCTGTGGAAACATTACTAGTACTTCACGGGATTTGATGTACAGTAACTGCCCAATAAATTTTGGCCACGGTTAATAGCTTTTTTAGGAAATGTGAGCAGTGCATTTAATTACCCATATGCCAAGGTAGCATAAGGAAAGGTGTCAAAAAACTACTATGTTTAGGGCCTCCCCGGTGGTGCAGGCAGTTGAGCACAGTGCTGTGAAGCTGTCCACAGCCTCTACAGCATGAGTTTGATTCTGGCTGGGTGGCTGCCAGGCGAGAATCCCACAGCATGGCAGACCTCTCCTGTCTCCCCGGCTGCTCCCCTCAGCAGTGTATTTCAGTCAGTCTGCCTCTTCTGTTCTCCACTCTGTCTCTGGTGAATCCTCTTACCCTCCCGCACATCTGGACTGTACCCCGGTTCTTGTATGTATAAATCTTTTTTTAAAAAAAAGGAAAAAACTACTTTGTTTATGTTTGGAGTCTCAGGATATGAGGTTTGTGTTTGTTTTTTTAGAATACTCAAAAACTGTCCAGTATTTGTTAAAAAGCAACCTAATACTCTTGTTCTGTCATAGACTACAAGAGTTAGTGGTAGAATTACCTTTTTCTTCCATTTTGGAATCTGATCATCCATTCTAATAATACGGAGTATTATACTTAGAATCAAAAGAATTTCAGAGTGCGGAGAGAAGAGACCTATCCTAACAATACCGACATCTAGATAAGGAAATTCCCTCACTCCAAATATTATGCTAACTCTCAGTGTCTTTCTGCTAACTTTGTTCCTTCATCTGCACCCCTTACGGATATAATGGTAAACTTTACCCACCTAACTTTGGTTGACGGGAATACAAATGGCTCAACTATGAGTAGAAAAGGGTCAGGAAATGAATGAAAATGTTAAGAAGTTTTCCTGGGGATATTGTCCCTAAGTTCTTTTCATAGTTTCATTATGTTATCCAGGGAACTTTTTGCTTCTTAACTAAAGTTGGAAATCTCTTGTTCACAGTGACTGAGTTTTCAAAGAAAACTGGAGACTATCCCAGCCTCTCTGCCACAGATATACAAGTGTTGGCACTCACCTACCAATTGGAAGCAGAATTTGTTGGGGTGTCTCACCTAAAACGAGAACCAGAAAAAGTAAGTGAGGAAGATTGTTGAAGGCAGCTATGTTCACACTATACTACCAATACTGACTGTCGGAAAGCCTGTTGGTGGCTTCATTGTTTTGTTTACCTTTCTTATTGTGGGAACTGTCAAATACAGAAAAGCAGAGATGTCATTATGATGAATGCAGTGTCCCAGTCATTCTGCCACCTCAGTTACTGGTGCTCTGTTTTCATTTCTGTTGACTACTGGCCTTGAGTATTTTGAACTCAGATATACTGTTATTTTTCTGATATCTTGATCTATCTCTTTTTTAAAATAGGACCATTATTACACAGACACAAAATTAATAGCAACTCCCTAATATCAACTGTGCAGTTAGTATTCACATTTCCTAATTATTTTTGTGTATTTTTGAAAATAATGTATTTGTTTGGATCACAACCCAAATAAGATTCGTCCATTTCAGTGAACAAAATTGTCTCATTCTCTTTTGACCTATAGGTTCTTGGGAAGGGTTGGTTAAATTTGAAAGATGCGGAAAGTAAAAATTAACTGTATTCTATTATTTAAATAGGCTTCTTTATAGAACAAGAAGGAAGCACTAGGTACTTCCTTTTTTTTCCAACCTGCTACCTTCAAAGGGCAGGACTTGCACACCTTAACTACATTGAAGAGACTAATAATGGATTTCAGACTGGGCCTTATTGGCTGTTCCAGGCCAGTGGAGTTTAGAAGCCAAATAATCTAATAATGTAATAGTTCATTTCAAATATACTGACAAAGAATTGCTTGATCTCTGCCAAAAATCATCAAAACTGGTGGACTCACATTTCTGTACTACTTGGAACTGCCTCCCCTTGTTTGTAAGCAAGTTTAAGTCCCCAAACCCAAGAAATCTAAAAGTGATGTCTAAAATACACTTACACATTTTCCTGTTCGCTAGTTAAAATAAAAAAAAAAATTGGAAAACGGACCTCCCCAGTGGCCTAGGGGTTCAGTCTCAGTTTAATCCCCAGCCAGGGAACTAACCCACATAAGGCACAGCAGACCTCTCCTGTCCTGACCGCTGTTCCCCTCAGCAGTGTATTTATTGCAGTAAACCAACCTATTTTCCCCACTCTGTCTCTGGTGAATCCTCTCACCCACCCCCACACCTCTGACCTACACCCCAGTTCTTCTACACATAAGTAAATAAATCTTTTAAAATAAATTGGATTACCTTTTATTTCAAATAACCAGGGAGAATATGTTTGTTTTCTGTTTTGTTTTAATCTTCCATGTTGAAGTTGCAAATTATATTTCCTTGCTTTGAGCTGTCACTTTTTCTTTTCTTTTTAAAGGTTAAAGTGAGCTCATCCATTCAGCATCCGGAAACTCCTCTACACGTTTCTGGTTTCCATCTGCCCTCAAAGGTAATTCCTCAGGCAAGCCGTGCTCTTTGTGCTGTCTTCTGCCTCCGTCATCTCCCCACACCTTGTTTACAGTGAGCAGGTTCACCTAGACTCATACATAGTTCAGCCCTGTCTGAAATGACTGTATGTCATAGAGCAGTTCATCTGTAACCCTTTCACTTTTCAGATTATAAATTTATTTTTCTTTTAACCTCAGCCTAAACCCCCACGAGAAACAGTAGAACATGGACACCCAGAAGGCAAACCCGAGGACCTAGAATTCACTTCCTTCCTGTTCTGGAGAAACCCTTTGCCAGATATCGATCGTGAGCTGCAAGAGTTGCTGGTAAAGGCCCCAACATATGATTTCCTTCACGTGGCAACACACTTTGCCGGAAGTTTCTGAAATCCATTGGTGTTTCAGGTTGACAGAGATGAGGATGTTCCAAGTGAAGAGGAGGAGGAGGAATATGAAGAAAGGAAAGACGAAGATAGTGATGGTGATGGAGGTGGGTGGATAACCCCCAGCAACATCAAGCAGATCCAGCAGGAGTGGGAGCAGTGTGCCGTCCCCACGGACGTGCGAGTGGGCTGTGTGACCACAGACTTCGCCATGCAGGTAGGTGGGTTGGGCATATGCTAGCCCTGAGCTTTCAGACCTCACTCAGATGGGGGTGGGTCCCTCGGAGGTTATGAGAGGTATACACAGCTGTGTGATGCTTCTTTTCCTGTGATAGAACCTCTCCCTGCGCACTTCAGTAATTTTCAGTTTTGCTTGGAGGCAAGAGAATCATAATATACTGCCAATTTTTTTTTTTTTTTTTAAAGATTTATTTATTTATTTACACAAGCACTGGACACAGTCAGAAGTGCGGGAGGGTGAGAGAATTCACCAGAGCCAGAGCAGGGAGCAGAGCAGGCAGAAGGACCGAAGTACACTGCTGAGGGGAGCAGCGGGCGGCAGGAGAGGTCTGCGCGCCATGCGGGACCCTCCTCCGGTGGCCGGGGAGCAGCCGGGGATCAAACCGGCGCTGCAGAGGCTGCGGGCAGCTTCGCAACCCAGCGCTCAACCGCTGCGCCACCGGGGAGGCCCTACTGCCAAATTTTTATAGTCCATTAAATTTTTTACATTTGCTATTCATGATACTGAGTGTGTATAATGTTCCAGGCTCCACTGAGTTCTTGGAGAAAGTATAGAAGGTTTCCAGCCCAGAAATGAGTAATTGCTCTTGAGGGGCCTTGGCAAAATGATGATGAGCACAGATCCCAGCACTTGAAATGAGAGAAATCTGGGTCCTGGTCCCACTTTCCATCTCTAGAGGCGTCCTCAACTTGCTTTTCCCCAGTAGAAGCCCCTCCTGAGCCAAACGAGGGGTTTGCAGCATTCCTTTGACCGTGATTGTACAGGTATTGAAAGAAACCTTGGCTTTGTTTTGACTCTAGTTCTACTGTTACTCATTGGTTGCAGAATGTCCTGCTTCAGATGGGGCTGCACGTGCTGGCAGTGAACGGTATGCTCATCCATGAGGCCCGGAGCTACATCTTACGCTGTCACGGTTGTTTCAAGTATGTAGCCGGGATTCTCGACCCAGTGCCCCTCTGTTGAACTCTCTCCCCTCCTATCCCTTCTGCAACTTCTCGATGGAGAATCTTGCATTGTACATGGAGACTCCTTCCACGTTGTAGTTCCTCCGCGAGTAGGCTTCTGCCCTACCCAGGTACTGGAACCCCAGATTCATATGTCACCTGTGATCTGAAAAATCCAGGGTGGGGTTTTTTAGTCCTAATCTTAGTAGTTAGGTTGAGGGCGTGGGTTCTAGAGCAGAGTCTTCATCATTCAGCAATAGGTACTGCAGTGCTTGGATGGAATGATGTCTAGGTTTTGTTCTGAAATAATACACAGATGAGATAGAGCTGGAACGTGAGTGCATAGTTGAAGCTGTTTGTTGAGCACATGGAGGTACATTGTGCTCTTTGATCTACTTTATGTTCAACATTTTCTATTTAAAAAAAAAAAATGGACTGGATTCATACTACATGGGCTCAATCAGGATTGTGTCATGTTAGCTGTGTGACTTTGCAGAAGCTGGTTAAGATCTCTGCATTTAACTTCCTGTGTGAAATCAATGAAATAGGGAGATAGTCACATTAAGGAGCACAGTATCCAGCGAAATGTTCATTCAGGTGAACTCTTAGCTCACTGACATGCCCTTCACTCCATTTCTTCTGAGTCATTAGTTGGTTCTTGAGGTGAGGGCTGCCATTCCATTGATGGGCCCCAGGATCCCATAGACGTGGTTGGAATGGAAAAGACACTTCAACAGCTTGATGGGGGTCTTCCACTGTGGTGACTTTCAGCCATTCCACAGATTCAGTGGGTATTTAGTGACTATCATGTTGGTCATTTGGAGCCCCTATTGCCGAGGTGTGTGTAGAAGGTTTCTGAAGCAGCAAGGTGTCACTCCCTAGGTCCCCAGAGCTCTTCCTCTGAGGACAGAGTTGCCTGGATGGATTCTTGCTCCCCCACAGGCTTAAAAACAACCAGTCACTTGTGACTACAGCCCTCCCCTGCCACTAATAAGCTGCAGGTCTGCCTGTGACAGAAAGAGCCGCTCCCAGAGCTGCTTCTGCATTGTTTGGAATCTTAGCACATAAATGTACCACTCAATGACAGTAAAACTCCTTGGGTCATGAAACCTCATTTCCCTTACTGTCTTGTATTACAAAAACTCTTAAGTTCTCCACAGTAAAACTCATTCTCAGAAACACTTGAAAATGATCTCTGTTCTTGGGAGATGATTCTGAAGGGCGGACTGTTTGTGGTGCTAGGTACTTTGTTCTGAGCACTTACTGAGAGATGCTTAGTTCACTCAGACATGCAGGTGGAGGATATGGCCTCTCCTGCAGTTTCACACAGCCCTTGTCTAGCCACTGGGAATTGAAGGAGACTTCCTAAAGGACAGACACCAAAGCTACTGCTTGGTCCTCAGCAGGAACAATAGCTGTTCCTATCCAGGGTCCACTATTGGGGCTCAGAATCTACCTTCAACACCTAACCTGTTCAACCATAGAAGCTTTTATAGTGCTTCCTGTTTAATTCACTAATAAACTCTTAGCACCTCCAGAGCCACCTTCTGGCTTACTGCCCAGGCTGACATTTGGGGACAGGGTATTTAGAGCTATAATGATCTGCCCCTTGAGGAAGTACGATGATGGTAAGATCATTGATTCTCAGCCAGATTCCCCCTTTCTGGCCGTTTCCTTCCTGAGGTCTGTGGCTCCAATGTACTCTAGGGATGAACTTTGCTGCTGGCAGTTCCAGTACAGAGTATCTCCTCCTGTGTCTCCAGGACAACATCTGATATGAACCGGGTATTCTGTTCACATTGTGGAAACAAGACCCTGAAGAAAGTGTCTGTGACCGTCAGCGAAGATGGCGGCCTGCACATGCACTTCTCCCGCAACCCCAAGGTGCTGAACCCTCGAGGCCTGCGGGTGAGTGGCGCAGCTCCCGGCCCCAGCAGTGGGGCCTCAAGTTGAGAGAGCAAGACATTAGCCACACAGTCAAAATGAACAGACTGTAGATACAAGGAAAAGCTGCAGATAGGACAGATAATTCCTATATACTCTTTACTTCAGTTCCCCAGTGTTAATCTAACATGTCTACTTGCTAGGTTTCTGTGTATTTTTTTCCTAAGCCCTTTGAGAGCGAGTTTTATGCGTGTGATGCTTCTTTGCCCTGAAATACTTTAGTGTTTATTTCCTGAAAGACCTTGTCTTATGAAACAGTGTAATCCTCAAAATCAAGAAGCTAACATTGCTTTAATACTACTCCCTGATCTATCGTGCTACAAAATTTCCTTTATAGCAAAAGAGGAGGATTTTTGGTCCAGGAACTAGTCTAGAATAACATGGCATTTACTTGTCCTCTCTTTTTTTTCCTTTTATCCTTCCCTCCTCCTTTTTATTGTCTTTTAAACCTAAGTAGTTTCTCATCTCTTTTGCCTTTTATGACCTTAATCTTTGAAGAATATGAGCCGGTTGTGTTGTAAAATGCCTCTTGGTTTAGGTTTGCCTGCTCTTTCCACATGGTTGGATTCAGGCTATGCATTTTGGCAGCAACAGCCTCAGTCTCCTCAGTGCTTTCTGTCAGGGGAAATGATGAATTGCCCAGTTCAGGATGATACTAAGTTTGATCACTTTTTTAATATGTTTTCTTAGTAGCTACAATATAATCCTCAATATCAAGAAGTTAACTTTGCTGCAAAGTGTAATCTGACCATATTCAACCTTTGCCCAAATTTCCTTTACGGTTGTCATTTGCAAAAGGAGTAACTTGTGGAAAGATTCTATGATACTGTGACTATTGTTTCTCATCAAACATTTAACTCACTGGTTAAAATTGCCCTAGTCTGTTTTTATAGTCCTGGTCACCAAATGGTGATTTTCTGATTCTATAATTATTACTTGGCATTCTACTATAAAGAGAAATCTTCCCATTATCCCATGTATTTGTTGTCTCATGGATTTTTATTTTAGTCTATAGGCTGCCATCCATTACTGTCATTATTTTTATCTGTTTGATTATTTTAAGACTGTTCATGGAACCCTTCAGGCTGTGTCAGGTTGACAAGTCCTGGCTTCATACTTTCTGGCACAGTAAATGCTCCAACTCTTATACTGCCCTTTTCATGGAATCAACTATTTCCCTTGGAGCTTGTTATGGAGAATGGTTTTTAGAAGTAAAGATCTGGGCTCCGGGTTTACTCATGAATCCTGTGGAGTCATGGATTCCCGGCCCTCAGGGCACAAAGATGGAAAATGTATGCATATGTCTAAATACACACAAATATTTTATCTGAAATCTGTTTTAAAGATTAGTTCATAGCAGTTTCAGCCCAACACCAGAGTTCACCTGGCCCACTTATTTCACAACTCCCTTACTACCACCATTTTTCATAATAATATTATTTGCTCAGCCCTAGTTGTTGTTAACCCATGCCACTATGGGAAAGGTACCTGGTTACTAGAATTCAGGTGACTCTGTTTGTTGCTGAAGGTGTATAGTTAAAATACTCTTGGGTGTTTCATCTGTGAGTTGAGGCGGGAATCTGATGGGACAGTCATGCCATGCAACCTCGTAGTAGGCAGTGAGTGATAGGTGCCATGGCACCTGCCTGCATCTGATGGCCTTTCTGGTCTTATTTACAGTATTCACTTCCTGCTCCCAAAGGGGGCAAATATGCCGTCAACCCCCATCTGACTGAAGACCAGCGATTCCCTCAGCTGCGGCTCTCCCAAAAGGCCAGGCAGAAAACTGATGTTTTCGCCCCTGACTACATAGCTGGGGTTTCTCCCTTTGTCGAGAACGATATCTCTAGCCGGTCAGCTACGTTGCAAGTCCGAGACAAGACTTTGGGAGCTGGGAGGAGACGGTTAAATCCTAATGCTTCCAGAAAAAAGTTTGTGAAGAAGAGGTGAAGTACAAACTTTCACAGGCAAAGTGGATTGTTCTGGGGCTGCCTAGGTGTTCTGGTATCTCATTTCTCCAGCTCTGCCAGCTCCACAACCTTCTGGATGGAAAAAAAAAGGCTTGGCTGACATCATGCTGCTTCGTCACTCACTTAGGTGTGTTGGGTTTTCTGGTGGAACTAGGCCTCTTTGGGCTGGTGGGCATCTCCACACCTGGGAGTCCACGCCGAGGGGAATTTGATGAAAAGGAAGGAACATTGCGCTGGAACAAATCTTCAACCTTTAAACAAGGGAACTGCTGGATGATATTTTTTAAATAAATGTGGTTGCAAGCCAAGCTTCTGTGTATTTTCATTAAATAAACAAATTTTTGCTTCCTAGGTAATTTGAAGTCTAATACCTAAGGTATGCACCTATCAAGCATTTAGCTTTATCTTCTTGCCAGAAAAAGAGTTTTATAATAAAACCGTAAGTGTAGCCAATTTTTCCATTTTAAAAAGGATGGTTCCTGTCATTCAGAAAAGTTGAATATAATGAAGTAAAATACAGCCTTTTGCCTAGAAACACCCAGAGTTTACATTTTCCCTTACTTGCTTTTTTTCCTCTCTGCACACGCAAGTACACAAAGTATCTCCTAGGAAAGGGCGTTCTTTTTACATAATGACAATACAGTGAGCACACTCAGAAATTTAATATTATTGTCTAATGCAAAGAACTCAAATTTTACCAAATTGTTCCAGTACTGTTCTTCAAAACATTCTCAATGAATTCTAAACAGTTTTCTTAGCCATTGTCTTTGTTGAGGGTGACAAATAGTATAAACCAGGTTTTTAAAAAAAATTTCCCTCCTGGGTTTGACAGATTGCTCCAATTAGATTGAGGTCACGCCACCTTGGGCAGTAGTGCTACCTGAGTGAAACTAATTTTAGTTTCTTGGTGAGGACAAGTTAACACAAGATTCCTGAGTCCTTCACAGTGATAACACATACACAAAGTGCTATCTTCAGAAGTTCCTTAAATGTTTGCTTGAATGGTTATCCTTTAGTATATAGTTGGGGTAGGGGTTGTTTTTTTTAAATAATGTAAGGTTTTTCCCATCCAGCTTTTTAAATAAAAAAACAAGTTCCAAAAATCTAAACTAGAGCCAGCTAGATGCCATCCTTCCTCCCCTGCCCTCTTCTCAGCCTCTATGAATAATCACTTCCATTTGTTTCTGATTCACCGTTGTGTTTTCTGAAGCAAAAATAGCTTTGTGTGTGTGGTGTGTCTTAGACTGTCTTTTCTTGCACTGAAGGTTGTGTATTGTTCTCCCCCGTGGGAAATCACTCCTGCTCAGTTTAGAGTTTCCTTATTCTATGGGCTGTCTAGTATTCTTACTGTAAGAAACTACTAGTTTGAGCACTTAACCATGTTAGGAGCTCTCTCAAGTATTTAGTCATTAGCAGATTTAATCCATAGAACTTGGTTACAGGGTATCTGGTTACAAGGTTACACAATGACCAAATTCATAGCTCAGGAGAGTCTAGGTCAAGATTCTACTTTAGGCCCTGTGTACTTTTATGCCAGAAATCAATGGTGGGATCATTAGAAAGCTGACTGCACACTGTCCCTCCTACCATCTTTTTTTTTTTTTAATTCATGCATGTAAGAACTGGGGTGTAGGCGGAGGGTGAGAGAATTCACCAGAGACAGTCGGGAGCAGAATGGGCAGACTGAAATACACTGCTGAGGGGAGCAGCGAGTGAGACAGTGGAGGTCTGCTGTGCCATGTGGGTAGCTCCCTGGCCAGGGATCGAATTCATGCTGCAGTAGCTGCAGATTGCTTCATAGTGCTGACACTTAACCCCTGGCGCCACCAGGGAGGCCCGGAACCTCCCCTTTCAATAGGGATTACACTGTTACACCCTGAAGATACCATGGCCATTGGTCTGAGAGAATTAGAGGACTATTCTGCTGTCTCATCTCGAGCTGGCTGTTTTATAGTGAGTTTAACAAAAACAGTCATAGGTGAATTGGTTCATCAGAACTGCCAGTCATAGTTGGATCAGCTTGTTAAAGCAGTTGGTCATAGTTGATGTTCTTGGTATTAGTCATGTTCAGCCCCCAAGGTTTATCAGCCTCCTGGTTATGTTGACCTTGCTACATTCTGGCCTGCTTGGTTAATTTCTGATGGCATCAATGTTATACACTCATTCAGGTATCATTGGGATAGGAGTATCAGTTCAAATCAAGAGTTTTAGTTTAGGGTCTCCCCGGTGGCGCAGCAGTTGAGCACTGGGTTGCGAAGCTGCCCGCGGCCTCTGCGGCGCCGGTTCAATCCCTGGCTGCTCCCCGGCCACCTGAGGAGGGTCCCACATGGCGCGCAGACCTTTCCTGCCACCCGCTGCTCCCCTCAACAGTGTACTTCGGTCCTTCTGCCTGCTCTGCTCCCTGCTCTGGCTCTGGTGAATTCTCTCACCCTCCCGCGCTTCTGACTGTACCCAGTGCATGTATAAACAAAACAAACAAATAAAAACATGCCTCTATAAAAAAAAAAAATTTAAAAAAAAAGAGTTTTAGTTTAGAGAAAACATAAGAGTGTATACACACAGCCTATGCTAGGGGTGTGTGTGCATATTCCTATACGAGGTATGGTGCCCTTCCCTTCCTCGCTAGCTCCCTAGCATAATGGCTTGCTATAAGAATATGTAAGTATTTCAGGGCCTCCCTGGTGGTGCAAGGAGTTAAGACACAACCTATGAAGCTATCCGCAGCCACTGCTGCACGAGTTTGAGGCCCAGCCAGGGAGATACCAACATGGCACAGCAGACCTCCTGACTTGCCCACTGCTCCCCTCAGCAGTGTATTTCAGTCTCCCTGTTCTGTTCCCCACTCTGGGATACCTAAATTTTGGAGAAAATTTGGAGTAAACTTACAGATCACTGTGTTTGTATGCTCGTGGGTTTGGAGGTAAATTCTCATAAATGAAACCCTTTTGCATAATTAAAACAATGCTGAGACTGTAATTCTCTGAGCCATTATGATAGGCAAGTGTTATGGGTATTTACTACCAGCTGCTTGGACCTCTGCAAACACTGGAAATAGGGGGTTGTTTATCTTGTTGTCCCCTTTACCAAGTACAGCAATGGATCTTGAACGATGTTTAATAAATGCTTGTAAGTGGAAAGCATGACTCAGACCAGTTGGAAGAAAATAGTCAAGAGGCAGGAAATGCTTTTTCCTTAGTTTTCTTTTAGTTTGCTCTTGGAAGTCACAAAGGCATTCCCCAGCCTTGGAAGTGTCCACATGAAAATGGATGAGTAACTAATTTGTGGGAACAAGAAGATCAAACTTTGAAAGTGGGTCCCCTTCTATACCTTCAATTTTGTGACCTGGTCCCAAAACTTGATGTGCTGCATCAGATAAAATCTCTTCACAGCTCTCTCTCATGGCACAAGGGGTTAAGTGTCAGCACTGTGAAACAATATGCAGCTACTGCAACATGAGTTAGATCTCCAGGCAGGGAGCAACCCACATGGTGCAGCAGACCTCTCCTGTCTCGCCCGCTGCTCCCCTCAGCAGTGTACTTCGGTCAATCTGCCTGTTCTGTTCCCCACTCTGTCTCTGATGAATCCTCTCACTCCCCACACCTCTGGCCTACACCCCAGTTCTTGTATGCATAAATAAATCTTTAAAAATAAAATCTCTTTGCAAGTAGGGAGGGGGAGGAGAGGAATCAAAACAGAGGAGAGAAGAGCAGAAGTGACTGTGGTAATAGATCATGGGGTGATATAGATCATGGGGAGATCTAGAGGGACTACCCCTGAGGGAAAAAATCAAATATTCTACAAAAATGAACAATGATGAAAGGAAATAAATAAACAAATCTCTTCACAACTGATACATCCCATTTCCCTAGAAATTTCAGTTTAACCAGAGTGACTGAAGCCCAATAGAAGTTATGAATGAGGGAGTGAGTCTGGGCAGACAACTAGTCAGGGTCAGGATACCCTAACTGGTAAAAACTGAATGTTCGGAAAACCCACACAACACTGAAGCAACAGGCAAAACCTTGTTCTGGGAAAATGGACCAAGTAACCTAAAAAGGAGTCCCAGCAGCCCTCAACCAATCAACAGGGATACAAAGCAGACACCTGAGCCCTTCAGCAGCTACCCACACAGGACCCCTCTCTTTCAGGGAGTTTTCCTGTCCTTCTTATCTGACAATAAATTTCTTGCTCTTGTGCCTCACACTGGTCTTGACTTGAGTTCTTACCTCAGCAAGACAAGAACAGGGAGCCCCTTAGGGTCCAGATCCCAAACTCTGAGCCCGATTTGGTTACTCTTATGCTAAGTAGGCCTCCCTATTTAGCATAATTGTGACAAAATTCCAGCAGGAAATTCTTGACCACAGGAAGTCCGACAAAAGGGCATGTGTTTGTTGCAATAGTGATCATTGTGGCGAGACAGGAGGGTAGGATGGGATTTACAGGAGGAGAATCATTTCTCCCCTAATATCAAAGACCTGTTCCCTCTAGTTATGTTTGACCGGTAGCCACGGGAACCACCGAGGACAACAGATGCCCAGGTCCCCTGAGAGGCCTGAGCATGGCTCTGGGCTATCATTCTAAGTCCATTATCCGCAGCTCAGAGAAAAGCAAGGGGGCTTTGGGGACTTCTTTTGCAAAAAAGCAGCCATACGTATGGATGTGGTGCCTGGGCAGGTGACTAATGAGGCTGTTTGTGTTCTTTCCTAGGAAGGAGGATGGGGGACTCTAGAGGGTTCTCCTATCCCTGCTTTTTATTTCTAGATAATGAAGACAATCAACAAAGCTTCCCACAGCTCCACTGTGCCAGCCCACTCCCAGGAGGTTTGGGGGAGGCCTTGAGAACACTGTTTTCAGTTGTCATACAGGGCCCTGGTACATATATCCTCCTGGGACAGAAACCAGCTCTGAGAAGACCATGGGTATTGTACCATCTTGAAATAACAGCAAATTAAAGCTAGAGGGATGGGATATTGGAGACAATCCACTCTAATGCCATATTTTCACAGATGAGGCAACCAGGTCTCAGACAGAAGAGCATTTGCAGCTGACCAGGAGCTAGAGTCAAGAATTCTGACTCTAACTCTGATAGCATGCAGAGTCTGGGACCTGGCTCTGGAGTCTGAGAGTCTGATTCAACTTCTGGCCCGAGTTTCCTGATTCGTAAAATGGGACTTTTTCCCTATATCACATCATACACAAAAAAGGACTTAAATCTAAGAGCTAAAATTATAAAACTCTTCAAAGAAAACATACATATAGGGGCCTCCCTGGTGGCACAAGGGGTTAAGTGTCAGCACTATGAAGCTATCCGCAGCCACTGCAGCAGGAGTTCGATCCCTGGCCAGGGACCCACATGTTGTAGCAGACCTCTCCTGTCTCTTCCACTGCTCTCCTCAGCAGTATATTTCAGTGGATCCATCTGTTCTGCTCCCTACTCTGTCTCTGGTGAATTCTTCCCCCTCCCCCCACCCAGCACCTCTGGCCTGCCCCCAACTCTTGTATGCATATTAATAAATCTTTTAAGGGCCTCCCTGGTGGCACAGAGGGTTGACACGCAACCTATGAAGCTATCCACAGCCACTGCAGCATGAGTTTGATCCCCGGCCAGGGAGCTACCCACATGGCGCAGCAGACCTCTCCTGTCTCCCTGCTGCTCCCCTCAGCAGTATATTTCAGTCATCTGCCTGTTCTGCTTCCCACTCTCTGTCTCTGGTGAATCCTCTCACCCTCCGGTGCCTCTGGCCTGTATCCCAGCTCTTGCATAAAAATAAAGAAATCTTTTTAAAAATTTTAAAAAATAAACACATGCTGTACAAAAAGAAAGAAATAAAAAAATTTTTAAAATGCCTATGTAAGTACCCATATTCCCCTCCATCCCAAGCTCCTGCTGACCAATGAAACCCCCTACTGAACTTTCCTATCCCTTAAAATAGGATTTTCAATTCTTAAATGCATGTAAATAGTAGTTATCTCCTATCACTTTCCATTCCTAGAAGAAAAACTTAAAAACAGTGTATTTAATGGTTCCAGAGATAACTACATTCTAATGTGGAGTTTTTGCTTCTGTCTCTTAATTTATCGGCTTTAGATAGTATCGATATACTTTGTAACAAGAAAAATAATAGAACATTCAGTTTACTCACAGTCAAACTAGAACCAGGGTGAAAAGGTGGTGAGACACCCATTGCAGGCACATCACCAAGATGAGAATTAACACAGCTTTGGCCTCTCCCAGAAATGGAATCTTAATCCAGTCGATCAGGAAGCAGCCTGCAATAACCAACTCACTTTTTTTTTTTAAAGATTTATTCATTTATGCATACAAGAGCTGAGGTGTAAGCCAAAGGTGCAGGGGGTGAGAGGATTCACCAGAGAGAGTGGGGAACAGAACAGGCAGGTTGACTGAAATATACTGCTGAGGGGAGCAGTGGGCGAGTCAGGAGAGGTCTGCTGCACCACGTGGGTCAGCTCCCTGGCCGGATATTGAACTTGTGCTGCAGAGGCTGTGGATAGTTTCATAGTGCTGCGCCTTAACCTCTTGCGCCACCAGGGAGGTCCCTCACTTTTTTTTCAAACCTAGTATGACATATTTGTTCACTCCCTTCTGCCTGTAAGTCTCTGAGTTTGTATAGATCCTCAAAGTCCTTTCTGTCAGCTAGGTGGAATGCTGATTATAGACTAAAGCCAGTAAGTGTTTAAAATTTTACTCAGTGAAAATTTGGTTTGAGCAAATTAAGACAGGATCTTTATTAACTGATTGTTCTTTTCGCTTTAAGTTCCATATGGCTTGACTTAGCACTTTACTGGTCCTATCTATATTTAAGATGTTTATATTTTGTCTATCATGACTTTTTTTCTGTGTGCATTTGATTTTTTTAAAAGCTTTATTTATTTATTTATACAAGACCTGGGGTACAGGCCAGAACCGTGGGAGGGTGAGAGGATTCACCAGAGACAGAGCGGGGAGCAGAACAGGCAGAAAGCCTGAAAAGACTGCTGAGGGGAGCAGCGGGAGAGACAGGAAAGGTCTGCTGTGCCATATGGGTTTCTCCCTGGCTGGCCGGGAATCGAACCCGCGCTGCAGAGGCTGCAGACAGCTTCACAGTGCTGTGCTCAATCTGCTGCACCACTAGGGAGGCCCTACATTTGATTTTGTAAAGGATTTTATTTATTTCTTTTTGCATAGAAAAACTGGGGTACAGGGCCTCCCTAGTGGCACAGGGTTTAAAGTCTCAGTGCTATCAAGCTACCGCCAACCACTGCGGCCTGAGTTTGATCCTCAGCATGGCAGACCTCTCCTGTCTCGCCCGCTGCTCCCCTCAGCAGTGTATTTCAGTAGATTTGCCTGTTCTGCTCCCCACTCTGTCTCTGGTGAATCCTCTAGCCCCCCTATACCCTAGTTCTTCTATGCATAAATAAAATAAATATAAATCTTTAGGGCCTCCATGGTGGTGCAAGAGGTTAAGTGTCAAGCTATTGCCAGCCATTGCAGCATGAGTTCAGTTCCCCAGCTGGCCAGGTACGTTCAGCAGGTACATCCACCTGGTACATCCACCTGTTCTGCTCTCTATTCTCTCTGTGGTCAATCTTCTCACCCTCCTGCACCTCTGGCCTACACCCCAACTCTTCTATGCATAAATAAATATTTTTTTTAAAAAAGAAGACAATGAAGAAAAGATAAATAGCAGGGGGTGGGGGGAGGGCCTCACTGGTGGCCTAGGAGTTATGTCTCAGCGCAATTCAATCCCTAGCCAGGGAGGTGACTCACATGGCGCAGCAGACCTCTCCTGTCTTGCCCGCTGCTCCACTCAGCAGCATATTTCAGTAGGTCTGCCTGTTCTGCTCCCCACTCTGTGTCGAGTGAATCCTCTCACCCCCCACACCACATCTCTGGACTCACACCCCAGTTCTTCTATAAAAAAAAAAAAGATAGGGCCTCCCCGGTGGCGCAGCGGTTGAGCACTGGGTTGCGAAGCTGCCCGCGGCCTCTGCGGCGCCAGTTCGATCCCCGGCCACTCCCCGGCCACCGGAGGAGGGTCCCACATGGCGCGCGGACCTCTCCTGCCGCCCGCTGCTCCCCTCAGCAGTGTACTTTGGTCCTTCTGCCTGCTCTGCTCCCCGCTCTGGCTCTGGTGAATTCTCTCACCCTCCCACACTTCTGACTGTACCCAGTGCATGTATAAACAAAAACAAACAAACAAATAAATAAAAGCATGCCTCCTCTATTAAAAAAAAAAAAAAAAGATAAAATAGCTGGGACTACATCAAACTAAAAAGTTCCTATACAGCAAAAGAGACAATAACCAGAACGAGACACCCTACAGATTGGGAGAAAACATCTGCACTCCATACAACTGAAAGGGACTTATATCAAAGATCTACAACTCAACAAAAATAAACAACCCAGTCAAATAATGGGCAGAAGAGCTAAAAACACAGTTTTCCAAAGAGGAAATGCAAATGACCAATAGGTATATGAAAAAAATGCTCAACATCACTTATAATCAGGGAAATGCAAATCAAAACCACAATGAGATATCACCTCACACCAGTAAGAATGGCCCATATTCCCTGGTAGCTCAAGGGGTTAAAACGCAGCACTATGAGGCTATCCACAGACACTGCAGCACTTCGATCCCCGGCCAGGGAGGTGACCCACATGGCGCAGCAGACTTCTTCTGCCTCGCCTGCTGCTGCTCCCCTCAGTGTATTTCAGTGGATCCACCTGTTCTGCTCCCCACTCTGTCTCTGGTGAATCCTCTCACATCCCCCAGAATGTCTCTGGCCTGTACCCCAATTCCTGCATGCATGCATGCATAAATAAATCTTTTAAAAAAGCTGACAACAACAAATGTTGGTGAGGATGTAGAGAAAAAGGAACACTCATACTTCTGGTGAGAATGCAGATTGGTCCAACCACTATGGAAAGCCCAAATTATTAAAAATGGACCTAGAATCTACCCAAAGGACACAAGAACATTAATTTGAAAGGATACTTGCATGCCTATGTTTATTGCAGCGCTATTACAATACCTAAGATATGGAAACAACCTAAATGCACCAAAACAGATGACTAGATCAAGATGTGGTATATATACACAAAGGAACACTACTCAGCAATCAACAAAGATAAACCCATGCCATTTGCAGCAACTTGGATGGAGCTGGAAGGGATTATGCTCAGTGAAATAAGTCAGAAGGGAAAAATAATAATAGGATGATATCACTTATAGAAGGAATATAGGGAAACTAAACAAAGGGCCAAAAAAAAAAGACAAAATGTGTAGGCAACTACAGATCTGAGACTTAAAGCCAGGGGACAGGAAGGGAAAAAGACCAAAGGGAAGGGAAGAGCACAAGGGACCATGGTGCTGGTTCTCAGGTGGTATCGAGGTGGGATATTTGCCTGCGGACAGCTTCACAGCGCTGCGCTCAACCCGCTGCGCCACCGGGGAGGCCCAATAAATAAATCTTCACACACACACACACACACACACACACACACACAAATACCGCACAAAAACAATGTAAAAAAAATTAATAAAAATGAAAATAAATTTAATGTTTACCCTATTTCTTCCTTCCCAGTCAGCCTACCGACAAGCTCCTGGGGGAGCAAAACCAATTCATCCCTAGTGTTGGAGCAGAGGTTTGTGTTGTGCCCAGAAATACCTTCTGTGCCTGGCACACCCCTCCCCCCACACACACACCCCCACACCCCCACACACACCCCTCCACACACCCCGCTCCCTGCTGTAAAGGGCAGAATCTCACCCTCGCAAAGAAAGAAACAAATTTACTTTCCCAGAGCATATCGCCTCGATTGTCTCAGAGTAGTTCCTGTCAACCCTAAAATCCAAATTCGGAGTCATAGTGACTCAGCGGAATCTGATTCAAAGGACCGCCATCGTCCGCACCCAGCTCTCGGGCCGCCCCTTTCCAGGGCGGCTGTTTACACTTTCGCCCGGCTTGGGGGGCACGGAGGGTGTGCCCGACCAGGTCTTGGAAAACTTCCTCCTTGTCACCTCGGTAGCTCCAGGGCAGGATCCAGATGGACCCCCGCCCAGACCCTTGAGGTACCTCTCACGCTTTCCCTTCTTGGCTGTGTGTCAAGTCTCCACCCCCCAGATTGCCCCTTTCTCCCTAAAACTACTGCACCGGGTGCTCCGCCCGTTGCCCCAAGACCCAGCAGCCGGCCCCGCCCTCGTTGCCTGCCCAGCTCTAGTAGGCCGGCCTGGGCCGGGTGTATAAAGGAGCGGGCGCTCTGCGAGCAGCCCCCGTGACGCCTTCCACCGCAGCTCCAGGGTGCAGGAGAACCTTGACCAGCCAGGGCCGCCGGCAGCTAGCAGACCAGCAGACCAGCGGAGCCCACGCGCGCCCGAAGTCATGGCTGGTGAGTGCGCCGGCCACCGAGCCCGCAGTGTGTAGGGCTTGGCCCTGCTTTTTCTTCCTTGACTCCAAACTGGAAAGAACAAAGGCTGTAGGGTCCTGGGATGAGCCTGGACCAGGCTTAGTAAGAGAGGGAATTCCTGTTTCAATCCAGCCTCCACAGACCCTGGTGGGCGTTCTTGGGAAACTAACCTTGGAAGTAAAAATTACAAAACAGGTCTCACAACCAACCCTGAGGCCAAATCTGGCCCACCAGCGAACACTGCCTTTTGGCCTTACACTATTTAAAACGCTGGAATAAGTTGCTAACTTTATGAAGTGAATATAGGCAATTTCACTTTAAAATGTGGATTCCCAGTTTGGGGAGGAAAATTAGAGGATCTAGCAATTGAAGCGCTAGACCTGGGGAAGACACTCCCTTTAGTTTGACCAGACTCAGCAGCTGAGTCAAAGCTGAGCTGGGCAAAGCTGAGCTGGTAGTAGGTCCATTTCCAGTGAGCAGCTACCCTTCTGCTATCAGCTTGAGGGAACCTTAGAGCCACACTTAATCTGATGCATAGATCGCCTCCAATTTATCTTCTACTTTACCAGCTGCAACATCTGCAGGGCCAGGGCACTCAGTTTCCCAGGGAGCCTCACTCTGAAATTGCCAGACAGAAAATTTAGAAAGCCACTTCCGCAGTGCAACTCTACCTTTTTGTAATTTCCTTTCCTCTGGACCCAGTCCTGCCTTCTGAAAACACTTACCTGTGCAGAATATCATCTTGCTAAAAGTAAGTTTAAAACACTTTGGAAGGAAAGGGATTGCTGTCAGTTGACAAACTATAGTTAGAATCTCAGAGAAAGGGGGCCTCCCCTGGTGGCACAGCAGTTGAGCGCTGGACCGCGAAGCTGCCCGCAGCCTCTGCAGTGCCAGTTCGATCCCCAGCCACCGGCGAGGATCCCACATGGCACGCAGACCTCTCCTGCCGCACCTGCTGCTCCCCTCAGCGTATTTCATCAGTCTGCCTGTTCTGTTCCCCACTCTGGCTCTGGTGAATTCTTTCACCCTCCCGCGCTTCTGACTGTACCCAGTGCTTGTATAAATAAATAAATAAATAAATAAAAATAAATAAATAAATAAATAAATAAATAAATAAATAAATCTTAAAAAAGAATCTCAGAGAAAGGGCTAAATTGGGGATTGGAAACCCACCCAGAGTTTCTGGGGCCCCAGAAAACTGTGCTTCTGACACCAGAATGAATGCTCTGTGAAGACAAGGATTTGCATCTTTTTTTGGACATTGAACAGCACTGACTCTGCATAGTAGGTGCTCAATAAACTGTGCCAGTGCCTGAGAGGATTGGTTAGTGAGACACTAGTCTTTCAGGGGCAGAAAGAAAAGTTGGGGGTGTGGAATGTGAGGCAGAAATAGGAGATAGGTCACTGGGGAAGGAGCAAGTGTTTCAGGTCAATAAGTGAGGTGAGCCCAGAGCCTATTTCCAGGGACTGAGACTGGAAGGTGAACCAGGCAGAGGGAGAGACACATTAGCAAAGTGGGCTGGGCTGTGTGAGATATGGTTGCTTTCATTAGAGGGCAAACCGTGTGAGTGGCAGGCAGAAATGAATGTTTAACTAGAGATACTGATAATAACTCCATTTATCTTTCAAGGCTCAGCTCAAATGGCAGCTCCATCTGAAGGTCTGCAGTTAATAGTTTTCCTCTGTGGGACTTTGTCTCCAGCCTCTCCTTTCAGGCTAATGACACAGCTATTTGTTTATGGGTCTTGTCGCTTCTCTTTGGGTAAATTCTGAGAAAATCTAACCTGTCGTGTAGCTAGTTACGTGGCAGGAAGGGCCACTGAACCCACCAAGTTCAAAAAACCCAGTCTGCCCATAAAAAAATGACCTGGATATAGGAGGGGCTGGAGGATATGGTCATTATGTTGGGTTATTAGATCTCTGATAAAACAGGTACTACAGTAGGTCTTTTGTAAAAGTTAAGGGGCATAACTTGAACTTTTGAAAAGAGGGGGATATGTATATTGCGGTGATCATTTCACATCATATCCAAATATTTAAATCATTATGTTGCATACCTGAAACTCAGTACAGTGCCACTAAAAAAAGAATGTGAGCCAAGAGAATCAAAAGTGACAAAGCAGTGCTCAGTAAACATTAATAGGCTGATACAGCATAAAGGACATGCATTTCAGAGCTTAATATACTCACGTTTCTCCCCGTGGCGTTACGTCCTTGAGTTGACAAGAAAGGGGGTTGGAGTTTGTTGAGGAGCCTCAGGAGTTCCTTTCCCTTTTCCAGTCCTTCCAAACAGATAAATCACTCCATAGCGTTCAATTTTTCAACACGTTTATATTCTACCAAATCTTGAGTTTTCAGACTCTAAAATGCCAGGATCAAGCTTGGAAATCCTCATCTGGGACTTGCAGGGGCCTGAACCTTCCACTTGGCTGCGTTTAACCCAGTCTGCGTTGCTAAGGCCAGATGTAGTTAATTGTGATTAACCACAAGCAAGAGAACCAAACGCTTAAAGGGACCTTTCTAGTTATTTTTCTTTAATCAAAAAAGAAAGGTGCAGGTGCTTTTCCGCCTCCCCCCACAGTCACAATGGTTAAGGGTTATCCACTAGTAAGTAGGGACCCCAAGTATTAGGAGAAATTGTGGTGGTAAACTTTCTTTCTGTGGCATTCTTCCCTGCTCTCTGCACATTGCTGTATGGATATACTCTTTCTCTGTATTTTAAAATTAGTCCAGCTTCACCACTTACTATGAACTTGGAGTAACTTGCTTAACTTTCCTGTGCCTTGGTTTTCTCATCCATAATACAGGCGAGGGTCCCACATGGTGCGCAGACCTCTCCTACCACACCCGCTGCTCCCCTCAGCAGTGTATTTCATCAGCCTGTTCTGCTCCCAGCTCTGGCTCTGGTGAATTCTCTCACCCTCCCACGCTTCTGACTGTACCCAATGCTTGTAGAAATAAATAAATAAATAAATAAATCTTTTTTTTTTTTTAAATAAATAAATAAAGCTTGCTTGTTCTAACAATGTTATTCCTACAGAAGAGCTCCAAGAAAGAGTTCATTTCTCCCCACTGCCTCTACACCCTGGCCTCTACACCTCTTACTTAATCTAAGAAAATTATTAATAGTCTCATGTGATCATTCCATATTTTTTTCTTTATAGCAGTATATGCAAATCTCCCTGCAGATATTTTTTTTGGTAAAAGAATCCATTTTATAATGTATAATGTATAATCCATTTGATAAAAATGGATTCACTTTTTTTTTTAAAGATTTATTTATTTGTGCATACAAGAGCTGGGGTGTGGGAGGGTGAGAGGATTCACTAGAGACAGAGTGGGGAACAGAACAGGCAGATTGACTGAAGTACACTGCTGAGGGGAGCTGGAAGCAAGGCAGGAGAGGTCTGCTGCACCACGTGAGTTAGATCCCTGGCCTGCCAGGGATCAGACTTGCTGCAGTGGCTGCATATAGCTTCATAGTGCTGAGACTTAACTCCTTGCGCCACCAGGGAGGCCCTCATTTTATCTTTAACAATAGGTCATGAATATTTCTCTGGGTGAATACATACAATTAACTCATTCTTGTTAAGAGTATAATATTTTTTAGTGTGTATGTACTATCATTTATTCAAATGTTCTCCATAAGTAAACAATTGGGCTGTATCTAATTTTTTCCAATTAAAAAATAGTTGAGTACACATCCTCCATCATTTATCCCAATGTCCTGATGTTTTCAGTCTGTAGAACAGGGCACCAGGAGGACTTGCTGCAGGGAGATGAGGCCCAAGTGCAGGTCTAGAGTCTTTGGCCTGCATGTAGGACCTGGGGTTCAAGTCCCCAACAGAGCCATCAGTTCCCACTCTGTGCCTGGGGACACACCCATGCGGTTTCCAAAGGCTTCTTCCCTGCCCTATTTGCTTTTGCTGTCTGTGGTGGCTCTTCCTGCCTCCCATACCACTCTCTAACTCCTTTGTTGCTTTCTTTTTTTTTTTTTTTTTTTTAATAGAGGCATGTTTATTTATTTATTTATTTGTTTGTTTTATTTATACATGCACTGGGTACAGTCCGAAGCGCGGGAGGGTGAGAGAATTCACCAGAGCCAGAGCCGGGAGCAGAGCAGGCAGAAGGACCGAAATACACTGCTGAGGGGAGCAGCGGGCGGCAGGAGAGGTCTGCGCGCCATGTGGGACCCTCCTCCTCCGGTGGCCGGGGAGCAGCCGGGGATCGAACCAGCGGCGCGGAGGCCGCGGGCAGCTTCGCAACCCAGCGCTCAACCACTGCACCACCGGGGAGGCCCCTTTGTTGCTTTCTTTCTACTCTGTTCCTTGCTTCTGAGAGTTGGCTTCAAGGGCTTCCAAGCTTTCAGTTTGCTCTTCTCTCCATTTATGATGCTTTGAAGCTCTGATTGCAATCCACCCACTTGTGAAATAGCTGCAAAACTACCGGTCACTCCATTATCAGCCTGGGGACCCCTAGCGGCTCGCCCTGCGCCTGGGTCCTGCGGCGCGGCTGTCCAGGATAGCGAGGCGCTCCAGTGTCTCCGGATGCCCGCAGTCTCACTGTACTGCGGGTGCTGGCCCCTCATTCCCCAGCTCCGACTGCCGGTGACACTGAGCGGGGGCACTGATGGGGCTCGCTCAGCCCCCGTGGGCGGTTCAAAGGTACGGACACCTTCACCGAGCGCCAGAGCTACTGACACCGACACCGCCCCGGGCGGTTGCTGCTGAGGAGGTGACTGCGATCCGATCGATCCCATCGGTGGCAAGAGGGAGGAGGGAATTCTGCCATTTTAATAGCCCTGAGCGGTGCTTGTCTTTGTTCTGGCAATCTGATGGGGAAATGATGATATCTCATTTTAATTTGCTTTTCCTGACTGGTCAGGCAGTGAACCTTCTCATTTGTCATTCACATTTCCTCCTACCCGTGAATAGTGTGTTCAGATCCTTGACTTATTTTTGCTATTGCATTGTCTGTCTTAGTTTCTGTTTGTTTGTAGACATTCTTTGGGATTTTAACTCTTTCTGTTAAGAATGTGGATATCTTCTAGTTGATTGTCTTTTGATTTTGTTAATGGCGTGTTGGGTGAACACATTCTCATTTTTTTATTTAAAGATTTGTTTATTTATGCATACAAGAACTGGGGTACAGGCCAGAGGTGTGTGTGGGGGGGCGAAAGGATTCACCAGAGACAGAGTGGGGAGCAGAACAGGCAGATGTACTGAAATAAACTGCTGAGGGGAGCAGTGGGCCAGACAGGAGAGGTCTGCTGCGCCATGTGGGTAGCTCCCTGGCCGGCTGGGGATCGAACTGGTGCTTCAGAGGCTGCAGACAGCTTCATAGTGCTGTGTTTAACCCCTTGCGCCACCAGGGAGGCCCAGAGAAAAAATATTTTTTTAAGGTGAGAATATATTGCAGTTGATAGACTGATAAGGCAATGTCTAACATAGTCGCTGAAGCTTTGCAGGTTGGTACCTCATTTTCTCCTTATGCCTTGTGTGTGTCTAAATAGCCAGGAAAGCTCTGATTGTGTTGGCTCACTCAGAAAAAACATCCTTCAACTATGCCATGAAGGAGGCTGCTGTACAAGCTCTGAAGAAGAAAGGATGGGATGTGCTTGAGTCAGACCTCTATGCCATGAACTTCAATCCTCTCATCACCAGAGAGGATATCAAAGGTAGGAGCAGCTCCTGCTTTAATGAGGTTTTGTGAAACTTCTTGCCTGTGGGTGGTTTTCTAGCCCAGCCTTGGCCATTCTGGCCTCAGTCGCTCCTTTTTCCTCTCTGCAGGTAAACTCAAAGACGCTGGGAACTTCCAGTATGCTGCCGAGTCTGCTCTAGCTTATAAGGAAGATCGTCTGAGCCCAGATATTGTGGCTGAACAAAAGAAACTAGAAGCTGCGGACCTGGTGATTTTTCAGGTGTGTTAGGACCTCAGAAGGGGTGTGGGTCTATTTGAGTTCTTATTGTCCTAGACTTGTCCCCTAATTAGCTATGAGATCTGTAGAGAGTCACTAACCCCACTTGACTGCATTCTTTCTCAAGACGGGTGATTGTCTGAAGAGCAGCGTTGCTGATTATCAGACAGGGTGGATCTGGCTGTATTACTCCTTGAAAATACGAATGTGATGGCAAAGATGACATATGAACCATGAGATTTTTCCCTAGTGTGTTTAATTTTTTCTCCACTTTGTGATTCCTTGTGGTAGTTCTCAAAGTTGGCAGTTCTCCCTTCTATAAGCATCCTGAAGAGTCTGTGGAGTGAGGCACGAGATTGACTTCTCTGCTGAAGATGCAGCCAAAGCAGCCCTGCCCTGTTTAATGTGTTGAGCAGCAAACCACGGCCTTTCTTTTCCCCTCCGGGAAGCTGCCTCAGCATTTAGCAGTCAGTATTGGAACTCTATATGCTTCCCGTCAGTCATCTTTCCTGGAAATGCCAGGCTCTGCTTCTACCAGTTCCAGCCAGTTTTTTCATACTGAACATGGAATGTGTACGAGACTGGAAATGACACAAGAAGGGTGAAACCAGTTATTCAATCAGCTGCAAAAAAATCCAGCCTTTGAAGTTCATTCTGCCCCAGCCTGTGGCTATGAATCAAAGCCGATTACCTCTAGTCAGGTCCCCCAAGGATGCGTTCTTGGTCCACGTTTCTACTGCCATCTTATCCTCATGCAGCCAAGGCAGCAATGGTAATAACCTTTAGTTCTGCATCTCAGAATCACCATAGTTTAGGCTTGGAAAGGACCTTGGTGATCTTTAAATTTAGCTTCTATCTGATGCATACCTTGTTTTCTATCATTACAACTGTGGAGGTTGTGCACTGCAAAATAGCAATGCATTGAAGGGCAATGTAAACACTGCAGATTTGCATATTTATGCCAACAGTTTTTCAGCAGATGGCAGGGAAAGTTATTCCAACATCATCAGTGTTCTTCAATAGTCTTTATTTTTTTTTTTTTTTGATAGAGGCATGCTTTATTTATTTGTTTGCTGGTTTGCTTGTTTGTTTTGTTTATACATGCACTGGGTATAGTCAGAAGCGCGGGAGGGTGAGAGAATTCACCAGAGCCAGAGCGGGGAGCAGAGCAGACAGAAGGACCGAAGTACACTGCTGAGGGGAGCAGCGGGCGGCAGGAGAGGTCTGCGCGCCATGTGGGACCCTCCTCCAGTGGCCGGGGAGCAGCCGGGGATTGAACCGGCGCCGCAGAGGCCGCAGGCAGCTTCGCAACCCAGCGCTCAACCGCTGCGCCACCGGGGAGGCCCTCTTCAATAGTCTTTAAACATAGAAATCAAGGGTCCTGAGGAAGCAGCACCTTAATTCTAACCAAGCTGCCATACGGGCTCGCCCCTGCTCAGTTTTCTCACATCTCCAAGAACAACTTGAGGGAGAGTAAACTTTAATACCCTGCAAGCCAATTAAGTCTATTTTCAGCTCTGACTGGAGAGCGTGCACACTCAGAATCTGCAAATATGGCCCCTTACAATTGCAGAGTCACAAGTATGAGAATGTAAGAAACTAGGAGAGATTATTCAAGTTCCTTTTTTCACAGGTGAGGCAAATGGATGTAGAGCAGATCCCTAGGGGGCTTATGTGGCAAAAAAAACTGAGTTGTTGGCAGAATCAGGGTGAGCACACAGATCTCCCTCACAGTTCTATGTTGTTGTTGTTGTTTTTTTTAAAGATTTATTTATGCATATAAGAACTGGGGTGCAGGCCAGAGGTGTGGGGGTGAGAGGATTCATCAGAGACAGAGTGGGGATAAGAACAGGTGAATTGACTGAAATACACTGCTGAGGGGAGCAGCAGGCGAGACAGGAGAGATTTGCTGCACCATGTGGGTTAGCTCCCTGGCCGGGGATTGAATTCATGCTACAGTGGCTGGTGATACCTTAAGAGCTCTGACTTTAACCCTTGTGCCATCAAGGAGGCCCAGTTCTGTGTTCTTTTCATTCTAAAACCTCACCTCCTAAGCCCCTTTGCTTTAGGTCAAAAACCCTCTACATACTGGAGAAAGCTACAGCGTCCCATAAATTCCTTCTGGGCCCTAGTTGTTCCCTCTGTGCAGTGTTCCAGTTGTCAGTGTCTTTATAACAGGAGTCAAGGATGAGAAGAAATACTGGTACTCCACTTTCATCAGGGCAAAAGGTGCTAAGCAAGACTGGCTCACAGAATTCCGCGTTAAACCTTAGTCCTGCGAATCATTTGTGTGGTTCTGTTGATTTTAAATGATAGGATTTTACACTCAGAGCACAAGGTACATGTTTTATAGTTTCAGTACCACACTCACTACAAAGCAAGCCCTTGGGAAAATACTGATTTCAGCATCACGTTGAAGCAAACTTTGTGACCCCGGCTGTGAGTCCTTGCTGCCTAGTGTGATTTCACAGAAACAAATCTTATTTGCACATGGCTTTCTTTTGGCCCATCCAGTATCTGTATCTTTAGGCAGAAACAGAGAGTGACCAGGATAGTAACTTGAATTTCTCTAATGTGCTAAGTCCTCCAGAAGGAACTACCAGGGCCTGAAGAAAAGTTGGCTCACAGAGACATCGTGGGCAGCAGCGAAGCATCCTAAGTCTTCTGAATTGGGGTGTCCCTGACCTGATCCCCTTGCTTTCTGTCCTGCAGTTCCCACTACAGTGGTTTGGAGTCCCTGCCATCATGAAGGGCTGGTTCGAGCGAGTTCTCGTCTCAGGGTTCGCTTACACGTATGCTGCCATGTATGACCAAGGACCTTTTCGGGTAGGTGGATATTTCTGCTTTTTCTAACAGGTAAATTTTGTTCTGAGGCAGAGTTTGAGCCCAGTTAGACTATAAGGTCAGGCTCTAGATGCCTTGGGGAAAGAAACATAATAAAGTCTTTATAGATGAAATGATATGTTTGGGACTTGCTTTAAAAAATACTTCAGGGTGGGGCCTCCCTGGCGGCGCAAGGGGTTAAGATGCAACCAATGAAGCAATCCGCAGCCACTGCAGCACAAGTTTGATCCCCGGCCAGGGAGCTACCCACATGGTGCAGTAGACCTCTTCTGACTTGCCCCACTGCTCCCCTCAGCAGTGTGTTTCAGTCAGTCTGCCTGTTCTGTTCCCCACTCTGTCTCTGGTGAATCCTCACACCACCATCCCCATGCCTCTGGCCTGAACCCCAGTTCTTGTGTGCATAAATAAATAACTTAAAAAAATACTTCAGGGTAGGGGGAAGGGGCCACAGGATTAGGTAAAACTAAAAATGACAAGTAGTAAGAGTTGGAGCTGGGTGGTGGATGCAGCATAGTACTGCTTTCTCTGCTTTCGGTATGTTTGAAATTTTCCATCATAAAAATGTACAAAGAGGTTCTGGCTTCATTTTCCCAGAGACCCACATACTGTATAACAATCACTGAGACTTTCTGGATCACGTGGTTAGCACCGAGGGTAGACAGATAAAAACAACAAATAACTCAGCATAGATACCTGGAGTTATTCACACTTACTATGCATTATATGACCGCTTGCTCCTGATTTGTCACACCCAAAGTATGGGATCCTGGGCTTGCCCCTGGCTTCCTGTCTGTGTCTGCCATCCAGGCCGGCATTTCTGCAGTCATACTGCGTGGCTCAGAGGCACCAAGGTGTGAAGTAGCATAAACAGCAACTAAGGTGGACTTGTGTGTTTTTTTCTCTGGGGCAGTTTCATTAGCTTCCTGTCACCAAGGAGATGCGGATGGTAATGACTTTTCTCTTACAGAATAAGAAGGCAGTGCTTTCCATCACCACTGGTGGCAGTGGCTCCATGTACTCTCTGGAGGGAGTCCACGGGGACATGAATATCATCCTCTGGCCAATTCAGGTACCTACTTTTCAGTGAACCTTCAGGGGGATTCATTAATTGAGCTTTCTCTGGGGTCCAAAGCCTCAACACAGCAGTTGAAAACAGGTCTGATGTGTGAAGGTGAAAGCAGAGTAATGATGCAGAACTACAGGAAGCTTCCTTTCAGGAGTCATCTGTCTTCACAGACCTGTGTGCTTGTAGTAAAAATCATGTGTGCATAAGCTCCAACACCATTCTCTCGTATCCAAAGGCAAGGGCACACGACCCTACTGTGTATAGACAGGTGTTCTGATCCTCTCCATAGGACTGATGTCTCTCTTCAATCTTCCCGTCCTTCTCCACATGATTCCTACAATCTCTCAGACTACTACCAGGAAAATTTAAGAAATGATTTTAGTCCAGTAAATAAAACTGAAGTCTGAAGCAGTTCTGGTGGCCACTGGACTCTCAAGATAGGGTTGGAGAAAGTAGCAGATGCAGTGGCCACCTATGTAATATTGGAGACTACTGAAGAATAAAGACTCATCTAGTTCTATAGAGAGGCAGAGAAATGCACATCTGCATGCTTTGGCAAGAGTCCCCAGCCAAGAAGCAAAACCTCTCCCTTATGTAATAGAACTTCTAGTACTTTTGGCAGAGGCTCCTAGGCTGGCACAGTTTCAAGGCTTTATTCATTTAAAGAAGAACACAGCTGAATAGGCTAAAATAGGTAACAGGAAGGCAGAGAGCGCAGAAGGTGAAAGAATGTGGCTATGAACCTATTCTTCTGGGTGCCTCTCATTTCCACATTTGGGTGTTTTTTGGGAAGCCCAGATTAACTGTTGGTATGTGGTACAAGCTGTGCCTCACTGCTGTGCTTTGTATATCCTCAGAGTGGCATTCTCCATTTCTGTGGGTTCCAAGTCTTAGAACCTCAACTGACATACAGCATTGGGCACGTACCAGCGGATGCCCGAACTCAGATCCTGGAAGGATGGAAGAAACGCCTAGAGAATATTTGGAATGAGCCCTCACTATACTTTGCTCCAAGTAACTTCTTTGACCTCAACTTCCAGGCAGGATTCTTAATGAAAAAAGAAGTAAAGGAAGAGCAGAAAAGCAAGAAATCTGGCCTCTCTGTGGGTCATCACTTGGGCAAATCCATTCCAACTGACAACCAGATCAAAGCCATAAAATAAGATTCATAGAACTTGATTTCCTAGAAAAACGTAGCCAAAGCTTAGCATCTTTCTTAGACGTCTTTGATGTTCCTTCAGAATTCTTTAAGGTCCTCTACATAATTTAATTTCTTTTGAGATAAATTTTTAGGGATAAGTCTGACTAGACACAGGCCTCCCTGGTGGCGCAGTGGGTTAAGACGCAACCTATGATGCTGTCCACAGCCTCTGCAGCACAAGTTCTAGTCTCCGGCCAGCCAGGGAGCAACCCACATGGCACAGCAGACTGCTCCTGACTCCCCTGCTTCTCCCCTCAGCAGTGTACTTCAGTCAATCTGCCTGTTCTGTTCCCCACTCTGTCTCTGGTGAATCCTCTCACCCCCCCACAACTCTGGCCTGTACCCCAGCTCTTGTATGCATAAATAAATCATAATAAATAAATCTGACTAGACACCATCCAACTCTTCAAAGATCTTTTTTTTTTTTTAAGATTTATTTTTATATAAGAACCAGGGTACAGGCCAGATGCGCGGGAGGGTGAGATGATTCACCGGAGACAGAGCAGGGAACAGAACAGGCAGACTGATGAATACACTGCTGAGGGGAGCAGCAGGCGAGACAGGAGAGGTCTGCTTTGCCATGCGGGATTCTTGCCAGCTGGGATCGAACCCACGCTGCAGAGGCTGTGGACAGCTTCGCAGTGCAGCGCTCAACTGACTGAGCCACCAGGGAGGCCCCTGATCTATTTTTCTTTTAATTACCTCTCTGTGGTTTGTGGCAGAAGGGAATTGCTCAGAGAAAGAAATGACTGAATGTCTTAACTAAGGGACTTGTTTAGTAGTCATTATAGTTGTTTGTAATATACATTGGTTTTAATTACTATACCCTGACAAATATGTATGTAATGTTACTTTCTTCAGCTTTTGTTATTTGTATATGGTACAGATACCTTGAAATGAAAAGCTAATAAAAGCTTTTTTACCTCAGTTTTCTAATTTAATATTTGCAGAAATAAACCAACACATGTATATACGGCATTTGCTACAGTAGGTGAATTCAAGAAAGAAAATAATACCCCTAATACTTAAAACAGCATTCCACCAACAGTACTTTATTTCTCATCTATATAAACATCTGGAAACTTTTCTCTGTATCATTACTAAACTGACATCTTTCAAGGATGCATTTTGGTTCCAAGACACTTGGGATAAGATCAAATGCCTGGAGTTTCTTTAACTTCAGTGAACAATTTGGGCATAATGTTCTATCTTCCCACTTAAATTGCAGAAGTGCATCTCTACTAACTGTTGGTGTTTGATGAAAGACCACCCTCTTGTGGTGCACTGAAAGAACATACAAGTTATGATGCAAAGTAAGGTTGCCTGAAATTGGCAGCAGCCTACTTACTACCTGCCTATGATAGCATCTAGTCGGAGAACCTCACTTGCCACATACTAACTAGAACTGAGGTTTGCCCCCCTCCCCACTACAATATCCACAACAGCAGGTATCTGGGTGTTTCAGTTTGAAAATAATTTTTGCTGCCTTCATCCTTACTAATTTTGTGTGAATATCTAAAAGATTCAAATGAAATAATATCCATTTCTACAAAACAGATCCATACTCATTAGTTTTAGTGCAGGTGGTGATAGAGGCATTCTGGTAAAAATGGATTCTACTGAGGAAGCTGTGATCAGAGGCTTCAGTAATAAATTATGGCTATAAGCCTAAGATGACTTAGCTGGAAAACTTATTCAACAGGGCTGTTTCATACTAAATGGTAGTATTAAAATACTACTAAATGGCAGTATTAAAATACCTATTAAAATACTTTGGACCAGGCCTCCCCGGTGGCACAGCGGTTGAGCGCTGGGTTGCCAAGCTGCCCGCAGCCTCTGCAGCACTGGCTTGATTCACAGCTGCTCCCCGGCCACTGGAAAAGGGCCCCTCATGGTGTGCAGACCTCTCCTGCCGCCCGCTGCTCCCCTCAGCAGTGTACTTCGGTCCTTCTGCCTGCTCTGCTCCCCGCTCTGGCTCTGGTGAATTCTCTCACCCTCCCGCGCTTCTGACTGTACCCAGTGCTTGTATAAATAAATAAATAAATAAATAAATAAATAAATAAATAAAATTAAAAATAAATCTTTAAAAAAAAGTACTTTGGACCCAGATGATAGCACTAGAAGTGTTGAGAAGTGGTTGGATTCTGGATATATTTCAAAAGTTGGAGTAGCAGAATTTGATGAATTGGCTCTATGCCAGATTAAAAAAACCCTCAAAGGTATTTCAGGGCAAGAAATTGGCAGCAATCTGGAGAGTACTGGGGGCAGAAGTGAACAGGGAGGAATGAAAATTTGACTTCAAGACATTATGGTTGAGATTGCTATTGAGACAGCCAAATGAAGCTGTCAAATACGCAGTTGTATAATACAAACCTGAAAGTAAGGGCGAAGTTATGGCTGGAGATTCACATTTGGGGATCTTAAACATATAAACAATATTCCAAGCATTAAAACTGCATGAGATCAGCTAGGAACTGACTTAGGACAGAGAAGAGATCTTGACCTCAGGGCTCTTCAACGTTAGGTCAAAAAGATGAGAATGAAAGGACTGACTGGCTGGTAAAGCAGGAAAGCCAAGTGAGAAACAATTTCAAGGAGGGAGGGATCAAGGGTGTCCAGTGCTGCTCATTAAATAAGACAGGTCTGAGAACCGACCTTTGATTTGGCTATTGATTTGGCTACATGGAGGTCATTGGTAATTTTCAGAAGAGCTATCTCAGTAGAGCGATCTGATTAAGACTGGAATGGGTTACTGAGAGAACAGAAAGAAAGGGGAAGTAGTGTGTAGGAGTGTATATGGTCAAAGAAATTTGTTTTTTTTAAAGAGATACAGGACATTACAGCAAGTTTACACAACAGGGGAATGACTCTCTGAAGAGGTTTTAATACTGTCAGAAGACCATGAAAGGAACATGTCCTTGAGAAAGAAAAGGATAAAGGATTCAGTGTACAAGAGACAGAACAGAGTAGTATCATAATTAGTAATACTAACATAAGCGACACTTATTAGGCATTTACTTTGTGCCAGGAGCTAAGTAATTTTACACAAATTAATTGACTGTTGCAAGAACCTTAAGAGGAGAGTTTTATTTTTTTTAAAAGATTTATTTTTTATTTATTTATGCATACAAGAGCTGGGGTGTAGGCCAAATGTCTGGGGGCTGGGGGTGGAGGTGGTGAGAGGATTCACTAGAGACAGAGTGGGAAGCAGAATAGGCAGATCTACTGAAACACACTGCTGAGGGGAGGAGTAGGCAAGACAGGAGAGGTCTGCTGCGCCATGTGGGTTAGTGTGATGGCCGGGGATTGAAGTTATGCTGCAGTGGCTGCCGAAGGCTTCATAGTTCTCAGACTTAACACCTTGTCCCACCGGGCCAGGCCAGCCCAGGAGGGTTCAATTTTTGTTTCCAATTTATAAATAAGGAAAATGAGGTTAAACAGTAGATATAGGAGCCAGAATTCCATTCAGGTAGGCAAACTCGAGCCTATGCTTTTAAATACTTTTTAAATGGTGCTTTAGGAGCAGAGACCGTGGCAGGGGAGGTAACCCACATGGCGCAGCAGACCTCTCCTGACTCACCTGCTGCTCCCCTCAGCAGTGTATTAAAGTGAATCTGCCTGTTCTACGCCCCATTCTGTCTCTGGTGAATCCTCTCTCCCCACCACTACCACCTCAGGCCTGTACCACAGTTCTTGTATACATAAATAAATTAATCCTTAAAAAAATGTTTAAATTCATGTTGAAACATGAAATGATTGAGTACCACAATCATTTCACATATCACAAAAGTGGTATGTTGTTTTATATATATATATATATATATATATATATATATATATATATATATATATACACACACACCATATTCTGATAAAGGCCTTTTTATATGTGTGCAAATAACTTCCAGAAGAATAAAAGAGATTGCCTCAGGATGTGCAACCAAGGGTTGGGACACATGGCTTTCAACAAACATGCTACATGAGTTGCTACAATGTGTATGTTCTGTTTTACTAAACATCAAACATTTAAGCAAAATGAACCAAGAAAAAATTTTGTCACACTAAATCACCTCATGCTGTGCCTGGCAAAACAGTAGGAAGTAACTACTTAAAAATATTTGTTGGGCCTCCCGGGTGGCGCAAGGGGTTAAGACACAACCTATGAAGCGATCCATAGCCAATGCAGCATGAGTCTGATCCCCGGCCAGCCAGGGAGCTACCCACATGGTATAGCAGACCTCTCCTGTCTCGCCCACTGCTCCCCTCAGCAGTGCATTTCAGTTGATCTGCCTGTTCTATTCCCCACTTTGCTTCTGGTGAATCCTCTGGCCTATACCCCAGTCCTTGTATACATAAATAAATAAATCTTTAAAAAAATAAAAATATTTGCTATTTCATAGCAAAATATTTCGTGATTTTCCTAGTGATTTTATAATTTCAGTCATATACTAATATTGCTCAAAATTGACATTCATGGGTATGAATTCATTCACAAAGTTTGAGGAAAAAAAGACAGTTACCCACTGCAAAATGAAAACTTTCAATGTTTTATTTTTGACTGCAGCTGTTTACAGAAATATAGTTGCGAGTATACAAATGTTCCAATAGAAGCAAAATATCTTTTTAATATTTAACAAGTTATCACAGATAGCTAAAAACATAGATGCAAATGAAACTCCCCCCAAGAATAAACTGAAAATATCTGGTGTCAGTGCTCTGAAATCCCAACTATGAAAGCCATATACACAAAAATGTAACCGTTATATCATTGCAGGACAATGGAAGAAGGCAGTTCAGTGGTTGATCAGTGTGCTCAAGCAAATAAAATTTAATTTTAAAAAATTTCAATGGCAGAATGATAGCTAAACCACATGAGAATAGGTTAATGAAATATTTGTAGTATATTTATTGAAAGACTAAGTAAAAGAAGTGAATGAAACAGCAGAAGTTGTCAAAAAAAAAAAAAAGTAGCAACTACTTGGAGCTTATCAACTAGAAGTAGGGGAACAATGTGAACAGATACATTCATTAGCTTAAAAGAAACTAGCGCCAGGTCACTGGAATCAGTCTGTAGCTACTAAAGTCATGAACACTTCAGTACAGGACAGCTCTTAATGGACAGATTAGTCTGATTCCAAACTCTCAAACATCTGAGTGTGTGTGTGTGTGTGTGTGTGTGTGTGAGTGTGAGAGAGAGAGAGAGAGAGAGAGAGAGAGAGAGAGAGAGATCCTGAGTTTATTAGCTCAAATAATAAGTGATCCTTACACACTGTCTCAAACCAGGCAGATTACTTCTGGAAAAAAGGAGCCCCGGTGATATGGTTAAGCATGGAACATTTAAAACAGATAATACAAATTGAATTATGACAAAATGCTTTGGGTACAAACATATAGTATGCAAAAAAGTAAGAAACAGGGGAGGGGGTTAAGAAAGGAGGAATGTAGTTAGAGAATCTCCCAACAGTTTACCTATGTTTTTGCCAGCACCAAAGTGTGTATAGTAAGCCACTTACATCTCCACTGCTTCCATTAAGCAAAGACAGCAGTGGTGAGTTTTATAAAGTCAGCATACATTTATTTTTATTTTGAAATATATATTTTTCTTTCATGAGTTAACTGGTGTTTGTAAATGATGGGTAAAAGAATAGAATAATTATGCAAGTACTGAGTTACAAAGGGAGATTAAAATGAATGAGTAAATCTACTTATCTTGTGGCTAGTTTATATTTACCATGATGTATACAATTGAGAAGGGAGACAAGCCCAAATTATATAATGTACTGTCTTGTTTAATATTATTTTAGTAAATAGTGCTAGTCTAAGTTGCAAGGATAGCAATATCTCTACAGCATCAGTTCTCATATAAAACAAATTACTTTCAGCAAGTTTTATCTATTAAAAAAGAAATTAAATAAGGTGCTTTATTGATCTGGCCAGCCATCTTGTTTAATATCTCAATACAAATATGAATATAAGGAATGACAAATAATTTTGTTCTAGGAGTTGGTCTAGCCAGAGCAACATTGTGGTCTGCTGGTAAAGAAAGAGGCAATGAAAAAAAATTTTAAATTCTTGTATTATCACTGCCCACAATGTACCCATTTTATGAATAAACAGGAGTCTTTAGCACCCGTCAATTGTATTAGCTACTTAAATTGTATTAGCTACTTTCTTAACAATTAAAAGAAATATAGAACATTGCACCTATGTATTTAAATCAGTCATTTAATGTAAACTTTTTAGTAAGTGGTAGGAAAATGCCAAACTAAGTTAACTAAATTATCAATAACTAGATTAACTGTATATGTACATAAAATATACTGTATTTTCACAGACAGTAATGAGAATAAATTATCATTGCCAATAAATGATTATGGATAACAGGGTTAAGTTAAATTTACATAAATAGCAATGTATAACTGTATCTATATGAATAAAAAACTTTCTATCTCTTACTGTATATAGTTTATGCCAGTGATTCTCAAACTTGAGAGTACATCAGAATGACCTGGAGGGCTTGTTAAAACAGACTGCCTGGCCCAATCCAGTTTCTGATTCAGTATATTTAGGATAAGGCCCAACAATTTGTTCTAGTTTCTAATAGGTTCCCAGGTGATAATGATGTGAGCTGGTGGGCTAAGGATCATTATTTTGAAAACCACTGGTTTATACATAATATACATGTACAAAACTATATACTATACTGTTCTTATGTACATGACAAAATATATAGAAAGAGGGCAGGCTTTAACTCTTGAACATATAGATTAGCAAGTTGAACATCTTATTTTTCTAAAATGATTCTCTGAAATACAATCATTCCCCCTTATAGTAAATTACATTTCAAAGTGTTAAGTCCCACTTTACTATCATTTTAGAATGTATTCGCATAACTTATACCAAATTGGCTATCCAAAATAAAAGGGACATAAATATTCTAAATAGTTAAAATTCATTCATTAGGAAGGAATCGTCACTATACACCATTCTTGACTACTTTGGAATGATTAAAGTGCATAATATCAATAGCATATTAAAAATATTGCATAAAGGTTTGCAGTTTCTTAGTAACATGAACAGTCATGGAAGTACTCACATGGGGAAAGCAGCTCTATTCCAAAGTTACTATTATCCTAACCTGCTGCCAAAGGAACTCTCTGCAGGCACCACCACTGTTGTAAGAAGATGGAACATAGGCAAAGTTAACAAAAACCTAGGGACACTCATCCAACTATACCTGATTAAAAAAGAATTATCATCTTAGGTCTAGAGGGGTTCAGATATAACTTCATTTCCTTTGACACTGTTTTTCCTAGGGAGATTAACTGAAGTTCTGAGGGGGTAAGAAGTGCACTGTAATAAATCAGTTAACCCTATCCAGTTAGAAAAAAAATGACACCATCAGTCTTTACCTAAACTATGTGTTAGTCATTTATTTACATCCAAATAATTAAGAGAAAACACTTTGAACGCCCTCCTGAAATTCACACACATTTGTATGCATGGAATCTCATAGACAGTAAAATTTTCGTTAGCACTCAGAGAGCTATCATTAGTTGGCCGAAATGACACATTTAATTTATGTAAAGCCTGAACAGTATAATTCTGTAAACTTTTACTTATCCTCACTCAAAGGAACATTTCTAGCAAGGCATCTTTTCTGTTATTCTTATGCCAAGGGGAGTTAGAAATCTATGAAGTTGTTTCTTATGGTAATCAAGATGGAGAATAACTAAACGGAAAGGTTATAAGTTGGGACCTATTAAAGCCATTTTTAAGTGTGTTTTGGCAACAGTGAAAAATGAAATTATAAGAAAGGGCCACTATCATGGTAAAAAGGCACTTTTCCATTAAACATTTAATCTACATATAAAATATTAATTTAAAAAATTTCCTGAAAGACAAAGTGGAGTAAAAATAGAACTTTATTAATAAGTGAGGCTAGAATGGCATGAAAATAAATGGGGATTAAAGGAGTAATTAGAACACTGGGGCAATTCATAAAAGATACAGGTATTCTGAAATCTACTACATCATAAACATTATCTCCATGATTTAGTTCTAATGATACAAATAGGCAGAGAAAACTACTTTTTAATACATGATAAGAAATTTTATTAATCCACTGACTAGGGTGTAGGTTCTAAGTTGTATTTCTAATAAAGCTGAACTATACAGTATCTCACTTTCATTGAGTCCTGCCACATAACCAAAGGCATGCGGCTGTAACATGGCTGCCTTGGTCAGGGATGAAGTCTGGTTATGAATGGAGTAATAGGTGTAATAGGTGTCATATTATAAAAAAAATCAACAAGGAAACAGATATCAGAATATTCATTTCAACAGAAAGATGAAACATTCTCAAACTACTCCTAAGTGAATATTTGTAAACCAAGTTGAATTTGAGACTTTGATTATTAAAGCATTTATTGTGATCTTTATTAGTTGATGTTAAACAGATTTTATTTTTCCAAAGCAAGCATTTATAATGGGCTTAAATGATGCCATTATAAAGGATGGGATGCTGAGAGTGACTCAGATATAACTTCTTTCTCATTTCCTGTCACACTATTTTTCTTAGTTTAACACTGTAATTCCTAGCACATTTACTGAAGTTCTGATGGACAAGAAAGGGGGTATAACGGAATTCTCAACAATAGCATATATAATATTACAAAGAAGAAAGGAAGCAAAGGAAAGAAAGAAGGAATATCCCTTATTAATGCTTCTATAATAAGCAAAGCCCTTAGAAAAATCTGTCAAGGGAGACTGGTGGAAACAGATTTGCACTGGCGAAATAACATGATACTCCAATTATAAAAGGCAACATGACAAAGCTCAGAAACAACATTTGACTTCTAATTATCTTCCCCCATATTGATGAGGCTATATAATGGAATGACAACAGGAATAACACACACACACGCACGCACACACACACACAGATAAGCTCCAAGCACTAATGTGAGTTGCTAAAAGGAAGGACAACTGAATGTAACAATGCAAAGGAATAAAATGTGGTTCATAGTTTATTTAGATCCTTCTGCCATAAATAAATTTAATAAATTGTTTTCAAGGCCTTTGGGGCTCACTGAGTCTTTCTATATATAGTTATATCCTGTAACAGTAATCTGGAAACTACATTATTAGCACAAATATCAACCACTGACCACTGAACAACTCTTCAATAAGAAGACAAATACTTTTTTGTAACCAAATTGTATATTCAGAATGCTGTACTTAACATTGACCTTCAGGGGTAAGGAACATTTAACAATGATTAAAAAAAAAATCATCATTATTGAATAAGAATATGGAAGCATAGCACAGCCCTTGTATAAATAACCACAAAATTTATGAAAATAAAAATTGGGTTTCTGCCTCCATTCAATCAAACCAGTACAGTTCAGGTGTATGTTCTGTTCTAAACTTAGGTATTATAAAACAGAAATTGGTCCCTGGTGACTTGGCATTGGCAATCAACATTTTACAATGATAAAATCTCTTGCTAAACAACAGAACACAAGTCAGCACACAAACCAGTCTTCTTGCCATCACTTCATACAGAGCAGTGTTAATAAACATTCTAATTGGAATTTGATGAACAAATAGACTTCCTGAGTCTCCTGTGTAATCGCTTAGAAAAAAATTCAGAAAACTCAGAAATAAACTGAGAACATTTTAATTTTAATTCTATTTTCTTACTTTTACACCTACTGGGTAAGCTTTCTCTGATATTAGGCAACCCTCTGCAGTTAGAGTTTAAAATTTACATTTTAAAATTGAAGCACTGGGTTGTGTGGCTGGTCCTTCTTATAACCTGAACTATATTGGGTAATTTTTCAGGGGTGGGAAGAGAAGAGATATATTGAGGAGAATGCTTTTGGTTTAGAGAATTTATAAAGTAGCTCTGGATATTAAAGATGGGGAAAATGTTATTAAAATTACAAACATGGGATTTTTTTAGTGTTTTTATAAATAAAAGGCATAGAATACAGAAAGCCAATTAATAATAACAATAACAACAATAATAAAATATTAAATATATGTGAGCAAAGACTGAATGGCTCATTCTTGTGAAACACCATTAGACACAACTGCCTGGATGGGTTTCCTTACTCTACAACATTTTGCTGAGTGAAAGACCCAGCAAACACACAGTAAGCTGCCTTTAGCCCACTAATAACATCAAGGAACTGCCTGATGGAATGGCCACAGATGAACAGGTCATTTGTTTTAAAAGATACTTAAATACTCAATAAAGACATAACAAACCCCCCCCCCTCACTGTTATCAGACGCCACGTTGTGGTAGAACATCAGACAAACTCACAAATTTACCACAAAAATGTGTGGCAAAAAAAGAATAGTTTATATATATGTATATATATAAATTTCTATATTTATGCCAATGTACTCAACTCAGTACAAATAGCAAAATAGTATACCATTTCCTAAATACAAAATATAGCTTTCCAAAAAAATGAAACACACATTAGATATAAACCATCCAAAACTTGAACGATTGAAAACTGTATTCAAAATTAAATGACCCAGAGTAGGTCTCTTTCTGAAAAGTTCCCTTCATATCGGCAAGAAGCCTGTACTACTGAAAACGTAATTCAATGCCTCTCAATCAGAGAGAGAAAGAAAGAAAGGGTTGAGGGTAGAATATATGATAACAAAGAGAAAAACAAATTAGAAAAAGAGCACATTCAAAGAACCAAGGAAGACCATCACAAAAAGGGGGAAAAAAATCTGGCTGTATAAACAAAACCAACACCACAATACCACAAAGTTCAACTAAATTAGGATAGGAAAAAAAATAGAAAAGTAGCCTTCAACAAACAATTAACAGGCTATTTTTTTTGTACAATTAAAAAATAAATGAAATGGACAAGAATACCAAAACATCCTATCTACATATAGAAGCCACACACAATTTGGCCTTAAACTGTATTAACAGCTTTCTACATGCCAAAAGGAAAGTAAGATATAAGCATGTGTCCAGACAATAGGTTGTAGTGAGAAGCAGGCATCCCATGGGTGATGAGAACACCCAAAACTGTATAACTAACGCTACAACTGCAGGTTCTGGAGTGTTATTTTGCTCTCTATAGTTGTAATACGAGTTAATTCTTCATTTTAAGTCAATGATATGACCCTGTAAAGCCTAAGGCTTGTGGGAACCATCAGATAAGTGACCACTTCAAACTGTAAAGCACTGAGGTGACAAGTGAATTACACACTCACTGCAGCTCAGGAAGAAGTGATATTTCAAGAAATTTTAGTTTTTTTTTAAATTAAAATTTTATAGTTTCCTAATATAAGGAAAAAATTGAAGACTTTAGAACAGCACCGTTCATGGGAAAAAATGCATTGTTTCTTGTTTCTCAGGAATCAGCTCCTCTCATTCCTGAAAAGGGACCACTCATCTGTGCTGCAGGAGTTGCTGGGTTATCCAGATCTCAGTAGCCTTTTCCATTGAGTTGCTACAGGGTCATTACTAATTGTATATTACTAATTTTCTAAAATTAAGTGGAAAAAAAGAGGAAGAATACAGATGAATATAAAAGGGAGTATCAGCCCAAGACTGCATTAAGAAGAAAACTGACTAAAAATTATTTGTCAGTTTAAACTATTGTGGGAGGACATCAGAATACAGTTTACCATATATTCTCCCCTTCATTCCCTCTAGAGCAAGATAATTATTTTTCTATGCAGTTATGGCTAAACCCTTTAATAGAAACACAGAAAATTAACAACCTCTGAAAAATAAAATCAATAGCATTCCAGCTGTTCCCAGTTTGTGTGTTGTTTGCCTTTGTGTTAAATAAAGAGGCCTCTTATCCGTGCAGAGCTCTTAATACAGCTTATTTGTCAGAATATTAGCCTTTCAGTTTTCCATAAAAACTGAAAAAAGATTCCTTCACTTTGGCCAACAGCTGTGCTTTTTGCATTGAAAAATCACAGCCTTTGTTACTATTTGAACTTTACTTTCTCAAAAGCCATTACTTGACTAAAACAAAGCAGGAAAGAAAATAATGAAGAACAGAAGTAAACACGACAATGAGTTATTTTCTAATAGCAATAATAACCGAGTAGTCCAGCTTTTAAATTTAAACTGTACTTTAAAAGAAATAGTGCCTAGGAAAATAGCAACAATTAACTCTGTCAGCTGGAAACTCAAATAGACTCTCAGTCATCACTGCTATTAGGAATATAAAATACGAAGACATTAACAACGGTGGCTAATCACTGCAACAGGCAGCATAAGTGTGCTCTTTTGCAGTCAGAGTAAAATCTATCCCTTTACTCAATCACAGTTTTTCATATTTTGTTTTTTTTTTTTAAAGTAACAGTTTAATAATCCTCGTGGAACCACAAGATTTCAGGACATCTTGGAATCAGGATTTTCTTCAAGGAATTTCTAAGAAAAAGAAGAAATTTAATATAACTTACTAGAGAGGGAAAGCATTTACAAAGTTCCTGTCACCCTGAATGATCCCAAAGTATGCTCTAGCACAATAAAAGATACCTTATCATATTTCTACTTCCACAGACATATCTGTATTTATATTTATTTCTTGAGGGAGAAATGAGACATAATATAGCTGTATGTAGTACATTCATTAGATATTTTGTCATTCCAAGGCTAAGTTAAGAAATTTAGAGCCAGAGGAATGCCCAGTATTAATAATATGACCATAAGTTGTCATTCATAGTAATTTATACACACCATCTTGTGAGAAAGCCATCTTTTAAAAGATTAGAATCTAAACAATGCTATTACTTAACCCAAATTTGTTAAGAATAATACAATTTACTGATGTTTATCAATAAGCAAGAAGTTAAAGTGCAATACTTACATCTTCAGTTAAAAAGAACCAGTCAAATTGTTCCCTTGGTTTTGCAACGAAACAAGCAAATCAATCTTTTCAATGTTCTGGTTGGTGTTTATAGAGGATGCCAGAGGAGAATTCTCTGGCATTTGCTGAGAGAGAAGTGTTGTCACAGGTGGCTGTCCCTCATTTTGTGGTTGACCTGGCTGACTTATGGCCATCAACTGATCTGGCAATGTAGCTGGTCCAGAAGGTAAAAGCTGACTACAGTCTGCAGAGACATTTAAAATACAGATGATACCTAATTAGTTATTTTCTGTTAATAAATACCTAAGGAGGTATTTATTAGTTGCTAGGGGAAATGAATTATTGTGCTCAGTCAGTACAGAAATAAAGATGAGGCAACTGATAGTCCCATTAATGTAAGTACTATAAAATTTTATTGGTATATGAACATTAAAGATTGGTTTCTACGTCCTTGGAAACTACTTACTTTGAGATATTTTCTGTCAATGTTACTTCATTTTCAAGTTTATAGCTTAAAAATGGCAGACACATACCTTTATATACATGACCACATTTAATCCTCCCAATATCCTTGCCAATTATGTAACATCACCACCATTTTATTTTATTTTATTTTTTAAAGATTTATTTATTTATACAAGAACCGGGGTACAGGCCAGATCCGTGGGAGTGTGAGAGGATTCACCAGAGACAGAGCGGGGAACAGAACAGGTAGAATGACGAAATACACTGCTGAGGGGAGCAGCAGGTAAGACAGGAGAGGTCTGCCATGCCATGTGGGACCCTTGCTGGCCGGCATCGAACCAGCACTGCAGAGGCTGCAGATAGCTTCACAGTGTGGTGCTCAACCGCCCGCGCCACCAGGGAGGACCTACCACCATTTTAGATGTGGAAATTGAGGCTCATGCAATCAAATAACTTGTTCGAGATGTCACAGTCTGTTATGGTATGGATGGAAGTGATCTCAGTTCTAAGTACAAACTGTGCTCTTAAAAATCACTGAGTTTTGTGTTCTTCTCAATAATAATCAGCTATTTCAACAAGTAACATTTAAGAAATGAGAAATTAGAAAGAATTTTCTTACTATTTTGAATTCCAAATAAGAACATTCCTGAAGTCTGCTGAGATGAGCCTGGAGAATTCTGTAGTTGGTTCATTGTACCTCCTGTAGTGTTATGAAATAAAGTAGCCTGTGGCTGAGGTGAAGATGTGGCTCCTTGGATTCCAGGCATGTTGTTCTGAGGGGAATAAAGAGGAGACTGTTGCATGTCCTGTTGGTTTATACTGGTCTGCAGTGCAGACATGGACGCTGGAGAGAGGAAGAGTGTTACTTGCTGCTCTTGAGAACTGGGTGACCCTTGGACCAACTGAATCTGAGGAGAGGTATGGTACAAGGAAGTCTGTGATGATTCAGACTGGGTAGGACCTGGGTTCTGAAGTGAGGAAACTGTGGGCTGGTTCTGAAACTGCATGGGCTGCTGCTCTTGATTCATTTGGGCCATATTATTTTGTTGGTGAAAAATGGATTGGTTCTGTTGCTCCTGATTAGCCATTGGATTCTGACTTGGGTTGAATATCATGTTTGGTGGTGGTTGCTTCTGAGATGCCATTGTAGCCATGGTATTCTGGTTACTGAATAAAATGCTCTGCTGCTGTTGTTGCTGTTGCTGCTGTTGCTGTTGCTGCTGCTGTTCCTGGGAAGGAGAGTTACTCTGGATGGCAACTATTGGGTGCTGTGACTGGAAGATTGTTCCTTGTTGGTTTTGAGGCATAGGATTAGGAGGAAGGGAGCCAAGGGACACTTGCGGCTGAAATAGACTTTGCTGGGAGGATTGTGTCTGTTCTTGGGAAAGCATAGGGGTCTGCATGTGTGATATTGGAGCTTGCTGTTGGAAAGCAGCTTGCTGCTCAGTGTTTGAAGTTGATTGAAGTGGGGAAATTGAGTTCTGAGCTGCAAAAAATGAAATCTGTTCTTCTTGGGTTACTGTGTTAGTTTGAAGATTATTCATTGGACCCTGGGAAAGAAATATGTTGGCTGACTGCTGCTCCTGAGAAACAGAAGAGCTCTGTAATACAGCCATGGTACTTTGAGAGTGAAACATTGGAGGTTGCATTTGTTCAGAGGAGGTTGTAGAAGTCTGACTGTGGACAATAGGACTTGGACTATGAAAAATAGAACCTGGAGTTTCCTGGGAAAGGTTCTGAGCATCAGCAATAGGATTCTGAGGATGAAAAAGTTGAGCCTGTGAATGAGAAGACTGCTGCAAAAAATTCCCAGATTGGAGCGACATTATCTCATTACCTTGCTGGAATAAACCATTACCTTGTTGCTGGGTACCACTATTCTGAACACTCATCATACTTTTCGTAGATGAAAAAAGGTTAACTTGAGGTTGACTGTCCCCACTATGTTGCATTTGAACCATGGTCTGAAAGACACTGTTCTGAATCTGTTTTGCTTGTGCTCCAGTTTCTTCTCCTTCTCCTGAACTTGATGTTTGAAACATGGTAGTGCCAGGGGTTGCAACCTGCTGTGTGGTGGTTGTAGTGGTTTCATTTCCAGAAACTGCAGGAGGAGAAGAAAACAATTCACATTGCATTTGCATATCCTCACTGGTAGGTAATGCACTCATCATATGAGAAGTCTGTTGGTAAACTGGAGATTGCTGAAGGTTTCCATTTGCTGAAGCAGTTGAAGGGAACAACTCTGACTGAATCTGGGCAGCTGCCTGGCAGATACTCTGTTGCATTTCCATCACCATTGCAGCAGATGATTCCATTACTTGCTGTTGCTGTTGTTGCTGTTGCTGATTAGATAATGTGTTTTCAGTCTGTGGGTGAACACTTTCAGCTCTTCCAGCTATCAAATTATCTGGTCTTGTATGGACTGCTGGCTCTGTTGAAGAAAACATTCCAGGGCTTACGCTATTTTGAATTTGACTGACTTGTTGAAAGATGTCTGCACTGAGCTGTTCTTGGACATTCTCATTACCATCTGGAGCAGAAAATAAAACTGAAGATAACTGCTGCTGTGCCTCTAAAACTTGTTGGACCAAGTCAACATTTCCACTGCTGCCACTAGTAGTACTGCCTGTAAAACTTCCTGCTTGCAACTGCTGAATTGTATTCTGTAGCTGACTGACACTGTTTGGTGGTGGGAAAATATTTGATGAAATTTGCTGCTGTAAAGTCTGTGCTTGTTCTTGTAGTGGTGACTGCTGCTGTTGCTGTGACGCCTCAGCCAGATGTGACAAATTTACCACTGTGCCATCTGACTGCAATACCTCTCTAGATTGAGTTTCTCTTGTCTGAAACTGTGTAGCCTGCTGTAGTAGTGCATCACTGTTGGATAGCTGATTAGAAGCAGATACTGCTGGAAAGGTACCGGGCTGTGAAATGTCCTGTGTTTGAATAGTTGTCAGGGTCTCTGGGTTGTAAGCCTTAGGCTGTATCTGCTGCTGCTTTTCATTTTCAGAAGGTAAGTGGGAAGATGATGATGATGATGATGAAAAAGATCCATTTCCTGCTATATTAGAAATATTTTCTAATGTTTGCTGAGTTGATCCAACTGTTTTTGTAGTCTGAAAAATAAAAATCCCCAAAATATGTATTAACAAATATTAACAGAACTCATATGAAACTTCAAAAAATTATCATTCTTTTTTTTAAAGGTTTTTATTCTTTAAAGGTTTATTGATGCATACAAGAACTGGGGGGGGGAGTGTAGACCAGAGGTACAGGGGGGTGGTGAGAGGATTCACCAGAGACAGAGTGGGAAGCAGAACAGGCAGACCTACTGAAATACACTGCAGAGGGGAGCAGTGGGCGGGACAGGAGAGGTCTGCTGAGCCCTGTGGGTCACCTCCCTGGCCGGGGATTGAACTCATGCTGTACAGCTGCAGACTGCTTCATAGTGCTGATGCTTAACCCCATGCGCTACCAGGGAGGCCCCCCAAAATTATTATTCTAAAAGCATATGCATGAACAATTTTCTACTCCATATTATTTTTTTGAAAATAGGTTTAGGGGGCTTTCCTGGGTGTGCAAGGGGTTAAGTCTCAGCACTATGAAGCTATCAGCAGCCACTGGAGCACAAATTTGATCCCTGGCCAGGGAGCTGACCCACATGCACAGCAGACCTCTCCTGTCTCGCCCGCTGCTCCCCTCAGCAGTGTATTTCAGTAGATCTGCCTGTTCTGCTCCCCACTGTCTCTGGTGAGTCCCCTAATCCCATCCCACCCCCACACCACTGGCCTGCACCCCAGCTTTTGTATGCATAAATAAAATAATTCTTAAAAAAAAAAAAAGAGGGGCCTCCCCGGTGGCGCAGTGGTTGAGTGCTGGGCTGCGAAGCTGCCAGCAGCCTCTGCAGCGCCGGTTTGATCCCCGGCCACGGGCGAGGGTCCCACATGGCGCACAGACCTCTCCTGCTGCGCCTGCTGCTCTCCTCAGCAGTGTACTTCAGTCCTTCTGCCTGTTCTGCTCCCTGCTCTGGCTCTGGTGAATTCTCTCACCCTCCCGCACTTCTGACTGTACCCAGTGCTTGTATAAATAAATAAATAAATAAATAAAACTTAAAAAAAAAAAAAAAAAAAAAAAGCCGCTGAGAACTCTGACTCCTCAAAAAAAAGAAAAAAAAAATAGGTTTAGGAATATGACAACAATTGTTATCAGAATTTTTTAAAGTAGAAGAGTAATTACTGATATACTTAGGACAGCAAGAACATATTAACTCTATGGTTCACGAATTAATAGCAAATTGAAAAATAATCTTCATTTTTGTGGACCATTAACATTATAGGGTGGGAAGCAAGTAAAAAAAGGAGGGGGAGTTACAGAAAAAGACCGGGGAAGAAAAGGAAATAAAAAAGCCTCTAATTTTGAAAAAGCTAAACCAGTACTTTCGGCAATAGCCCCCATATCCCACAGGTCTAGCTAACACACTAATTCTGTCCATGACAGAAATGTATATAGACTGTCACTTTGCAAGTTATACAGTGGACTGTAAAAGCATTTATTCTGAAAATTCATTTAGTACATCCAAAGACAGGAAAATAGGAAACAGGAAAAGTAAAAAGCATAAACATGGGAAAAGAAATCAAAGCACTCAAAATAAAGCAATTTTTATATCTGAGGTTAAGATGTGGGGCACTGCCAGCAACTGTATCTCACCTTAAAAATGGGAGAAGATCTTTTTTCTGCTGTTACTTCCATTGGAGTAACATCTTCACTCTTAATCATACTGCTTGATATGAGTGGCGTAATCAGAGCATTAGGAAGAATATTTACCTTATCTAAGTTACATCCAGTAGTTTTCATTGCTGCATTGACACACAAACAGAAAAAAAAGTTCAAAATTTACAAAAATCATCAATAATTTCACCCTATAGTAGGTTGACTATTAATTATGATTTAAATGTTTATTTATTCATGCTATGAAAGTAGTATGAGACACTTAACTGGTGTATTAAAATATATCTTCCCTTTTTTGAAGTAGCTTTGGATTGACCCCTAGTATGGACCTGAGGCTGAAGGTTAAATATCAACAAACTTAAGTATCCCAGGACATTTCCAAGGTGTCCTGAACAATTTGCAACATCACCAGGATATATATTATAGAATACATTTTGGAAATCTCAGTTTGTTAAAGTTGCTCAGTCACAAATATTACATTTTGCTCTTAACATATGTATGCCTGAAAGCATAGTCTCAAAACTTTAGCTTTAAGATTGTCTGAACATTTTTCTCCTCAGCAAAATCCAAGCCTTTCACTAGAAAATATCACCAAATAGATTTTGCTTCCCTATATTAAATAATTCAATTTTTTCTTAGAAATCCTGAATTGCCAACTTCGTAAATGAATACATTTAGCATTGCTTAAATTTTTTTATTTTTAGAAATTTCAGGACTGTTTTAGGTTTATCAATTAAATTTCCAAAACAAAACCAGCCAGTATTTTCTACTTTTTACTACTTCCATTTTTAGGAGTAGTTATAGGTTTATACCAAGAAGCAGGAATATATAACAGATAAGACAGATTTTTATCTTCGTGATATTTACTTTATTTCCCTGATACCTTTTCTTCTTTTTTGTCTACTTGAGTCTGCAATTGGCACTTAGTGGAGCCTATGATATGCTAATGTCTGTCCTCTGAACTGACCACATTAGCCAAGTTCTGATCTAAAAGTTTACGACAACTGAAAACCTGTGGAGAGAAACAGATTTCCCAAGCATTCTGAAAAAAGTGCCAAGAAACTGTTAACAATATTTATACCATATATTTCATTTTATTTAACTAGTACCACTGTTCTTTAAAAAAAAAATTTTGTCCATTTATGCATACAAGAACTGGGGTACAGGCCAGAAGTGTTGGTGGGGGTGAGAGGATTCACAAGAGACAGAGTGGGGAACAGAACAGGCAGATCTACTGAAATACACTGTTGAGGGGAATAGCAGGCAAGTCAGGAGAGGTCTGCTGCGCCATGGGGGCTGCTCCCTGGTCGGGAATCGAACTAATGTGGCAGTGGCTGTGGGTAGGTTGCATCTTAACCCCTTGTGCCACCAGGGAGGTCCCTAGTATTACTGTTGTATTAGGGATACACAATTGGGTTAAAACTAGAAATGGATCATGATTGCTTTGGCACTAGACCTAATATCTCACTGAGCTGCCTCCTCCTTACTTCTCATGTTGCCAAACTCTTGCCAAAGAACTAGAAACTTAATTCAGAGTGAAAGCTTTCATTATCTGGCCATGGTATCTTCAGTCTCAATAACAAATGCTAGTCTTACTGATAAGAAGTTTTATTATATTTGTATCATTATACTTCACATACACTTTTAAGATTGTTATTGTGAATGAAGGGAAATACCAAGTTGGAAAACAATTCTCTACATTTGGTAGTAAAGCAAATATTTTACAATATGGAAAATACCTTAAGTGTATCAATAACATAAAGAGAAAGAATAGTAGGCCTTGCTAGAGAAAATATATAGGATTATCGACCAAAAATTTTTTAGGGGGCTTCCCTGGTTGCCAAAGGGGTTAAGTCTCAGCGTTATCAAGCTACCTTACCCGCTGCACCCCTCAGCAGTGTATTTCAGTCAATTTGCCTGTTCTGCTCCCACACTCTGTCTCTGGTAAATCCTGTCTCTGGTGAATCCTATCAAACACTGCCACATCCCCTTCCCCTGCACCTCTAACCTACAGACACCCCAGGTCTTGTATGCATAAATCAATCTTCAAAAAAAAAAATTTTTTTTTTTAATAGAAGAATCAACTTGGTACCTTTCATGGCCTCCTCAAAAGAGCAAGGTCTTGCTGGACTAGATATTTCCTTCTTCACATTTACACTCAAAGCACCAGCTGCTGCTATTTAAGGAAAAAAGATAATTACATTTATTTAAATTTATTCATCCTAACAAAATGAGTATCTTAAAATTCTTTAACTGAAATATTTTCTCATAAAGCATCATTAAGTTATTTGTTTACCAGAAATTCTAGATTGAGATGAGTTTTTCTAACCACCACCAGTCTATGCTTTAAAATTCACTAATCTCCAAGTGGGCAAAAGCATATATTCACTTAATCAAAACAAAACAAAACAAAACAAAAGCAACAGCAACTTAAAAAAAATCCTTCTTGTTGGATGCTAGTAGAAGATTGAGGCTTTTTTAAAACTTATCAAATACACTGTGACACTAGCATGAAAATAGTTTATCATTCACTCACCTATGTGATTTATATAAAAAAAATACTGACTCAGAAACATTTATCAATTAACTGAGCTAAATTAGAAATAACAATGATGAACATATTGAATCTATAACATCATGATTTTTTTGGGTAAAATATTGAGAAAAAAAATCTACTATTGTTAATGGGGAGTTGTTGGGTTTTGATTTCTACTAATACCAACTACATCTATTATGAAAACTTTAAATTTAATGGATTAAGAACAGAAATCAATTCTGAATTTAAAATTTCAAATAAACAGGTCCTTGCTTAAATAACCAAATAAAAATTTTGTTTAGATAGATTTTAACTTCTATTTTTCAGTGTACTTATTTTATAATCCCTAACTGATTCAAAATGGGAATTGAGTCAGCTTATTTTCACAATTTCTTATTCTATATACAGTAATGTGAAATGTTATCAAGTTATAAAGAGCCTATGTATAGTTATTTGTAAATAAAGAGACAAATTGTACAGATCATCTCAGAAAGAAGTTAGATAATTTATCTTAGTATGCCGCACAAAATTCCACCAAATGACATATAGGGAACAGAATGGAAAAGAAATCTATAGATGATTTTTAAGTTTAATGGTAAAGCAAAGTTTCATGGCTAACCAGGAAAAAAAATAAAGTTTTTATGACTCTGCAAACTACCTAAGTGCCTGAGAGCATATGTATATGATATTTTTGCAAGCAGATTTAAGAGGGGTTAGAGGGGCCTGTCTCTGGTAGAGTGTTTGGAGCCAGTTTATGTTCTCTAGCACCCTTGCACTGATCCTACTTTTAGACCATGTACAAAGTACCCAGGATCCCCAAATTTTTTGCATAACTACTCTAGACATTGTGTGCAGTCTTAGGCCTACAGGGTAGACAGAGCTTGAAAGCACTGGCTGGTGTATCAAGACTCCCGGGTAAATATGGAGCCAGGAGTGGAAAATAAATGGAAATGGATGGTAATATGAAGTTCCCTTTCTCCCATGTTGCCATATTACAGCTTGGAACTCTACGCACCCTGAATCCTAAATTCACATCTGCCCTTCCAGGTTGTTATCATCCTTGTCAAACTAGGAGAATAGGATATCTAGTATTTAATGTTAGTTTTACTTATAACTTTAAAATACTTAGGCAAGTGCTTAATAATCACCATTTCTACTCTCAGAAATATAAATGGGTAGGCCTAGTTTTACCAGCTATAATTATGTACCACTGACTATTTAAATGTTTAACCATAGTTCCCCAAAGAATGGCAACAGCTATTAGTATATCATAATGAGACAGTGTAATTTTTCTATGCCCAAGTTTTCCTGAAATCATATTCTCTCTCTTGCATACCTGAGAAGATGATCACATTTCATAAAACATAAAAATATGAAATTATGGGACAACTCTTTAATTGGCTATATCATAAAAGGCAGAAACTGTAGCATGACAGTTACTTTACTACAGCATTACTTACTATGTGTTTAACTCAGTTTCTGAGAGGGACTGCCATCTATGATTACACAAAATATGAGAGGAAAACTTTTAAAGAATAAAGTTAATGATTCCTTAAATGTTAAAAAATAGTGAACTAGGGCCTCCCTGATGGCGCAAGGGATTAAGCACAGCACTGTGAAGCTATTTGCAACCTCTGCAGCATGAGTTCAATTGCCGGCTGGCCAGGGAGCTACCCACATTATGCAGCAGACCTATCTGGCCCGTTGCTCCCCTCAGCAGTGTATTTCAGTCAATCTGCCTGTTCTGCTCCCCACTCTGTCTCTGGTGAATCCTCTCACCCTGCATACCTCTGGCCTATACCCCAGTTCTTGTATGCATAAATAAATCAATCTTTAAAAAAAATACATAGTCAACTAGTACAGTGTGTAAATACATAGTATAAAAATACATACACAGTGTAAAAAATACATAGTCAATTAGTACAGCCTGTAAAAAGGAAATTTAAAAGCTGTTTTATCAGGCAACTTACCAAAGGGAAATGTTTTCTTACAATATTTTATTATTATGAATAGACTATGTTTCAAAGCAGTCGTAGATATACAGAAAAACTGAGAAATTAGTACAGATTTCATACATACTCCCCTACAATTAGTTTCCCTATATTGTTAACAACTTATAATCTTAGGGACATTTGCTACTGTTAATAAATTAAAATCAACACATTAACAAAACTCTACAATTTACTCAAATCTCCTTAGTTTTGGTGTAATGTTGTTCTTCTGCCCCAGAATCCCATTAATTATGATACATTTAGCAAGTTTTATTTCCTCTGGTTTTTCTTGTTTGTGATTATTTCCTGGTTTTTGTTGACCTTAATAGTTTTGGGGATTATTGGTCAAATATACTGCAGAATTGGAATGTCCTTTGTCTTTTTCAAAGGGAAATTTCTAGTAATCAGCTTTTATTACCAAGAAATTAAGATTCTTAGTGCTGATGTCAAAGCACTTCAAAATCGTAAAGCTCTCTTTTCATAAAGCTTTTTAATTACTAAAAACAAGTAACAAAACCTCAGTATTTTCATGACACATACATGTACTTCCCTCTTCTCTTCCCACAAGATATATTACTAAAATACTCCAACTATTATTAACTACATTTATTTTATTTATTTAACTATAGTTTTAAATTAAACTTTCTTGGATTTGTGTGTCCTTCCTCGAAAAAAAAAATCAAATACTTGATCTTTGAGCATAAACCATTCTTTCCCATATTTTTTGGAAACAGTATATTCTAGGGCCTCCCCTGGTGGCGCAGGCGGTTGAGCAGCGCCTCAGCGCCAGTTGGATCCGATCCCAGCTGGCTGGTGAGGTTCCCACATGGCGTGGCAGACCTCTCCTGTCTCGCCCGCTGCTCACATCAGCAGTGTATTTCGTCAATCTGCCTGTTCCGTTCCCCACTCTGTCTCTGGTGAATCCTCCCACGCATCTGGCCTGTACCCCGGTTCTTGTGTAAAATAAATAAATCTTAAAAAAAAAAAAAAAAAAAAAAAACCCAGTATATTCTAAACTTTGCCTTTTTCTGTTTGAAACTTCAACTTGTTATCTTTTATTCTGAGAGAAATAGTAAGATTTCTTTAATGCTATACTATGGCATAATTTGGTAGCAAACTGGAGGAAAATAACCAGTTTGTGAAATTAAGATATGATTTAGAAAAAGGGGAACAGATACCTTAAGTGTCATAAAGTAATTATCAAGACTAGTTACAATTCTGTCCTGTGGTCCTTTATCATTACTTCTTACTGCCAGGGCTTTCTCTCCCTACCACCTTTTCTCCTTTGTGCCACACTGGCTCCCGAACTATTTGGGAATAAACCTATCAGTAAACCTAAGACAAGAATGAACCAAACCCCTAACAAACACACCAGAAACCAAGATCGACACAACACTTCATAAGCTACGAATTCCCAGATGTTCTCCCAACTTGTGCCAGGAAAAGACTTCTCTTTTTCAGGCTACCGAATGAATAAAGGCGAACAGCTCATAAGCCAGTTCTTATTCAGGGATCTTCTAAACGTTTCACATTTTAACTGCTCTTACTGCTCTGGATTCTAAAGCACCTAATTTACCTAAGTGCTTAAAATTATATTTAAGATATTTATTGGCAGTCTGATATTTTTAATTATACATCAGAACATGTTAGAAGCAGATAGCTCTATTTGTGATTTTATCACCTATCACTTCAAGCTTATCTCGTACCTCTCCCCAAATGCATCCTATCAGACAGATTAAACTATCAGTAGTTCTGCAAAATTGTCACTTTCATCTTCCTACACATAAGAGATATGCAGTGAATAGTATTATTAGTAAGGAGTAACTTGTAAGATAACACTGGAAAATCTAATTTCAGAGCATTCCTGGCTTTTCTTTTATTAGAAGAATACAGAAGACAGAAATGATTCCCATAATATACTGTAAAAGGAACATTTCGGTGGCCATCTTCTTAGGAAATAATGCTATCTCCAAAACCAAAACCAAAACCAAACCCACTAATATTAATTCATCTTGCTAAATAATTTTTTCTTTTTTGTTGTTTGGTCTTCATAGCCTTTCAAAGGACTATAAATTAATTATTCATTTTTATTCAGATTTTTCATTTTGACATACCTGGGTCTGGAGTGTAAGTGAATGGCTGAACATCATGAGATCTTCCAGCGTTGGTCACTACATATATTCCCACTGATACAGGCAAAGTTATATGTTGGTCATGATATGGAGGAACCTTCACAATAAGATGATTCTAATTTAAAGAAAATTATAAGATTCAGAAAAGAAGCAATATTTAAAATAAAAATTCTGAATTAAAAATTATAATTAGCTGTAGAGTTTAAAAATTCTGACTAGGAAATAAAGGATGCATTTTCAGGTTCATAAGCATCAGGACATTAATCTTAAGGCTGTGTTTAAGGTAAAATCTAAATGTTCTACAAATGTTTACAATCTTTTTAAAAATATAATTTATTTATGTATTTTTTACATCATTGTTCATTATTGTACAACGTTTGCTTAAAGGTTTATAATCTTAAGATTATACTTGTTATTCTCTCCCACTGGAATATTCTTACTTTACCTCTTCAAATGGCTAGTTCCCTACCCGTTTTCAAGTCTTATTCAAACATTATCTCCTCAGAAGCTTTCTCTGACTACCCCTTTCACCAGATGATATAATCTTGTTTAATTTGACAACAGAACTTATCATCCCTATGATTGCTCGCTTATTTCTTTTATCTCTTCATTCACAAGGATGTAAACACAATGAAAATCTAAGGTGCACTCTTATCTCCTCTGTTAAGCACCTTACAGAAAATACACTCAAATATATTTGCTAAACAAAATGAAAACAAGTTGAGGGAAAAAAGTGCCCATCAAACACAATGTCAACTACCATAGGTTTTGTGCAACCTTAATTATGAGGAATACTGTCCACTGCTTCTAACCACTGTAATTCTCACTTAACATAAAACACGGTTCAGTTTACCCAAACCCCAGCATATCAGTTATTTTTTGTTAGAACAGAGGCAGAAGCATCCACATAAGAAAATGTTTTGCCAGTATTTACTCTATAATAGATCTACATCTTCCTGGAAGACAACTTGAAACACATTTGACTTTTAGTTAGACTACACTGGGTTGACTCAGTTGAAGAGATACAGGTGATAACTGAGACCCAGGATCAAGGTTTCAATTTCTAAGTCCTCAATTTGTTTTTTGTTTTGTTTTTTTTTTTAAGATTTATTTTTACTTATTTATACAAGCACTGGGTACAGTCAGAAGCACGGGAGGGTGAGAGAATTCACCAGAGCCAGAGCAGGGAGGAGAACAGGCGAAGGACCAAAGCACACTGCTGAGGGGAGCAGCGGGCGGCAGGAGAGGTCTGCGTGCCATGTGGGACCCTCCTCCAGTGGCCGGGGAGCAGCTGGGGATCGAACCGGCGCTGCAGAGGCTGCGGACAGCTTCGCAACCCAGTGCTCAACCGCTGTGCCATCGCGGAGGCCCCTCAATTTGTTTTTGAGAGGTATTAAAACACTCTTGGAAATAGTCACATCATAAATAAATATCCTCTGATACATGGCATTAACAGAATGCATCCTAATCCCAGTTAGCCATCTCAAAAAAATTATGCTTTTAAGTCAGGCAGAAAAACATATACATGTATATATAAATAAATGCATAGATACTGGGGGACAAAAATCTGAAAGCACATACTCAATTATACATTAAGGTCTCAAAAAACATCTGTATTCCAAGTTTTTCAACTTTGTAAAAACAAGAGTTTTGAATTTTGTCTACCTTCATTTTTTTTTTTTTAATAGAGGCATGTTTTTATTTATTTATTTATTTGATGGTTTGTTTATACATGCACTGGGTACAGTCAGAAGCGCTGGAGGGTGAGAGAATTCACCAGAGCCAGAGCGGGGAGCAGAGCAGGCAGAAGGACCGAAGTACACTGCTGAGGGGAGCAGCGGGCCGCAGGAGAGGTCTGCGCGCCATGTGGGACCCTCCTCCAGTGGCCGGGGAGCAGCCGGGGATCGAACCGGCGCCGCAGAGGCCGCGGGCAGCTTCGCAACCCAGTGCTCAACCGCTGCACCACCGGGGAGGCCCTGTCTACCTTCATTTTTACTCTTATTTATATCCTACAACTATGCCACTAAGTAGTCTTACCTACACAAGGAGAAGCTGAATGGATGGGTTTGTAAAGTATGTTGCCAGTCTTAAATTTTTTGACAAACTATAATAGAAATGATTCTTCTGAACAAAAACCTGTTTCCTGGTAATAAGTAACAGAATTAATAGCCAAAAATCAGGAGGCTATTTTATAAAAAACTTTTTACTCAACTTGCTTTGGAGAACATATTTAAGCAGACCTAAGTTGACATCTTTTAAAAAAACAAATGACCCAATTTAGTTAAGAATTCTTCGTATTTTAAACAAACAAACAAAAAGAATTCTTCATATTTCCCCAACTCATTAGAATTAAAAACTAAGTTTTTAATTAGTGATAGGAATTTGCCTGTAAAGCAAATTTGAACAGTGATAGGAAGTTGCCTGTAAAGCAAATTAAGAGTAGTTAACACACAACTGAGCTAGTAGCTAGTAGTATATATAAACAGAAACATACAAAGATTTGGGAGGACTATGATGCAGGTACAATGTTCTCTGCTACAGTTGGGGTTACATATGTGTATGCATATGTGTGTGTATATATATATATGCATATATGTGTACAAACACACACACACACACATACACACTCCTAATAGAATCAAATGAAAACACACAACTACTAAACTCTCATATCTTTGTTTACTATAGTTATTCTCACAAATTCTGAGGATCTTCTTGGCATTTCTTTATAAAAAAATTTCTTTGCATATTTATACACAAAATTCCACTTCTCCAAAGCTCCTCTTCATTTTTTTATTCTTATATTAAAAATTGCCACTTTTCTTTTTGAGAAAGAACTCAAAAGACTCAAGATTAAGAAATGACAATCTATACAATTTTCTACATCTGATACACTAATGCCTGTTTCATGTTTTATAAAACATGCTATTCATAATTAAATTGTATACCTCTTTCTAATATACCTGTGTTAACTATTAGCTCCCTTTGTAAATTATCTCCACATTTCAAGATGTTAAACTCTCTTGCTTTCTTTCAAAACCAAATTCTCTTACAAATCTCTGTCTAAATCATACACACACACACACACACACACACACACAGAGTTTCGCCATCTGTATTTTCCATAGATATTTAGTAGGCAATTAAAGTCATACAGAATTCACCTAAAATGATTTAAAATGGGATAACATGAGCATGAGACTTATTGTGGTCTTGACTAGAAGAGACAAATATCAAAGAACTGTTACCTCATGCTCGTTTCAGCAGCACATATACAAAGAACTGTTATCTCATACTTGGTATATAACTGGGAAAGATGAATACCTGATGAGTTAATTTGGGGGTTGCAAATAAATAGCAATCACAATTATTCATAACTGCAAATTGCAAAATTATATTCAAATGGTCTTTTCTACAATACCATCTTCTGAGTATTTTTTACTATTTAAGGTCCTTTCAACTTTTTTGTACAGAACTGATATTTCTTCATTGATAAATTGCAGTTGTTTTTCTTTTTCCTTTTTTTTGAGAATAACTTTTTGATCACCCTTCTGAATGCTTAAATTTTGTTTCTTTAATATAATCATCACCGTGATCAATTCTTCATATCTCAGCTGACTCTATACTATTTCCCAGAAAGCCTTAGGAAAAAAAAAAGACAGAAAGCTCTTTATGAAAAAGATAAAAAATTTAAAATTAAGAACAGAACCATTGACGTAATGAAATAACATATTATGATTTAGTTTATTTACACACTTGCTTGCAAAACCCCAGGACCTCTAGATTTAGCCACCAAATATGGACATAATTCCTTTCCATTCCACCACATAATTTTATGATAATTCTTCTTCTTTAATCTACTGTAGCTGGCATAACTGCCCTGAAAAGAAGTGTTTTAAAAATATAACTGCCCCATGCCTCAAAGGTAAAGAAAGAAGTAAGGTCAGAAGGAGAGAAGGGAGAGTGAGTGAGAGAGACGAGGAGGAGGAGAGAAAGAGAGAAGCAAGGGTAGAGAGAAAGTGAGGAGTAAACAATGACTTTTTAATAATTTATGTATGGGGCCTCCCCGGTGGCGCAGCGGTTGAGCGCTGGGTTGCGAAGCTGCCCGCAGCCTCTGCAGCGCTGGTTCGATCCCCGGCTGCTCCCCGGCCACCGGAGGAGGGTCCCACATGGTGCGCAGACCTCTCCTGCCGCCTGCTGCTCCCCTCAGCAGTGTATTTCGGTCCTTCTGCCTGCTCTGCTCCCCGCTCTGGCTCTGGTGAATTCTCTCACCCTCCCGCGCTTCTGACTGTACCCAGTGCTTGTATGTATAAATCAATCAATCAATCAATCAATAAAATAAATCTTTAAAAAAAAAATAATAATTTATGTATGAAATAGTAAGTTCAGACTATAACTTGTTGGGGCCATTTTATTAATATTTTGTATAATTTATAAGGCAAGTCTTTCAGTCTCCAGAAATAGTTTCTTACCTACAAAACTACATCATAAAGTAAGGAATAGCAATTATAATTATTACTAGCAAAGGAGTTTATATTAAACAAAACAAAACATGTTTGTAGCAACGAAAGTATTGCATGGATATTTAAGTTGCAGTCAGGACCAAAACATTCAGCATAAAAGAACTCAGTGGAAGAAAAAGAAAAATACCGGATGGTTTCACTTATAGGAGGAATGTGGGGGAACCAAATAAGGGATCAGGAAATAAATTATAATAAACTAAAAAACAAAATTAACAGGCAACTATAAATCATTCTGCAGGTGAGGGGAAGGGAGAGGGATCAAAACAGGAGGGAAGAGGGCCTCCCCGGTGGCGCAGCAGTTGAGTGCTGGGTTGCGAAGCTGCCCGCAGCCTCTGCAGTACCGGTTCGATCCCCGGCTGCTCCCCGGCCACTGGAGGAGGGTCCGGCATGGCGCGCAGACCTCTCCTGCCACCCGCTGCTCCCCTCAGCAGTGTACTTCTGTCCTTCTGCCTGCTCTGCTCCTTGCTCTGGCTCTGTTGAATTCTCTCACCCTCCAGTGCTTCTGACTGTGCCCGGTGCTTGTTTGTATGTCTGTATATCTGTCTGTCTGTATGTATAAATAAATGAATAAATAAATCTTAAAAAAAAGAAGAAGAATATAAAATATATGTATGCATAAATAAATAAATCTTTAAAAAAAAAAAAGAAAACTTAGTGGAAATTAAGGTTTGACATGCTCTCAGAAAGAAGAATAAGGGATCTCAGACCCCACAGATCTTTTTTCTTAAAAGTGAATAAAATGAACTAACAGGTTTTTTATGAGTTATCTTATTAAGTGCTTGGTATTATTTGGAATACAAAACTGAGTCACAGTACATTCCCCTAGCCTCTGGAAGTCTTCTAGAGGACGCTACTGTTGGTTTCTGGGAAGTGGTAATGTTCTGATCAATAGGTTATATTAGAAATCATAAAATGTGAGAATTAGAAGGAACTTCAAATAATCTAGTAAAAAAGCTTATTTGATATTAGAAAATTGGGGCACAAAGGAAAATTGCTAACTTAAATAACTCACATTATTAATTAATGATAACTCACATTATTAATAACAAATAACTCACATTATTAATGATACCAGAACTTCAGTTATGACTAGTCAGTTTAGCAGAGACTGTCCAATGGTATATGTGACAAAGGAATGACTGTTGAACCCCATACTTCTTCTCCACAGCATTTGACAGCACAAGACTAGAGGAAAACTTTCTAAATGACATTTGTCTAGGTATACAGAAGCTCCCATATATATGATACTACATTGTGAAGAATTAATCTTATCCAAAGTAAAGCCTAATCTTTGCCCTTAGCTATGGGGTGGTGATCTCCACGCATCTGGAATGTCCTGCACAATAGGGGTGTCTATGGTTGTTTGGGGGCTTTCAAAATTGGAGAGTTTAACAGTACGATAGATGATGAAGGCTTTGGAACATGCCATATCAGTTCTGACCTCTAGTGGAACAAGAGACAAGAGGTCAGCTGCATAGGCAGTATGTGATTAAGTTCAAATAAAACACTATGTATACATACTCAGTGTACCATCACACACTGATGTTCTGAGAAGGTATGGTATCCCTGAGGTCAACAGAAGCTTCACCTTTGGGACCCTCCCAGATATTACTCTGTGCATTCCTCCCTTTGGTACATCCTGTTTTGCATCTTTTTGCTATAGTAAAACTGAAATGGTTAAGTACAATGCTTTCCTAAGTTCTGTGAGTTGTTCTAGAAAATCTAAGGGGGTAGTGGAAACCCTTGAATTTGAAGCCAACTGTTCAAAAGTAAGAACAGCCTGGAAACTCCTTATTTCATGGTGGGTATGTGTCCTCTGAAGTGAGGGCAGTCTCAGGGAGCACTGTGACCTAACCTTTGATTTTGACAACACGTTGAATATAATATATTGGATATATAATGCTATTAATTTTTATTAAAACTTTTAAACACAAAGGAATTAAAAAACCTGAAGGAATTATTAACATTTTGATAAACTAGCTACTGAGTCTCCCATTTTTGACTCTCTCATCTTCCTATTTGTTCTTATATACTCTTTTCTTACCCATCAGCATTTCATGTTAAATTTTTGGCTTTGGGTATATACTGGTTCATTGCAATTCCCCCAAATTGGCATATTTCAAAGAACTGGAACAAATACTACTAAAATTCATATGTAGTCACAAAAGACCCCAAATAGCGAAAGCAATCTTGACAAAGTAGAGAATGGATGCATCATACTTCCAGATCTCAAGTTATGTTATAAAGTTACAATAATTAAAACAACCTGGTACTGAAAAAAAAAAACAACACACAGACCAAAAGAATAGAATGGAGAGCCCAGATATGTATGGACAGTTTATCTACGACAAAGGAGACAAAAACATACACTGGAACAAGGACAGCCTCTTCAATAGATTGGTGGTGGGAAAACTGGACAGCTGCATGCAAAAGAATGAAACTATACCATGATTTCATACCATACACCAAAATCAACTCAAAATGGATCAAAGACTTCTTGATCATGAAATAAAATACATAAAAGAAACATAAGCAAAACATTTCATGACATAAACTTTAGTGATGCCTTTAGGGATTTATCCCCAATAGCAAAGAAAACAAAAGAGAACATAAACAGCTAGGACTATGTCAAACTAAAGAGCTTCTGCACAGCAAAAGAAACCTTTAACTAAAATGAAAACACATCCTACTGAATGGGAGAAAATATTTGCATACCATACATCTGACAAAGGACTGCTATCAAAGATATACAAAGAACTCACAAAACTCTACAAAAACAAAAGAACCCAATCAAAAAATGGGCAAAGAACTAAAAAGATGCCTCCCCAAAGAAGACATTAAAATGGCCAGCAGACACATGAAAAAATGTTCACAATTACTTATTACTAGAGGAATGCAAATCAAGACCACCATGTGATACCATCTCACACCTGTAAGAATGGCTCATATTGAAAAGACCAGAAACAAAAATGTTGGCAAGGATGTGGAGAAAAGGGAACCCTCTTACACTTCTAGTGGGAATGCAAACTGGTGTAGCCCTACAGAAAGCAGGATGGAGGTGTCTCAAAACAATAAACATGGAGCTGCCTTTCAACCCAGTAATTCCATTCCTAGGCATCTACCCCAAAAATTCAAAAACACTAATTTGAAAGGAAACCTGCAACTTTCACATTTACTCCAGCACTATTTACTCTACTTAAGTTATGGAAACCTAAGTGTCTCAGAACAGATAAGTAGATCAAGAAGATGTGGTATATACACTCAATGGAGTACTACTCAGCCATTACAAAGATAAACTCAGGCCATTTATAGCAACATGGATGGAGCTTGAAGGGATTATGTCACGTGAAATACGTCAGAAGGAGAAATAAATACTGGCTAGTGTTACTAATATGTGGAATATCAAGTAACTAAACTAATAGTCAGATAAAGACAGACTGAAAAACTAACCCTTGATAGCTGATGGCAGCAGAATGGAAACATCAAGGGGGGAGGGGGAAAGGGAGAGGAAAGAACAAAGAGAACAAGAAGCACAATGGGGCGCGACAGACCTCTCCTGCTGCGCCTGCTGTTCCCCTCAGCAATTTATTTCCGCCTGCCTGTTTTGTTCCCTGCTCTGGCTCTGGTGAATTCTCTCACCCTCCCATGCTTCTGACTGTACCCAGTGCTTGTATAAATAAATAAATCAATAAATCTTTAAAAAAAAAAAAAAAGGAAGCACAATGGTCTATGGTGGTAGAATATGGTGTGTCGGTGGTGGGTGCATTATAGTGGTCATACCTGATTGGGCAACCCCAACATACGTTTGTTAAAAGAAATACATTACATTTTAATATAAATTAAAAATAAATTTAGGGCCTCCCTCGTGGCACAAGGGATTAAGTCTCAGCACTATGAAGCTATCAGCAGCAACTGCAGCACATGTTCAATTTGGCCAGTGAGCTACCCACATGGCGCAGCAGACCTCTCCTGCCTTGCCCACTGCTCCCCTCAGCAGTGTGTTTCAGTAGATCTGCCTGTTCTGCTCCCTACTCTGTTGCTGGTGAATCCTCTCAAGCCCCTGCACCTCTGGCCTACACCTCAGTTCTTATAAGCATAGATAAATAGATCTTTAAAAAATAAATAAATTTTAAGCTTTGGGTATTTTATACATTAGTTTATTCCTGTTTCTTTGTTCTTTGTGAGCTACGCCTATATATACTACTCTTTTGCATGTGACTTCTCTCTGATGTACCATTAAGTCTTTCTTCTTTTCCTGCTACAGTCAAGATCTCCAAGCTTGGTTCTATCTAGTCTATACACTAATTCTTATTTAGTTCTTTACCTGTTTTCAAGTTTTCTCCCTCTTATTTGAAAAATGATAGATGGTGAGGGCCTACAAATACAGACTCTATTATAACTGTAACAGTACATCTGAATGCATGTATCACCTGGCATATAGTAGGTACTCAGTAAATAAGCTTCCCTTTGATGTAACTAAATATTAGGTTAAGATAATACAAGTCCTCAGAGCAAACAAACATTAGGTAAGAATGCTTCATTTATTATTAATGGTAATTTGCTAATGGTCTCAACTTTTTAAGAACTATTCCAGCATCAGCAGAATAATTCTATTTTAGTTTAAAAAATTTATGAAAGAAATTTTAATGATTTATAACAATCCCATATAGAGAAGAAATTTAATCTGTAGATTCAGGAAAATTTCAGAACAAAACTATTTCTCAGAAAGTAAACAATAAAATTTTAAAAAGGCTTAATTTATACCTGATGAAATAATTCCATGTCGATTTCAGCTTCTGACTTCCAAGAGTTTTCATCTAATGGAAATAAAAAAAATGACTTACTAAATTTTTTAAAAATACTGACTGTATTTTGTAGCTATGACTATCTTTATAACAAAGTGAAACATGCAACAATCTCTATACTAGTATTGTGCCAACTTACCAGAAACATTTTCTTGGAAAATAACTTTAGTTCCTTTCAGAAAGTTCTTGCCAATTAAAAATACTTCTTCCTCTCCTTTCACTGAACAGCTATGCAAGCTTTTCTTTAAGATTTCTGGCACTCCTGCTGGCTGAGCTGTGGGTACACATAAACATGCTATAAAAAGAACCACCAACACTTATTTCCTATGTAAAATCAACTCTCAATTATCCAGTTCTATAAATTGTCATTGCTGACCCCTGAATTTGACTAGTTTTATTGTGCAACTTATCTTTTATCCTAACAGAGAGCAAGGGGGAAAAGTCCTTATTAATTTTTAATAACTCTTGCAAAATTTTATGGGATGGGTTCATGTCTTAGTTGTCTGAATTTATGTATCTTTGTTTTCTCATTGCATGAATCGAAAAATGTTTTAAAATATGAACTTGGTCATGTTTTCATCTTAATAATATCTTTAAAAAAATCAATTTAAAAACAAGCTTGCCCTACAAATCCTAACCTTAAAAATGTCAGCTATACTACGCAACTACACTACACAACTTCTGAGGCAATGGGTGTCTTGGGGCAGTACTAAGGACTTTTTTAAGGATCTGTCATAGGAATCAGAGGTCCTAATCCAAAAGAGTATCTGAAAATATTATAGACCAAATCCAATACAGAATATCCTTTCTACTAGAGGAGCTCCCTGAACTGGATACCCTGAGATTTAAAACTAAAATGCATTTTTTTCAATTACATATAGTAATCAAACACTACTAAAAATAACAAAGAGACAGAGAAGTATTGAGGAGCCAGATCTAAAGACTAAATTGTAATTACCCATCAATTTCTTCAAGTTCAGATTTCCATAAGAAAATTTAATAGGTACTGCTTAGCTATACAGTTTCCCAAGTTAAGTAAATCTAGGAAACAATGGATTAAGCAAAGCTAATTGAACAAAATCATTTTTCTGAGCATTTTACATTCTGATGTGCCATGAACATCCAAGGAGTGGCTATAGCATGGTTACCCCAACATGTCTGATTCCATAAACTTCCTTCCTATTGACACTTATCAACTAATCTTTCACAAGAATATGCAGAGACAGAACAGGCAGACTGACTGAAATACACTGCTGAGGGGGAGCAGTGGACGATTCATGAGAGGTCTGCTGCGCCATGTCGGTTGCTCCCTGCCTGGCCAGGGATCGAGTCGTGCTGCAGAGGGTGCAAAATGCTTCATAGTGTGGTGCTTAACCCCTTGTGCCACCAGGGAGGCTCTAACAAGTATTATAAGATAAAATCTAATATACATTCTATCAAATAAAGCTATAACTAATTTTGCCCCCTTTTAAAAAAAGTTGCCATAGGAGGGTAGTACTAAAAAGTATCAAAATGGGGGCCTCCCTGGTGGCGCAAGGGGTTAAGCAATGCACTATGAAGCAATCCGCAGCCTCTGCAGCACAAGTTCAATCCCTGGCCAGCCAGGGAGCTACCCACATGGCACAGTAGAACTCTCCTGGCTCACGTGCTGCTTTCCTCAGCAGTGTATTTCAGTCAGTGTGCCTGTTCTATTTCCCACTCTGTCTCCGGTGAGTCCTCTCACCCTCTGGCCTGTACCCCAGCTCTTGTATGCATCAATAAATGAATCTTAAAAAATAAATAAATAAATAAATAAATAAAAGTATCAAAATGGATCATCTTAATTTGATATAGTATAATCAAATAATATAAACAATATCGCAAAATAAAAATCATATATACTGACTTGTTTGGAGAAATCTAAAGATGTAAAGAACATTAAAGGATGGTCCTTAAGTAAAAAGTCAAAGTAATCAATTCTATTAATATCACAGAGTTGTTAGGATCAAATTGGGTAATACAGTATAATATTTAGTGGTAAACTCCACTGAGTAATACTCAACTTCTTAATGACTTAATTACTGAGAAACTGAAAGCAGGGCTTAGGGATAATTAACCTAGTCTTCTTTCCTTCTTTGTCAACTGTCCACAGCCACAGGCACAATGGATATATTTCAGACTGTTTGTTGCTATTAAAAAGAGGCCTATAGTTGTAGAGGGCTGCTTTGATACATCCTACTCTCATCCAGGAAATTTAACATACACCAATTGAAGTTACCAGGTTCTATTTTCTAGAGCTATCTAAGTTAGCTAAAGCCTTACAGGAAATCACTGATCCTCTAGTTAACCATACCCTGCTTCTGCACAGCCTCTTCTAACATTCCATTAAACTTGTTCTTGCCCAAACCCCTCAGGAACAGTGTTACGCTGCTTGTGAGGCAGTGTAACATCTCAAATTTAGAGTGGTCTAAAAGATCAATAGAAAATGAGGAAAAAAAACTCCATATACTTAATATCTCCTTTTTTTTTTTTTTTTTACTTACTACACAAAATTGGAGAAGAGGGTGTTTGTAGCGTCAAAGTGGATCCATCTTTCCTTGTGATATTAACTCGAAAAACCAATCTGGCACGAGTGCTTTTCTTCTTGGAACCAGCAATTCCTATTCTTGCTTCAACATCAGCATTCCTCAATTTCAATATCCCCACACAGTCCACACTAATAGAGGAGGAAATACATTAATTGAGATTTTCTATTGTACACAGTTCATCATTCTTTTTTTTTTTTTTAAAGATTTATTTTTATTTATTTATATAAGCACTGGGTACAGTCAGAAGCGCGGGAGGGTGAGAGAATTCACCAGAGCCAGAGCGGGGAGCAGAGCAGGCAGAAGGACCCAAGTACACTGCTGAGGGGAGCAGCGGGCAGCAGGAGAGGTCTGCGCACCATGTGGGACCCTCCTCCGGTGGCTGGGGAGCAGCTGGAGATCGAACTGGCACTGCAGAGGCTGCGGGCAGCTTCGCAACCCAGCGCTCAATCACTGCGCCACCGGGGAGGCCCCAGTTCATCATTCTTAATCAAACAAGTTTCTCACAAAATGTTTTTCAATATGTAATAGAATCTTAAGTTTCTAAATTCAGTAAGTGTAAAAGGATAAATTCTGAATATCCATAATGTCTAACTGTATCTACTTTCATTTGTAAGAATAGTGGAAAAAATAATAAAGAAGTAAAATTGCTATTTTAAAATCTGAATGTAAACAATGGTTTACAAGAGATACTTTTACTATTGTTAAAAAAATTAATTTAGTCTCTTTTTTGCAGTCAACAGAGACACTTTTAAAAAAGGGTGGACTAGTAACTACCTGTCCCCAAAAGAATAGAGTACTATATAGTCACTATCTATAGTCATAAGAATAATGTATAGTCATAAAAATAATGGAGTACTAAACTCATTATATAGTCATTAAACATTTATGTTGTGTTATAACAATATTTAATGTTAGGAAAATTGCTAATCATAAGAGAAAAGCAGGTTACGAAAAAGTACAATTTTATCTTAATTCTCAAATCTCCATTTTATCAGAAAAATGAATGAAAGATAAGGGCCTCCCCAGTGGCTCAGTGGGTTGAACAAAGCACTGTGAAGCTGTCCACAGCCTCTGCAGCACGGGTTCGATTTCTGGCTGGCTAGGAAGATACCCACATGGCACAGCAGACCTCTCCTGTCTTGCCCGCTGCTCCCCTCAGCAGTGTATTTCAGTCAGTTTGCCTGTTCTGTTCCCTGCTCTGTCTCTGGTGAATCCTCTCACCCTCCCGTGCCTCTGACCTGTACCCCAGCTCTCGTATAAATAAATAAAATCTTAAAAAAAAAAAAAAGAATGAAAGATAATATCTAAATAGTGGCTAAAATAACCAGGAAGTTGAGTTTTGAGGGTTAGTGTTTAATTTACTAATACTAATTTTAAATTATTACTCTATATTTTCAAAACTTTAATAAATACTATTTTTGTAATCAGTAACTCCTGCCCTTCTGTTATATATTTTTATAACTTTCAAAAATCAAAAAAATAAATCTTTACTATTTTTCCAACTTTCCTTTTATTAATTAACCATACAGAGAAAAGTCTTTAGCTGTACAATACAAATAATTACAACACAGATCTACTGATATTAATATATTTGCTGCTATTATGGTTCAACTTAAGAAAAAACTTTAATTTTATTTACTTTTTATAAGATTTATTTTATTTATTATGCATACAAGAATTTGGGTATAGACCAGAGATACAGGGGATGAGAGGATTCACCAGAGACAGAGTGGAAAGCAGAACAGGTGGATTTACTGAAATACACTCCTGAGGGGAGCAACAGGAGGGACAGGGGAGGTCTGCTGTGCCAACTGGGTTAGCTCCCTGGCGTGGGAAGGAACTCATGTCAAAGTGGCTGGTGATATAGTTTGATAACACTGAGACTTTAACCCCTGTGCCACCAGGGTGGCCCCAAAATTTTAATTTTAAATCATTATACATCTAACGTTTTTAAGGCAGTGAAAATGCATCAAGTGAAAAACAGACATTCCAATAAATTTTTCCTATGTAGGAGGAATATAAAAATAGAAGATAAGGACAAAAACAGAAGACCAAAATCAGGCTCATCAAAATGAGTCAAAGCACTCTGAATTATCTCTGTCCAACAAGTCCTAATGCAAACACTAAGAAAGGGAAATTTAGGATAGCAAATTAAATTTTTTGTACTTTTAATTTTTATTGTAAAAAAGTCAACAAATAAGTCTATTATTTTCTGAAAAGCTAGTATTTACCTGACTTTCATCAGGTAGATCCTCTAGCAAAGAGCAAAAGAATTTTAAAGTACCACCATTCTGAATAATCTGTTTATTTGTAATGTTTAAAATAGTTTAAAAAATAATTAAGATCTTCTTTTATACATTAGAAAGTAAAATATGGGGCCTCCCTGGTTTCACAGGGGTTAAAGTCTCAGTGCTATCAAGCTATCGCCAGCCACTGCGACATGAGTTCAATCCCAAGTCAAGGATGTAACCCACATGGTGCAGCAGACCTCTGTCTCGCTGCTCCCCTCAGCTATGTATTTCAGTAGATCTGCCTGTTCTGCTCCCCACTCTATCTCTGGCGAATCCTCTCACACCCTGCACCTCTAGCCTATACCCGGGTTCTTGTATAAACAAACAAACAAACAAACAAACAAACAAAATTAAAATATTTTCCTGTCCACTGCAAAAGTGTAAGATATAATGAAAAAATATTTACTGATTACTTACGCCAGTGTCATGTTGTTGCTCGGATCAAGGCCAACTTCTATAACAGTAGTGCCTTCAATGTCCACTTCTTTGCAGGGAGTTGTATTTCGTCCAGTTACTCTACAGGCTTGATAAAATCCATGTGGTTTCACTCGACCTGAGTCGTTGCCCACAAACACTTGCAACACTACTGGCTCATTATGACCTTCCAGCTGCAGTCAGATAACATGGAGCATAAACACTAATCAGCCTTTCCAATAGACTAATTGCAAAATCAAACATTAAAACCAAGTACCATATTTATAATAAAAGAAATAATTTAAATCCTCAAAAACAGCAGAGGTAAAATATTTCTATGAAGCAGTACTGGCTAAATTTCTGTAGAAAACCGTAAGTTTTAATTCTGCAACAATCATACTTCAGTAAAAAATTTAGATGTTTAATGATAAATTATCATTTATAATCAACTATACAACCAGATGAAAATGAATGCACTTTTCTTTAGGTATTTATAATTTTAAGTATTGCCAAAGAAGCCCATGGGTTACTCAGGATTGACCACCACTACTACTAGAAATCTTCACTTAACTGTGGCAGTGGCATCATCATTGTTATAATCAAATCATTACAGGTCCTGAGCAAGCCTTCATAAATTAAATTAAAACTTGTTTCCTGAAGAATAAATAAATAAAAGTGTTTTGGAGCAAATGTTCCCAATGTTGATTCCTGATAAGGTTCATGGTTAAACACTGGAACTGCTAATGTAGAATGAAAAACAAAAATACAATCAATGTAACTGACTGTAAGTACTAAATAAATATGAAAGAAAGTTAGCCTGTCTAAATACTGTTCAACTGACACATTTACACAACATGTACTTAACAATCATTCACCAAACAACTGGCCAAAATGTCTCCCTACTTAGTAATTTGGAAAGATTAGTAACACTTGTTAAATATCTCAGACCACTTGTTTATTTTCAACAACAAACATTTTTTGTGAATGTGTACTGGAACAAGGAAAGTCTCTTCAATGATGCTGGGAAAACTGGAACGCTACATGTAAAAGAATGAAACTAGAATACTACTTCACATCATACACCAAAACCATCTCAAAATGGATAAAAAGACTTGAATGTAAAACTTGAAACCATAAAATATAGAGAAGAAAACATAGCAAAACACTCCATGACATACATCTCTGAAATATCTTTGAAGACTCAACCCTTGAAGCAAAGAAAATGTAACGGGGACTACATATAACTAAAAAGCTTCTGTACAGGAGACTAGACAATGGCCAAAGTAAAGAGACAACCCACAGATTGGGAGAAAATATTTGCAAGGAAACTGATATTAAAGATCTACAAAAGGGTTTACAAAACTTAACAAAACAAACAACCCCGTCAAAAAATGGACAGAACTAAAGATACTTTTCCAAAGAAGAAATGCAAATGGCCAATAGGTATATGAAAAAATGTTCAACATAATCTTATAATCAGGAAATGCAAATCAAAACCACAATTAGATACCACCTCACACCAGTGAGAATAGCCCACATTAAAAATGGGACAAATGCTGGTAAAGATGTGGGGAAAAATGTACCCTCTTACACTGCTGATGGGAATGCAAACTGGTCCAACCAGTTTGGAAAGTTGTGTGGAGGTTCCTCAAATTACTAAAAATGGCCCTACTGTATGATCCAGCAATTCCAAATCTACCCAAAGGGCACAAAAACATTAATTTGAAAGGAAACCTGCACTCCCGTATTCACTGCAGCACTACTTACAACAGCTAAGATATGGAAACAACCTAAATGCACAAAAACACATGAATGTATCAGGAAGATGTGGTATACATACACAATAGAATACTACTTAGCAATCAAAAAAAAAAAACAAAACTCATGCCATTCGCAGCAACAAGGATGGAGCTAGAAAGGATTACGCTCAATGAAATAAGTCAAAAGAAAAAAGAATACTATCACATTGTTTCACTAATAGGAGGAATATAAGGAAGCTGAACAAAGGGTCAAAAGAAAAAAGATAGTGCCTTCCTGATACGCAAGGGGTTAAGACACAACCTATGAAGCTATCCACAGCCACTGAAGCACGAGTTCAATCCCCCAGCCGGCCAGGGAGCTATCCACATGGCGCAGCAGACCTTTCTTGCCTCACCTGCTGCTCCCCTCAGCAGGGAATTTCAGTAGATCCACCTGTTCTGCTCCCCACTCTGTCTCTGGTGAATCCTCTCACACCCTGCACCTCTGGCCTGTACCCCAGCTCTTGTATGCATAAATATTAAAAAAAAAAAAAAGATAAAAGATAAAACTTGCAGGCAAACTACGGATCTGAGGCACACAACATAGGAGGGAAAGGAGTCAAAACAGGGAGGGAAGAGCACAAGGGACTATGGCGGTGATTCACGGGTGATGTGGTGGTGGGAGATTTATGGCAACTAAACGTGAGGGGAAAAATCAAATACTGCACAAAAATGAATAACAATGTAAGAAAATAAAAAAGTTTAAAACAAATAAATAAAACATGATATTTCTCTTGACACATTCTTGGTAACAAGGTATCTCAGGTGCTGAAATAAAGCCTCCATTTAAAGATGTAGATAGTCAACTGATACCTTATTCCATAAATTAGAGATTTAAATTACCTGCCAATCAATTCCTTTTGAGTCAATCTGTACTGACTGTATCTCAAAAACTATTTTTCAAGTCCTTAAAACAACTCTACAATAGTCTTTGAATTCACTTTAAAATTTCTTCTTAAATACAAAGTTTGGGGGCCTCCCCTGGTGGCGGAGCCATTGAGCACTGGGCTGCAAAGCTGCCCGCAGCCTCTGCAGCGCCGGTTTGATCCCCGGACACTGGCGAGGGTCCCACATGGCGCCGCAGACCTCTCCTGCCGCCCGCTGCTCCCTTCAGCAGTGTATTTTGGTTGGTCTGCCTGTTCTGTTCCCCGCTCTGTCTCTGGTAAATTCTCTCACCCTCCCGCGCTTCTGACTGTACTCAGTGCTTGTATAAATAAATAAATAAATCTTAAAAAAAAAAAAAAATACAAAGTTGAGGAAGAATCTAATGTTTGCTACCACTGTCAAATATAAGGGGAAAATAAGTCATGATTTTCAGATATTTCACTTATCAGAGAACAATCTCATCTCTCCTCTTATTTAAATTAAAACTGATACCAAAGTACAGTATTTGGCTTGTGGTTCAGTTGGACTTTTAGTTTAATTTCAACTATATAGAGCTAGTAATTCCTACCTGTATGTTACGCAGCTTTAGTTCATTAAAAACAAAATAACTTATAAGTAAAACTGGAGAAAAATTTTCATATATTACTAAGTAAAAGAAATACCTTTACTGTAGGAAAGCCTTGCTGCGTTCTATCCTTCACTGAGCCACGGCTCCCCTCAGTCAGGTAGCGAGCTCGGTGCTGGGTCTCAGGTTGCACAACTATCTTCAGTTCCTTCCCCTCACTTTTCACAGGATACTGTCCACACAACATAGGGCTCTTCTTTACTCCAGTTGCTTTTTGGTTTTCTAAAGTTCTGAGAAATTAAAACACAACATGGAAAGAGCATCAGAAAGAGTTTTCTACAAGAGTCTTCGAAGATCAAGGAAGAGACAGCATAGGCAGTAATACTAAAACAACTGATTTTCCTACTGACCAAATAACAGTTTAAGGGAGTTACATCTCATAAGCAAAGTATGTATTTACAATTTCTTGATAAAATTTAACTTTTTGGTGCAAAAATAAAAAAGAATAAGTTCAACAGGGAAAACAAAGAATGTATAAGTGTGGTAGGCAGAAGGAAGACTGAACACAATAAACCAAGAACAAAAGGAAAGAGAGTAACTAATGCCAATAAAACCTTTCACATTGCACTGCAGTCGAAGTAAATTCTAAAAATGACATATCTCTCTCTATATATATTAGTGTTTTATAAAGCTATAAGGGTAACTACCATTACTTTCTAATCAGCTATTCAAAGCAAAAGAAAAATGAGAGTTGTAGCAAAAGGAAACAAGAAACATTTACAAAACTGAAGCTATATGTAGCTTTTTTTTTTTGGATAGCTTTTTTAGTACCTCAAAAAGAAAATTATAAGGAATCAGTGATACAATTTTGTGCTGGGAAATTAGTTTTAAATAATCTTTCCTAGAAGACCAATTTTTATTTTTGATTAAATAATTCAAGACTTTAAGCATATAAAATTTTCGTATTTTGGGTTTTAAGGCAATCTAACTTATTTTAAAATTGTATTTCTAACATTTACTTTATTCGCTATGTTAAATATATAATGAAATAAAAGTATTTCAAATCATGGTTAGGACTTCGGGTCTATACATTTAAATCTGAAGCATTGCAAATATGTGATAAACATAAACAGAAAACAATACTACTAGTTTTAAAATAGATTCAAAATGATACATGTACATTTGTAGAGAATCAGGGCCTATAATGCTTTCTATGGTACTCTCTGTATGTGAGGTTTACATGGAAAATTCAGGAGTCAAAAGACAACTGTGGACAAAAATCTCCAAAAGCCAGCAGGTCCTTGGACTCTTTTGACTTCAATATAGAAAAGCAATGGTGGGTAAGTAGCCTTAAACATGGTTAAAATGTTTGCCCCTCCAGCTCTAATTACAGTCTTGCCTAAATTATCCCAAAGAGAGAAAAGGCTGGACCCTCAATCTAACTAGAACTATCAATAGATTAAAACTGACTGTTGGGAAAGGACCAAAAGAATGGAGGAAAGAAAGAACACACAGGGATGCAGCTGAGGTTGACTGGACAAGAGGGAGAGTTCTAAGGGCAAATACTGTGCTCGATCATCATGTCCCCCGAACCTTACAGAGCAGCTGAAACAGCAGATGCTGAAAAATATTTAATAATGAGGGTAAGAAATGAAAGGAACCAAGAAAGGAAAGCAGAGGGAAAAAGGAGCCTCTACAGTATCAAGATAAAGAAAGATCTGGTCAAGGTATGCCATTCATGTAAGTGTGTTGTAATTACGTCAAAAATTACCTGTATAAGTCATTTAAAAGGCCCTGGAATAGTCTATGAACGAAAGTATCAAGCTGAAGCTGATATCTTGGGAACTAAATTCTAATTTTCTTTTTGTTATTCTGGGTAGAAATATAAATACTTGCTCTGAATATAAAGTACAGTACCTTATATATGAAATACATTTTTTTATTCATTTACTGAAACTATGTAAAAATACCCTCCCAAATATTCAAAGGATATTAAAATACAAGGAATTAAAATACAAGAAATTCAGAGGAATTAAAATACAAGAAAATGCTAATAGTAGTTAAACTGAATGACTGGATTATGGGTTATTTGTTTTCTTCTATTTTTTCTGCATTTTTCAAATGTTTGTAATAAATATTCATTTTAGAAAAGGAAACATTTAGATTGGAATATAAGGAGAATTTAAATAGCAATTAACATGGCAAGATTTTTATATTCACTTATCTAGCCATGCTAATATTTTTGAGGGTAAATAGATATAATGAGTCTTACTATTTCAGTAAAACAAAACATTTCGTTTGGGATAAAGACTAGTATGTGAGTTGGCAAAGTAAACTCAATATGGTTTACAACTAATTCTTAGAAAAGTAATCATTTGAATTGTTGATTTTTTAAGGTGCTGGTGGCTTAAGAAAAAGTACGTTAATCATAAGGGATTGTACTCCTAAACGATATCTAAAAGATAAAATCTACTCTCTTGCCATATATTTTATTCAGAAGTGATAAAATGCCATTCAAATTCCTTTGCCCTGCACATTCTTCTGTTTTTCTATGTCCCCAAAATAATATTCATTAAAAAAGGCATAAAACAGGTTTTACATACAGTTGCCATCATAGTTAATGTATAAGTATCCAGAAAAAAACATACAGCTACTGAATCTTAGGATAGTTAGTCAAAGAATTTAAGAACAACATAGCTAGGAATGTTTAAATATTAAGCAGTCTTTTAAACACTGTTTCTTAATAAACTAATTTTATATAATATTTTGATTAACACAAAATGCCATTTCCATCTTGAAGAACAATAAGTTGCTGTGCAAAACAAATTGGAGAGCACATATTCTAAATATTTAGCATTATAAAATCATAAAATCTCTCCTGGAACTCTCCACTGAACCTTAGATAACTCTAAAGCTATATACCTTGTCTCTCAAAACATTTCTAAATTTCTTTCATGATTTTAACATCTTTTTCACTGAATAGAGATTTTTAGCTTGAGATCCTCTTAACTATTTTTAAAAGCTTACTTTTCTATATATTTATATATGGTTTCATCTTTTTATAAATGTATTCTTATAAATCCAAATTTTAAATTTTCATCATTTTCATATATGCTAGTGTTAAATATTTTTCCATTACCTAAGAAGCTGGACATTTCTTCTGCTGCTTGTTGAGTTTCTGATCCATGAATTATTTCATGAGAGATTTTGTCTTGACAAATATTATTATACTTTCCCTGGATAACCTCAAATCATTTCTAAGATACATCTATCATACAAAAGCAGAAGCAGAAAAGATGTAGGTCAAGTTATCTTTAATAGCAACTGCAAATCAAGTGTGTTGACTATCCCTAAATCACAATCTCATTTGTTTGTCATCTGAAACTTTAACATTTATTTCAGTATATATAAAAATGATAATCTCTTCTGGAACTCTCCACTGAAGCCCAAATAAACACATACCTGTATTTAATGATAGATATGTATACATAAGTCTTACAGATCTGTACTATGTTTAGAGCCTTTTTCTTTATCTAACAGTTTGTACAAATAATATTTTCTAAAATTCTTGACTCCATTATGGCAACATTTTAAGAAAGGTTATACCTTGTTTTCGTTAAGATAATTTTCTAGCCTGGGTTTTCTAAAATGAAAAACATTTAAAGGTGCACTTTCATTTATCTACATTACTCCAGCAGAGTTTTAAATGAGAGTACAGAAGAAAGTATAATTACTGCTTAGACGGTAGCTATTAAGGTAAAAATACTGAGGCAATATTTGAGGGTAAGTCTGATATACATTAAGAATATGTTCTGTAATACTCAACCAAACTTTTAAGTTAAAAGGTATGAGGGATGTCATCAAGCAGTAAATCAATCTAAAGCTACTCTATCACTTTAGTGGCAGTCTAAAATTGTATGAGATCCTGGGCCAACTGACGAACCATTCCTTACCTCCTAAAAAAGCAATCCCTCAAATGCAGTGAGATAAAATTTAACAAATTATGTTAACTGTACTGTAAGACAATCTAATCAAAAAGTCTAACAAGGATTACAATAAAATTAATGAAGGAATTAAAATATTAAAAATAAATAATAGTATTCTGCACTTCAGCACTGAATACTCTGTAATATACCTACTGAAATACACGGAGTGGTGAGTGAATTGGCAGAGATGCAAGGAAACTCAAACATGTGCCATGATCCTGTTCTGTCACCCCCCAAATAAATAAGCCCAAATCACAGAAGAAATACTAAGAGATATTTTTTTAAATGCTGAATCAACACAATGTTATCCAAGAAAAGGTTCGAAATGCACAAATCTAAATGACGAGAATCAAACCACTGCTTTTTTTCTTGTTTTAATCAAAGGACAAGAAGTGAAAAAAAAAAAAAATCCTTATAAAAATGGAAATGGATTGACCCTTTTTGGAAGAAAACGTGGTAAGAGTATACAAACTAGCCCTTTGTGAATGTTTTGTGTTGTTTTAGCTAGTCTCATTATATTGCTAGCTATTTCTATAAGTAAAAAAGTATTTTTGACCCTTTTAAAATACAATCCACTTGAAATTAAAGTCATTTGAAAACTCTTTCATTTCCTACCACTTACCCATACCCATAACATACCTATTACTAAATTCTATTGATATTTTATTTTTTCTAGAGTGAAACTTGGTAATTTAAAGATAAACTTTCATGTTTTTCAATGATCAAATCAGTATTTTAGCTTTATATGCAAACTTGAGCCGAGCAATTAATAAAAGTGGGGAATGATTTTTTTTTTGTTTTGCATAATGTAGATAGAACTTTAAAAAACGTGAATACCAACCCATTTCCTGCTTTTGAGCTGCCTTTGTTGTCCGTGGTAAGCTGAGAAAGCACATAGTGAGGTGCTTTGGCACTGTCGGCATCAAATATATCCATATTAGATTCTTCACAATCTCGTCGTTTGACCCCCGGCCTCTGCTTTGGATTTCGTTTTCGTGATTTACGAGGTACCTCAGTGTTATCATTGTAGGAACTGGTGCTCATGTTACTGAAGTTGGAGGGGGAATCCTCCATCCACATACTGCAGCTCTGCTCTGATTCCAATCCACACCCCTCATCCTGGCAGGACATCCGACTGTTATCCAGCAAGTCCTCAGGTGGTGGTGAGATGTACAAGACTGTGTGCCTCTTCGGTGTTGATGGATGCTGCTGAACTGTGTTACTGGTTAACTGCTTTTCACTTACCCCTCTGTTACTTACCCCCAAGGCTGAGGAGCAGCTCTCCACTTGCATAGCCTTGCTGTCGGTGACTGAGGTAGAATAAATGGTAGGGCTGGAAGAGGTGGTAAAGGAGCTGCAAGCACCGCCCATGGAGGAAGAGGAGGGAGCTGAAGAAGCATCTGCGGTGTACAATTTAAGAGTAAATACACTATACATGTTTTCACCTATGCTGGCTAGCAGTCCCATTGAAAATGTGATTTTTGAACTGATTGTTTTTCCCCAGAATGAATAGTTGGAATTTGGTTAAGTTTTAGAATATAAATGCTTCAAGCAATACAAGGCCTAAGAAATGCAATTTTTTAAAATGCCCAAATAGCATTATGTTACTTGTCTTATAATTGATAGATTTTAAAAATCTAATTTAATGTTTTAAATTGTAAAGTAGAATAAAGTTTTTATTGCCTCAGCCAGGTGTTCTGTTGAATTTTAATCACTTAAAATAATAAAGAAAACCCCAATATGAAATATATGCTTGTGGTCCACATTCAATGCCAATTAAATAATTCATTATAGAATTTGAAAGTGGGACTGTGCTTAGCCACAAAATATTAAAATAAGTTTCTAACCTATGAAGCAGAGAACTACAGGTCATTTTTAATGCAGACACTCCCTGCTTCAGAGGCAAATCCTGGAATAAAAATATGAGAAAATAAATGAGAAAAGAGCTGCTGATTATTCCAGATATCAATTATAAAATGAGAAATAAATAGAAAAAAATATATAATCAACTGAATTGGAGGCAAAATGGAACTGGTACCGTCACTACGATTATTGTAAAATCTAGAAGAATAAATGTGAAAAAGGTTTGATTTGGAACATGCTGGGCTGTAGAAGATAAACAAGTAAACCATTGAGAGTCTCCAGAAATTGTTAAGTGGCAGTAAACACCAAGGTCTCTATACTAGATAAATCCACCCTTTATGGCAGAATAAAAAACAGAGAAAAGATTAATTATTGATCAGATCTCTCTTATAAAGTACTTGATGACACAGTCAGCAACTGGTTACCACTGTCTTTTCCTCTCTTTTCAAAGGACCAGCTTGATTTTATCTACTAAGGGAACTTCCTGATATAAATAACAGTAAATTTTATTGGCTGAAGTCTAACAAAAAATAGCTAAGCAGCAAAAAAATCTCTGGAGAGTATCAGAATTAGTTCCTATAAAGTTTTTAAAAACCCATTTATCTATTATGCCTTACAAATAAGATGTAAGTCGATCTTTTTACAATGTGTGGCAACTGGCAGAATAGTTCATTTAAAACACTACTTTAGCCCTTAACAGCAAAACCTCAGAGGCACACTAGTATTGTTAAGGTTGGAAGTTATCAGTTTTAAAATTTTAGAAATACAATTTTATCTTGTATAAGAAATGGAAAGATTATAATCATCATACACAAAAATAATAGGTAACATGTAACAACAAAAAGATGTGTTTAAAACTAAAATAATTTTACCTATAGCCAAATATGCCACTGCTTTAAAGTGGTATGATAAAACTTAAAGTTGTGACGTACAGTTATTGAAATTGCAACATTCATATCAATTATAAAGAATGAAATGTAAGAAAATGGCAATGTTCAAATAATCAAAAGAATTTTTTAGTGCCAAATATCTATTTTTAAAATGGAAACATGTACCAAAACACTTAAATCACTTGAAAGAATCCAGTTCACCCATAGTTTTTCATTGCTGTCAAGGCTGAAGAGCACAGTAATTAATATTACCATCAATAATGTAATTTATATAATGTTACATGGTACGATTTCCCAACTACCTTAATAAATCAAAGAACCTAGAGCAATTAGATGATACCAGTTCCATTTTCCAGTTTGTATCCTTGTCAAATGCAGTAGCTGAAATTGGAAAATTCAGTCACTTTAAACTGCATTCCAATTTAAAGAAAAATTCATCAATTTCGTATCATGCATTAATGCAATGTTTTCTTAGTAAATAAATATTTTAAAAGATTTGTAAAAATTACAAAATCTAGATGCTAATGTCAGTGACAGTTTAGGAGCTGATTTGTAGCCACTTTGGGTTTAAATATAAAATTCTCCCCATTTTAAAAAAAATCATAAAATTCACTTTAGAAAATACAGGAAAGATATCATATCTAACATTCCTCCATTTGTTCCAACTATTGGCAGAAGTGATACTAAATTTTGTGTGTATGAGTCTATGTTCTTCATTTTCAGAGAAATACAAGTATGCAGCATGCAATATTTGCAGTGGAACACACAAAGCATGCAGCATGAATGCTGTGAACTTGTATTTCTATAAAGCATCTTATCCCAACCTGCCCTTTTTGAATCTAAGTACCATGCACATGAGAATGCAGAATATGAACATCTCAGGGATCCCTGTCCATGACAGATGAAAAGTACATGTGAAAAGCAATCAGGAACTCAAAAGCAAGTTATGTGATATTTATGAATTAAAATTAAATTTAAACTGCAAGATATAACCTCACATTGCTCTCTGAGGTACACACAATTTTATCTTGCACTTCTTACCAAAACAATCATGGTTATAAAATCCAATTGATATAATACTACTTAAATGTCTGTTCTGGGACAGGTATGCCAAACTGTGATCTCATACCCTTCATATATTAAAATATTCTACACATTTTCCTTGGACACCTAGTACAAAATTTTTATATTTTACCTGAATTTTCCTGGATATACTTATTAGATAAAAAAGTTCATTAGCACAAAACTATGAAACTGAAAACATAAACTCTGTCAGAAGACAGCAGTAAGTATCCTTTAATTAAAAAATACTTTTAAAACACTACTTCAGTTTGATCCTAAATTATAGATTCTGCTCATTTTAACAAGTAAGGCAATTTTTTTAACTAAAATATTCATTATAACAGTATCACTTGTTGCTCTGATGATCATAATAAAGTATAAAATCTTTCCATAAAAATGTTACACTGTGGTTAGCAAGACATCACTTAAAAGTATTAATAATACCAGGTAAGATGGTGAAGTGGAGAAAAGGAACTGTGGGCCCCTGAGAGCATGGATAATACCCTTCTCAAGTTAGACCCATCTAATAGCTAGCACAATGCCTAGTACGTTGTGCAAATTCAAATTATTTCTTTAACAGAAGCCAATATTTGGCATGTATGTTGATTTAGACTGAAGTCAAACTGGCAAATAAATGTACAGATGTGTTCATCATCGACACATTAGGCCTTTTCTTAAAAAAATAAAGTATTTACTACTCAAAATGCTTAGAATATATATTCCTATAATAGCATTATCTGACACAGAAAAGGATTTAGAAGTATCTTAAGAGTTTAGAGGTAACTAAATTCTTCGTATTGTGTTCTTTTTATTTCTACAAAGAATGTGCTAATAACGTTCCTTGAATCTATATATAAATCAAATTACCTACTTGTGTATTATTTATAAATTCTCCAGGGGGAAAAAAACCCTTAGTGTTACCCATTTGAAAATAAACACAAAAGTAATATTAAGAACATTTTAGATTTCTGAACACTAATCAGACATTTCCAAGCATTCCCAGAAAAAGTACTAAAAGATCATTTCTGGAAATACTGTAAATGTATTTAAAATATCTACAAAGACCTTGCAGTAACTATAAGATTAAATGATATTCCAGAGAACTCACCTACGTATTTTTTTTTAATTTATAAATTCTCATAAACAAACTATGCTAAATCTACCTCTCCCAGGTTTGAGTCTCCATTTTTATGTTAGGAATGCAGAGACTATATTTAATTGCTGGATATTAAAAATACAAAATTCTAATATATAAATCTTTTAGTTAATTGCTTTTATTTTCTCAATGAAAAAATTGTTAAAATGTATTTCTATTTTATAACTTTATAATTTTATTTGCTCCTTAAATCCCTAACCTTTCCAAGTTGGAAGTTTTTCTTAAAATTATTCTCTCACTTAACTAAGATTAAATTTTCATTGATTTTTTTTCTTTTATTAAAGAATTATCTTTCAGTCAAGAAGAATTGTATTTTTCTATAGCATTTTTTTGTGATCATAGTTTAGAGAGCACAGCATACCAAAGGGAAAACTGATAGACCATTTCTAAAAGTTACTAATAATGGAAACTTATTATCACAAAAGAGAAGATAAATCTAAAATTTATAAGGAATCATTACATAATTTAATGTTCTATATCTAAGTCTCATGGTTCTGTTCTAGGTGGTAGCCAACTATTATACCAAATGTTAGTAATGGTCATGAATTTAAATATGCATACATACACGTGTGTGTATTAAAGTTTGTGACATTAGTGGAACCATCAAGGTTCGCTATAATATATTCAAAGTTGTTGGAACAAAAAGGGTAGAAGATAATATTTACATGGATATCCCAGAATTTGCAAGTACTACTGATGTGATGAAAATGTATTTTAAAGGGTACCACATATAGAAATCCATGTAGATGTTATACATACTTTGCCTAAACTATTTTAAAATTAAGAATTATTAGTTCTAGATTTGTGAACTAGAAATTATTTCAACTACTAACTCACATTAGTGCTTGAACTACAATAAAAAGATATACTTTATATTAACTTTTTATAGAAAAGCTTTGAAATTAGAAGGTCTTTAAAGACCTCGAAAGAAACAAATACCTATCACTAATTTAAAATATGACAAAAATGACATTTAACTAAAATTCCAAAAAAAAAGTGATCCCTAGCATTTAAATATGCACATATTTTCCTAACATTTCAACATTGATGTAAATCAGTTGTTTCCTTTAAAAAGCCATTAAAACAAAAGCCATAAAATTCTGCAAGTGTGCTAAGTAAACCAATAGTGGAACGGAGAAGGAGTAAACTATTGACTGTCCAGAAAATAATAAAAAACAACACAGGGTGTTTGGACACAATTTCCAGTCTAAATTTCCAATCCACCACACTGTTCAATCTTATTCTTTTTTAAGTATTTCATTTTTCTTACTTGGGACAATGACTTCAAATCTAAACATCTTATTTGATAAAAGTCACCAGATACAAAAGACATATTTTCAGATCAAAGAAGAAAGATATTCCGAGAAAAAAAAATTTAAGGCCAACATTCATGTCACCAAGGGAATGAAAAATCTAGAACACACAAAGTGGCTGCAAACCTGCTTTATCAACACCTTACATGCCAACCTTCATTTTCTACTTTTCTTCTTTTTCTTCTTATAATATTAATGTGAAGTTTAAAACTTTACAGAAAGTTTTAGTTTCAATCAGTATCAATCCACTATTTAGAAACAAAAAAAGAAAGGAAGGAAGGAAGAAGAAAGGAAGGAAGGAAGAAAGAAAGAAAGAGAAAGAAAGAGAAAGAAAGACTTATGAAGAAGTCTGAAAACGAGACCGACCTATACCCTGGGTGAGATTGGATGGGTTAAGTGTCTCTGGCACTATTTGTCTTCACTATTGACAGACACTGTCACACAACCCACCACACGATGCCTGTCTCTGAATGGCGAAGCTAGAATGCAAGTTAAGTGTATTAATAGAAAAAACAACTAGCATCCCAGCATATAAAATAAGCAATCCAGATTACTTTACAAAAAAAAAAACAACAAAAAACCAAAAACCGAAAAGATAAACAAAAACCAAAAATTGTAGGGTTGATCATTTAATTTACATGTTTAAAACAGTTTCAATTTCCCGTTTGTACTTTCCCCACCCAACATAAGTTTACATGCTACAATAAGCAATGTTCTAAAAACAAACTTTAAAAATTAAAATTATTAACATCCAGATAAATTCATGTGGGAAAATTTCTTATCCAAAAATTTTATTAACTCATATTCACCAATTTGTTTTCCTGTTTACCAATGCAATCTAATCCATAAACCAGAATACTCTCTCTCAGAGGTGTTTTCAAGCTATGTCCTTACCCAAACTCCTTCAAAGAGTGGAAAAGAGTATGTCCTAACCAATATATTCAAACAGTAAACATAGCTGTATTTTAGCAGCAAAAGTTTTTAATTTTTTTTAAAGAGTTATTTATTTATTTGTTTGTTTGTTTATTTATTTATACAAGCACTGGGTACAGTCAGAAGCACGGGAGGGTGAGAGAATTCACCAGAGCCAGAGCGGGGAGCAGAGCAGGCAGAAGGACGGAAGTACACTGCTGAAGGGAGCAGCGGGCACTGCAGGAGAGGTCTGCGCGCCATATGGGACCCTCCTCCAGTGGCCGGGGAGCAGCCGGGGATCGAACCGGTGCTACAGAGGCTGCGGGCAGCTTCGCAACCCAGCGCTCAACCGTTGGGCCACCGGGGAGGCCCAAAAGTTTTTAATTTTTAAGGTAACTCATATACTTTCTCATTTCCCCCCCCACCCCAGAAAGTTAAAATTTACACATTAAAGTTATATATGCCACTGTGCATGAAAGGTGTAACTCTAAAGCCTTTTTTTTTTTAAAGATTTATTTACTTATACAAGCTCTGGGGTACAGGCCAGAGGCGAGGGAGGGTGAGAGAACTCACCAGAGACAGAGCAGGCAGAATGACCGAAATATACTGCTGAGGGGAGCTGGGGGGGTGGGGGGGGGCAGGAAAGGTCTGCTGTGCCATGTGGGAATCTCCCCGGCTGGCTGGGAATCGAACTGGCACTGCAGAGGCTGTGGACAGCTTCACAGCGCTGCGTTCAACCTGCTGCGCCACTGGGGAGGCCCTGCCTCTAAGCAGCACTATTGCTGAAGTTGAGAAATATGTCACTAATGTATTGGACACTATTTCTTCTCCAGTCCATCAAACTGCCATTCATGGTTCTAATGCTACACAATAATTACTCTTCTGTTTTAAATATGAATTCCCCTAATATAATTATTTTCATGTTGTCATGATTTACATTCAAAGAGTATTTACTAAAGAACATTTCCTGAAAAACAAAACACTTATAAAATGTGTAAGTGTTCTGATACTGAGTAATGTTTTACTATATCTGTTTAAAATATACTTTAACCCAAAGAATCTAAGTCCAATATGGAATACATACTATGTAACATTATACAACTGGGTACTTAAATTCTTTCCCATTGGAAGATAATGATGCTTCCTAGCATTTAAGATTTAAGTACTACTCCATAACAGTAGTTAATACTCGATAAAGAGATTAAACCTCAAAGACTACTCTTTTATCTCAAATCATTTAAACACAATGGGAAATAATTATACTAGCTGATACCTACATTTATTACACCAAAGATCCCAGAAAATACAGGTTAAAAATAGAAAAAAAACTACTGTCTCTCTCAAAGGTAATGTTACTTTAAGACAAAATCAGATGACCACAATATTAACTTAAATAAGAACTGGAGGAGGGTGATCCTCTTCTGGTTCATAAGCATGATGATTGGGTGTTCTCACGGCTGTGTGAGATGTGCCTCCCTTAAACCTTGTTACGACGTCGGCACATTACCCTTCTGATGTGGGGGGAAAAAAAAACTGGAAGAAAAACATGGTCTTGAGGAATGCTGTTGGTTTTTTTTTTTTTTTATTTACATATATATTTTACATCACTGTTCATTTTTGTACTGTGTGCTTTCTCCTCTCAGGTATAGTCCCCATAGAATTCCCACTACCAATTCATTGGTCCCTTGTGTTCTTCCCTACCCTGTTTTGATCCCTCTGCATCCCCTCCCTTGCAGAATGTCTCTGATTTATAGTTGCCTGCTAATTTTGTTTTTTTATTTATTACTATTGTTATTTTTTTTCCTGATCCCTTATTTGGTTCCCCTATACTCCTCCTGTAAGTGAAACCATCTGATATTTTTCTTCTTCCTTCTGTCTTATTTCGAGGGATACTATTTTTTAAGGTCATTTCAATGCTCTATCGTATGATACATTTTAACATAGTTTAAATAATAAAGGTATCAAAAAAAGTAATAAAGGTATCTCTTCCCCATCTTTAATCTAGTACCTTCACATTTTTTATATGTGATTAAAAAAACTATTTCTCCCATAAAAAACTTCTAATTTAATCAGGTGTTACATGGGCCTGGATTAGAGCGTAGTATTCGATCCAGTTGTAAAAAAAAAAAATGGGTAAAAAGAAAAGAAGTCATAAATTGCTCTATTTGAAGTTATGATAATTGATCATGCAACTTATTTCATTTAAAAACCTAGAAAGAACTTTTAAACAATCAGTTTTGCCAAATCACCCCTTCAGAAACTATTTTTCTCTTTGATTCATTCTCTAAGTTCTTTGTATTTATAAGGGTTCCCATTATAACAATATCATTGGGAAAGAGTAATTCAGAAAGTAAATCCCATGATGCAATTGTAGCTATATCTTGACTGACATGCAAAACTTCAAAATAAGGTCAAAAATAAATTAGGTGAGAATGAAAGACAAAGAACAAAGTCAAAAAACTTAATTTTAGGGGCTCTCTGGTGGTGCAAAGGCTAAGTCTCAGTGCTATCAAGCTATTGCAGCCACTGCAGCATGAGTGTGCTACCTGGCCAAGGAGCTACCCCAAATGGTACAGCATTTTTAATCTCCTGTTTAACCAGCTGCTCCCCTCAGCAGTGTCTTCGGTCCATCTCCCTGTTCTGCTCCCCACTCTGTCTCTGGTGAATCCTCTCACCCCCTTCGCACCTCTGACCGACATCCCAGTTCTTGTATGCATAAATAAATTTTTTAAAAAGTTTAATTTTATAAAAATAAGATAGATCTTTAAACCTTAACAAAGAAAGGAGAAACACAAGGGAGGTGAATGTTTACTAAATGATCACTAATTACGAAATGATGTTAAGTATTTTACATATTTTTCTTTATAATAAACAAGAAAAAGTTGGTATTATTGTCTAGTTACAAGGGCTAAATCAGAAATTTATTTAACTCCCACAAAAGACTGTCTATATAATAGAAATGAAATGATAGCAATCAGATTCAAATTAGATTTTTGTGATTTCAAAATCCATGCTAATGTTATTATACTTCATATGTTGGAAAAAATAGAAATAAATAAAGCTATAATGTGTGCTTGTGTGTGGTAGGAGGGAGGGAGGGAGGGAGTGAGGGAGGGAGGGAGACCAACTGAGAAAGTGAGTGATAGAGCATATGCACAAGCTATAGATTGTGGCTTTATGGTCCTGGCACTTTAAAGCGCTTTCTCATTCACTTTCTGATTTATTTTAATTGACAATAATACCTTATTATGATGAGTGGGAAGAATGAATTGTATCCAAACTAGATGAATAAATACCTCCAGTTTCTAAAACTTTAATATTTAAAACTAACACCCATGTACACTCTCCTCTTATTTAACAAATTCTATTTACTATGTATAAATTTATTTTTAAGAGAACAAATGAGGGCCTCCCTGATGGCGCAGGTGGTTGAGCGCAGCGCTGTGAAGCTGTCCGCCTCTGCAGCATGGGTTCAATACTGGCCGGCTGGGTGAGAATCCCACATGGCAAGGCAGACCTCTTCTGTCTCGCCCGCTGCTCCTCTCAGCAGTGTTATTTCGTCAGTCTGCCTGTTCTGTTCCCAGCTCTGTCTCTGGTGAATCCTCTCACCCTCCCGTGCCTCTGACCTGTACCCGGGTTCTTATATAAATAAATAAATCTTTTTTAAAAAAAAAAAAAAGAGGACCAATGGCAGAGAAAGGTGTAGTGTTTATTGTATCCTTCCCTAATCCATTCCCCTCACTCCTGCCCCAGATGGGAGTTTTATACAACTTTGTTAGTATTATCTATATAACTAATTGTTATAAGGCAATTTGTTATAGCAATACTTCTTGCTTATATCATCAATCTTATTGTTAATATAAAAACGTAAGCTCACATCTGTGCATTAATTTCTTTATATAAAGTGTATAAAACACATAAAAAATAGAAATTGTGTTTATTTTATATATGTGTTTGGCCTAAGAATGGTTGAGAATCTGTGAGCAGTTTTTGAATTCTATGCTATAATACAGTATTGTAAACCAATGTTATCTCAATAAAAAAAAAACTAAAAAAAGGAAACATTTAAAGCAAGAATAGGCCTTGTGTACACATTGTCAATGATAATTTATAATGCAGACTGCCTGCTGAATTGGTAGTTGTTTCTAAATTAACTGTTATGGCCCAGATTTGCTTATGCTTTCAATACTTTTTTTTTTTTTTTTTTAAATACAAGAACCAGGGTATAGGCCAGATGTGCGGGAGGGTGAGAAGAGTTACCAGAGACAAAGTGGGGAACAGAACAGGCAGACTGACGAAATATACTGTTGAGGGGAGCAGCAGGTGAGACAGGAGAGGCGTGCCGCGCCATGTGGGACCCTCGCCGGCCGGCCAGGATCGAACCAGCGCTGCAGGCTGTGGACAGCTTCATAGCGTGGCACTCGATCGCCTGCGCCACCAGGGGAGGCCCTGCTTTCAATTCTAATAATGCAAATATGAGCAAAAATATACATACACATATTATTTCTATATATATATGTATGTATTTATATTTACTATGTAATTTCAGCAGAATGAGGAACAGAGTTTTTAAACCTATTTGCAACATGCTTGTAAGCAGGAATGGCCATACGGAATAACTAAGATCAACTTTATTTTAGCTCACATTATTAATACATAGGTCACACAAATGAATTATCTTTTCTGTTACTTGGCTTTGGGTTTAATCTTAGGAATGGCACACTAAACATAAGTGGTCAAAACTCTGAAATATGTTTACCTAGGTAAGTAAGGAGAGGAATCAAAGGCACAATTCAAGAAAAACCAAATTACCTAACTATAAATACTTTGTAATACTAATAAATAAATACATTTAATGAGCTATCTAATTACTTCTGTGAATCACTTTTATTAAAAATTGATATTCTTCTACAAATCATATTCCTGTTTTATAGTTACTTAAACTTGTAAATGAGACGGGATATGACTTTTTCAACTCAATATTCCACATACTTTTATACATTTTTGTTTCCTTAATCAAAACCCTCAATAATAAATTCCTAAAAGTACATTGGCAGGGAGAAAAGAACTGCCAATGCAGGAAAGATCCCAGTAGGAAAGAAGAGAGGTATCCTGTGCCTGGAGAATTGGGATATGTTGAAATGCAAATTGTCTTGTACAATTCCTACTATGTAGCAGGAACTAAAAAATGGTAACATACTTTCTTTAATTCAATTTTTGTATAATTTTGTTATGGATAGTTTAGAAATTCCTATGATTTTATTGTAGGTGATTAAGATGTCTCAAAAGAACAAAATCATAGCTGTTCTTTGATTGTAGGATATAATTTAGTTCCGTAGTGTCCTCTACCACAATACAAATAGCACACAATTGAATTCTTTAAGTATAGAAAATACTTGTGAAGTACTTGAGATTTATTAATTGTTAAGTGCTTGAGACTTTATAACTGCTATGGCAGATAATTCAAATCACTAATTAATAAGTTTCTTCCAAAAGAAAATTTATATTATGAATCATGCTCCTTAATTTTAATAATTTAAATAATAAATTTATTAACTTAAAGACAGCCTTAAAATGTTATAGTGATCCAGGGTCTCCCTGGTGGTACAAGGGGTTAAGTCTCAGCATTATCAAGCTATCAGCAGCCACTGCAGCAGGAGTTGGAACCCCAGTCTGGGAAATACACCACATGGCAAAGCAGACCTCTCCTGTCTTGTCTGCTTCTCCCCTCAACAGTGTATTTCAGGGCCTCCCCGGTGGCGCAGCGGTTGAGCGCTGGGTTGCAAGGCTGCCCGCAGCCTCTGCAGCGCCGGTTCGGTCCCCGGCTGCTCCCCAGCCACCGGAGGAGGGTCCCACATGGCGCGCAGACCTCTCCTGCCGCCCGCTGCTCCCCTCAGCAGTGTACTTCGGTCCTTCTGCCTGCTCTGCTCCCTGCTCTGGCTCTGGTGAATTCTCTCACCCTCCCGCACTTCTGACTGTACCCAGTGCTTGTATAAATAAATAAATAAATCTTTAAAAAAAAAAAAAAAAAGATGGAACTTCTTTTAAAAAAAACAGTGTATTTCAGTCAGTCTGCCTGTCCTGCTCCCCACTCTGTCTCTGATGAATCCTCTCTCACACACCCCCGTACCTCCTGCATACACCCCAGCTCTTGTATGCATAAATAAATAATACTATATTATTTCTCAAAAGATTACTAATACATATTTACTAAAAGTAAAATAATAATTTTATGAAAACAAACAAAAGAATTACTAAGTAGTTATTCTTAAGATTATCTGGTTGATCCTAGAGGTGTAGTCTCACAATATCAAAAATAAATTCTCTGGTTGAATCATAAAACCTATGATTTCATTAACTCACTATTTAACTCAAATTTTTAAACTTAAAACAGTCATCTTAGTTTAATAAAAGCTGAGCAGAGAATACAAATAGAAAGTAATTTGATTTTTTTTTATTTAGGTAACTAACATTGGTTTATAACACTATATATGATTCAAAAATAAAGGACCCCAACTCTTCAGGTGAATAATATGATTTTAAAATGATACCAAAATTTATTATTCATTTCTATGAAAGACTTCCTCTTTTAACTAAATTAAGTAAATCTAAGGATAAACATACAGGTAGATTTAAGGCAATGCTTGATTGGTGTGTGAACTATACTTCTATACTTATTTAAGAATATCTACTATTAAAAAAAAAAAGAATACCTACTATAGCTCTTCAAATACCCCAAACTCTGATGAAACTTTTGTTTCTCCTAAATACTATTTACATTTTAGTTCTTTATAACTTATACTATAGGATTCACCACAACAAAAAGAATCCTTTCATGATTTGTATTTCTTCTTGATCAACTGCTTATTTTGCAAAATAATTAAGTCATTCACATAACTTTCTGTGTTAGGAAAATGTCCTCTGTTTTAAATACTGAGAACCTACAATACTACTCAGAAAGTCTATTTCTTAAAATGTCATTTATTTACATACTGAATCTCAAACTTTTTTTCTTTTAAAGATTTATTTATACATACAAGAGCTAGGGTATAGGCCAGAGGTGCGGGGGGTGAGAGGATTCACCAGAGAGAGTGGGGACCAGAATAGGCAGATCTAGTCAAATACACTGCTGAGGTGAGCAGTGGGCAAGGCAGGAGAGGTCTGCTATGCCATGTGGGTCACCTCCCTTGCCTGGATTGAACTCATGCTACAGTGGCTGCCAACAGCTTTATAATGCTGAGACTTAACCCCTTGTGCCACCAGGGAGGCCCCTGAAGCTGAAATTCTTTTCATCACCTTTTCAGTGGGACAAAAACAAGTTTTTTAAAACAATGGGGAGAAATACAGATTTGAAACCGGTGATTCACAGGTACAGCTCCCAGATTTTGACACTTGGCCACATGGAGAGCGGCTGTGTAGGAGAAGCAAATCCTTGTCTCCCCACCCCTAATCCTGGGACTTACCAGATAAAAAGATGTTATTGTTGAGCGTATATAAAAGTGAGAGTAGTGTAGAAGCAGAAAAAGGATTGAGGGACTCTTTTATCCAATATTCTGGATTGTGGATTAGCAGCATTATGTTTACTCATTCTCTTAGTAATTTATAAAGGAAAAAAGTCTAGATTGGTGAATCTGAGAAATACACTTTTAATAAATAAAGAATGTATATACATGAATACCTATATCCCCGGCCTCTAAATTTTAAGTTGATTTAGAACTTGTGAAACACAAACCTTTATGGCAGAACTAGAAGTCTGTTCCCACCAGGCCCTCATACCTGATAGCAGCCAATCCGGCTCCTTCAAAACTCTGAAGAAATTAACTACATCAAGAGTCATCATATTTACGCGTTTCATATTTAAACAGCCAATGCTATAGATAAAAAACAACAACAACAACTCATGGAAGTCTAAATTTATGTGCCTTTCCCCTAGACACTTTTGGTCAGGAAATACTGAGTAACTGGTAATTTGCACCAAACATTTCTCTTTGACAGTCATATCACTAGGATGTTAACATGCCAAATAAAAAAGTGACTAATTTTATATATATATATGTGATTGCCCTTCTTCTCTAATTTAAATTCTCTAATCTATAAAGGTATATGAAGGTATATGAAGACTCCAGCCTACCAATAACACATCAGAAGACCACATTGGTTACTAAATGTAAACTGATGTTTAAAATAATTACAAATGATGTGGTTTTAGACCACAGAAACCTTCAAGATATGAATATAAGAAAAACTGTCAAGGTTATCTCCTTATTCGCTTTGTCATGTTTACAATGTCAGTAACTTCTGCATCTAATAAGAATTTATTACTTTGGAACACTTTGTTTGGTTAGTTATTTCATTTTCATATTTCAATTCAGAGCTTTCCACCTACTTTATTTGGACAAGATTTTCTCAAATATGTGGTGGATCAATATTCCAATAGTGATCCAAATTCAAGAACTTTCAATATTTATATATAACACCTTTTGAAATTGAGCTTGGTATTACTTAGAAGGAAGTTTTCTTTTCCAAACCTAGCCAATTATTTTTTCAGCTTTTTAAAAGGAACTGGATCTACTATCAACAGATGTTAAAAGGCACAGAAGAAACAGACTTTTAGTTCTATGCAGTTTCAACATATCTTTAAAAAAAAAAAATCTTAAAAGATAAAAAAGAAATCAGTTAGTCAATTTCTACCTGTGGATTTAAAGTGAAATACTTCATTAAAAACATTTGTTTCTTATTTTATTTTCTGGTACAATTTTTAAAATAGATTTAAAACTTTAAATTACAGGAAAATATTCAGAGACATTTGATAATCCTGTGGCTATAAAGTGAATCCAGATTATCTTACGAATTTTTAAAATGTTCACAATTAAATCCACAGAATCTGTTAGAATATGTCTGGCAACACATGAACAGTGAGCAGGGCTGGTAAGTTTCATCTACATTTATAGTTTCCCTGCCCTTAACCAGGAAGGCTGCATATTGGGCTACACAGTTCAGGGGAAAGATTGGTTAATGGTACATTGTTTATCAAGAGAAAAATATCTGAAGTTCTACTATCGTACCAATAATCTTATTTAAATCACAACCTTCCACTTCACTGTTTTTTTTTTTTTAACAAAATAATTTATGAGAAACAAATCTCTAATAGACTTTAAGTGCCATTTTTAAAGATGAGAGGTATCACATTAGGTAAGACACCTCTAATTAGTAGGACAGATAAAACTTCAGAGTAAATATACTTATTTTTTTCCTTTTTTAAAACCCAACACACTTAGCAGATATAAACCCACTAAAAAAGAACTATAGTTGGGCAATCTAATATTACTGAAAGCATTCTTACTAATTTATCAAGATTTTTTCCTATTAGCTTATCTGAATAAGCTTGTCAATCTTTTATTGGGATTCAAAATCAAAATTTGAACCAATTTTGTATAATTATAAAGTGCATGATTTGAGAGCTGAGCAAAAATAAACTTGATAAATTTAAAACATATT